CTTTTTTCAACTTCAGAAGCATCAAAAATGGCATTCTTTCAAACCGTCAGTAGCATTTTGGGAGCTCACAAGAAGAAACTCATTTTCATTGGTACTGTAACTTCGTCCATCTGGGTTATTAAGTAAGTTTTTGTATTTTACATTGTGTTTTTATAGCCCTAATTTTAGGCTTAGTTGAATTTTTATTTGAAGTTAAAATCTTGTTAAGCCTATGTTAAAGATTATGTTTAAACTCGTGCTTAAACCTAACTTTAACTTTAAGCCTAGTTTTAACTTTAAGTAAAAGTCTAAGATTAAGCCTAAATTTAAGTTTTAGCCTATGCGTAAGCTTAAACCTAAGCCTGAGCTTATGCCGAAGACTAAACGTAAACCTGTGTTTAAGCCTAAGCTTACGTTCAAACCTAAGCTTAAGGTCACGCTTAATCCTAAAACTAAGCCTATGTTTATCATTAAGCTTAAAGTTATGATGAATCATAAACTAAAGCCTCTGTTTAATGCTACACTTGAGTATAGGCTGAAGTTTATAATAAAGCCTAAGGTTCAACCTAAGCCTAAGCTCGGGCTTAAGTTGAAACATAAGCTTAAGGTTGAACTTAAGCTTATACCTAAACTTAAGTTTTAAAATTTTAAAACATTTTTCAGTCGCTATAACACGATCCAAGCAGAGAGCATCTTCTCTACTTCTCATACTCCACGTCGTGCTTACTAACCATTGACTGCTAATGTGGCTTCTTGATCAATACATTAAGCCTAAAAATCATCTTCAAAACGTGTATGCTTCTTTAAAATCTCGCTATCTACTCTAGTTTTAAAATAATTTGTTTGTACGTATACGTTGAAACCTTGATTATAAGTTCCTATCACATGTACATATCTTACTGTACTATAATGTAATAAATATTGATTCGAATGTAAATGATTAATTTATTTTTAGGTAGAATATTACTAAAATGATAATCTTCAAATCTTTTGTAACAGGACTTAAAGTAGGCTTGTGGAGCCGCGTGGTTTTATTCACTGTCTCCTTGGCCCACATGGTCCTGCCTGGTCAAGCCTTTTGTAAATATGATTGGACCCAGCTAAGCTCAGCCAAGCCCGGCCCAATCCAGTTTAATCTAGCCCACCACAGTCCAGTCCAGTTTAGTCTAGCCCAGCTGAGGCAAACCACGCCCACCCAAGCCCAGTCTAGTCCATCAAAGCCAAGCGCAACTTAGCTCAGTCAAACCCGGCCTAGTTCAGTTTAATCTAGCTCCCCACAGTCCAGTTCATTCTAAGCCAGCTCAAGAAAAACAAGCCCAGCCAAGCTCAGCGGAGCCAATCCCGACCTAGTTTAGTCTAGCTTAACACAGCCAATCCCAGTTAATTTCAACAGAGCACAGCTCAGTTCAACACAGCACAGTCCAGTTCAGTCTAGCCCAGCTAAAACAAACCAAGCCCAGCAAAGCCAAATTCCAGCCTGGTTTAGTCTACCTTAACCCAGCCGAGCCCAGCAGAGCCCACCTTAGTCCAACACAGCTTAGCAAGACATGAGGAACGTGCCGGACCAAGCACAATTTTAAAGCTTTGTCCGCGAGCCAGGTCTGAGAGTTAGACCCGGTCGGATCAAAATTTTACTCAGACCCAAGCCGTTAGTCATGTCTAAGCACAGCTTAGTCCAGTTTATACTAGGCCATCGGAACCCAGCCAACCTAGACCAACCTACCCAATGAGTGAGCCTGGTCTTTCAAACCCTTCAAGTTTACTTAAGCCCCGACCGAGCCGGGCCTAATAAGTTTTTTTTAAATCTACCCTGCCCTTCATTTTTGAACGTTTCACCAATTATAATCAAATTATTCTCCCTGCCTTCGTTGGCGCACTCTCGCTAATCTCGGCGGCTAATATTCGAAATAATGGACGAGAGTGGCCATAAAGAGGTAGTCGCGCACAGGTCAGAGGGGGCCCGTTGTTTGCGCGCAGGTAAATATACATATTTCGGATGGAAACGTAGGAAGGGGTGGGGGTGTCAAGGGTGGCCCTGAAATAAGCTCGGGAGCAAGCGAGGCAGTTGCGAATTGCTGGATCTATGGTAATTTGTTTGGAGGTGGGGGTATGGAACAGATTTATGAATAGGGTGGGATTATTTAGCCCTTTTTGAATAGGGTAGGGATTATGTTGGGTTTTTTGAATGGGGTGGGGGATCTTTTAGTTTTTTTTGAAAAAGGGTGGGTATTATATAGCATTTTTGTATAGGGTGGATATTATGAAGGGCCAGTGCAAATTACAGTTGTAAAAATGATTTTTATATTTATAAGGGGTGGTTAAAGTAAAATTTTTAAAATTTTTATTTTGTAAACAAAGTTATTGCTAGTCTTTGTTTTGTAAAGAAATTTCTTGCCATTTTTTATTTTTTAAAAAAAGTTCTTGCTGTTTTTTGGTTTGTAAACAAAGTTTTTGCGTTTTTCTGTTTTGTAAAGAAATTTTTTGCCAGTTTTGAGTTGTAAAGAAGGTTCTTACCAGTTTTGAGTTGTAAAGAAAGTTCTTGCCATTTTTTGAATTGTAAAAAAAGTTCTTGCTATTTTTTGGTTTGTAAAGAAAGTTCTTGCTATTTTCTTTGTAAACATAGTTTCTGCTATTAATTTGAAATTTCAAACTTTTTTCGGTTTTTTATTTTTTTGACCCAAAGTGACCGTTCCAATATCGGTCATAGTTCAACTTTTAACAATATTCCTCATGCTCCCCCCCCTTCATTCTTGCTCGTAACGTAACCTCTACAGCTTATTTGCATAATGACTCAGCGGCGTATTCGAAAATCAGAAGAAAGGGAAAAAAGAGATATTTTTAAGGTTGTTAAAAGCACCTTACCCTGATTTTTTTTTGATTTTCGGCATGATTAGAAATGGCAGGATGGGCTGGGAAAAAAAGGTACTGTTTTAAAAGGGTTTGACCAGAAGGGGGAGGGGTGGGAGGGGGAGAAAGGTGAGGGGAAGAGGAATAGGGTAGAGATCAGAAGGAATGGGGTGGATCAATGCTGGAGTGATAAAAGTGTACAATTGCAAGAACTTTCTTTACAAAACAAAAAATGGCAAGAACTTTCTTTACAAAACAAAAAATGGCAATATCTTTTTTTACAAATCAAAAAATGGCAAGAACTTTCTTTACAAAACAAAAAATGGCAAGAACTTTCTTTACATAACAAAAAATGGCAAGAACTTTCTTTACAATGTGCCAAATGCCAATGTATTTTTATATAAAATTGTTTAAAAAAGCATGCAGCATATAAGTTGTCTCATGCAGCCTGCAAAACCTTATACGTTGAGTATTTATCGTATAATATGTCTTCTGCAATTTCCTATAAATTTTATTTTTTGTCGTATTTAAGCACTTTCTATTTCAAAATCAAATTTTCAAAGTGAAATTTTGTAGAAAAAACTGTTGGAATTGATCGACAAAATCTTGAAACGGCATTTTACTTTCTGTCTTCTAGAAGATGAACATTAGAAATTAGTTTATTTTAACGTCCTTCTTGTACGAAACTTCTGCCTTCTGAAGTCGTCTCGACAAAAAACAGAAAAAATAAAAAAATCATCGAAAATCGCATTGGAAAAACCATTTTCGGCTTATTCACACCAATTAAAAAAGGTCACTCTTGAGGGTGGATTTTATTGCGCAAAACAAACCAATATTTGAATATATGGATAAGGTTGTTAGTACAGGATTTTTTTAGATTTTAGCTTGGTGTTGAAAATAACTTTTAAAAATTTTATTTTGCTTGCTTCGGAAAGAAAGTTATTGCCATTTTAGGATTTTTGAAGGAAGTTCTCGCCATTTTATGTACTGTAAAGAAAGTTCTTGCAATTTTTTGCTTTGTAAAGAAAATTCTTGCTATTTTTTGTTCTGTAAAGAAAGTTATTGTTATTTATATATCAAAAAAGTGTCTTTTTGCGTTTTGCAGCTTGCGATAGACAAGTTATACGATGAAAAATATTTTAAATTGCTGTAAAGAAAGTTCTTGCTATTTTTTGTTTGTAAAGGAACTTTTTGCCATTTTATGTTTTGTAAAGAAAGTCCTTGCCATTTCATGTGTTGTAAAGAAAGTTCTTGTTACTTTTTGATTTTTAAAGAAAGTTCTTATCATTTGGTGTGTTGTAAGCAAAGTTTTTTGCCTTTTTTATATCAAAACAGTGTTCTTTTGCGTTGCGCAGCTTGCGGTAGACAAGTTATACGATGAAAAATATTTTTAGTTGCTGAAAAAAAGTTCTTGCCATTTTTTGATCTGTAAAGAAATTTCCTGCCATTTTTGATATTGTAAAGAAAATTCTTGCTATTTTTTGTTTTGTAAAGAAAGTTCTTGCCATTATAAGAATTTAAAGGATATTTGAACCATTTGAACCGTACTTTACAAAAGATCATTAATATTCAGCTCAAAACCCTATTAATTCTTATCATTTTTGCTTACTCATAACATCGAAAAAAGTGTTTCTGAATTTCCCTTCGATTTGGGTCACTTTTGTTGTCTTTTTCCTTTTTTGGGCAGGGGTATTAAGGGCTTGGACAAACAAAGAACGGCATAAGAAGCTAGCTGATCGAAGGGAAACCTTTTCGGCAAGATTATGTTAAAGAAAAGCAAGAGGAGGAGGTTTTGTCGTATTTTAGGTAACAAAATACGTTCGTAAAAAAAGTTTTTGCTTTTTTTTGTTTCGTAAAGAAAATTCTTGCCATTTAATGCTTTGTAAAGAAAGTTCTTGCCATTTTTTGTTTAGTAAAAAAGTTTTTGTCATTTATTGTTCTGTAAAGAAAGTTCTTGCCATTTGTTTTTACTATTGTTACAAAAAAATGCCGTTGCAGGCTGCGCAAGACAAGTTATACGCTAAAAATTTTTTTTGTTTTTTTAAAATTTTTTTAATTCTAGCGTGTGTGCATGGCGTATTTTACATTACATTTTTTTCAATTTGAAAAAAATTTCAAAATTTAAATTTTTTTTAAAACTTTTTCATTTTCAGCACCATCCTCATGCCTCTACAATGATCTCATACAAATCGAGGCTCAAACTGCCATTTCTTTTGATACTCCTTCAAATAATCACTTTTATCTACCTCTCCGACTTCATCAACTGGACCTATGTTGAAGCTCAAGGCCAAGTCAAGTTGCCGCCGGGGTTGCGGCAACAACGGCAACAGATACGTCACGCCATTGGTGGTGTATATAGTGAGAACAAGACCTTGTACTTTCGGAACTCACCCTTCAGAGTAACCGAAGATGTCATAGTAAACCCGGGTGTTACGTTAGAGATTGAGACTGGAGTTCAGTTGTACTTTGACACTGGTGTTGGCATTAAGGTGTACGGTACTTTGAGGGCTATTGTAAGTTTTTTTTGTTTTAATTTTTTTTGGACGGAGTAAAATGAAATTTTGGGGATGGAATTTGTAAAAAATTTTTTTTTGATTTGTAAAGAAAGTTCTTGCTATTTATGTGTCAAAAAAGTGTGTTTTCGCTTTGCGCACGCAACGGTGGACAAGTTATACGATAAAAAATGTCTTAAGCTTTGTAAACAAAGTTTTTGGTATTTGATCTTTTGTAAAGAAAGTTCTTGACATATCTTGTTTTGTAACTAAAGTTCTTGTCATTTCGTGTTTTGTAAAGAAAGTTCTTGCTGTTTTTTGTTTTGTAAAGAAAGTTATTGTGTTTTAATTTCAGGGCAATGAATTTGCTCACATTGAGATGTTGCCATTCCAAGAGCAACTCAATTACGATGAGACTATGCCAGAGTTTCGATTGATCGATGGACCTTCAGTTAGACAAGGACGGCTTCAAATGAAGTTCAGAGACCGATGGCGATCGGTTTGTACTATGGTTACAAAGTAAGTTGATTCTTTAGGATTTTTTGAATTTTAGAAGTAATATACGATGAAGATTATTAGGCGTAGGCTGATGTTTAGGCTTAGGCTTAAGCTTTGGCTTAGGCTTAGGCTTGGGCTTAAGCTTAGGTTTAGGCTTAGGCTTAGGTTTAGGTTTAGGTTTAGGTTTATGCTTAGGCTTAAATTTAGGTTCACACCTACCTAAGGATAACGATTAGGCTAAAGTTTATAAATATTTCCATGGTTATGCTTGACTTTAATCTTAGTCTTAGGTTTTTGTTTTTTGGTGTACGATGGGCTAAGCGCAGCATAGACGTTTGGTACCCTTATGCTTAGACTAGGTTGAACTTACTTATAAGACTACTTATACATCAAATATTAATACGGCAGATAAAAGCTGATTCCCCGCAGTAAAATAGATCCAAATCCTAGCACTCGCAGTCATTTGTTGGGTCGTTTTACATCGAGGCAAAATGTTAATAAGGTCCTAATATTACATAAGAAAACGTTACGTAATATTATTTCTTGCAATTTCTCTAAGGCTATCTAGTTTTGTAAAAAAGTTATGTCATTTACGCGAAATTTTAGAAAATTTTATGTAATTACATCCGTATTTTAAAATACAGCAAAGTAGGGTAGGATAACAAAGAGCGAAGCAAGTCAGAGTAAGTAAGGTAGGGTAGGGTAGGGGAGGGTAGGGTAGGGAAGGGTAGGGTAGGGTAGGGTAGGGTAGGGTAGGGTAGGGTAGGGTAGGGTAGGGTAGGGTAGAGTAGGGTGGGGTAGGGTAGGGTAGAGTAGGGTGGGGTAGGATGGGGTAGGATGGGGTAGGGTAGGATATGGTAGGGTAGGGTAGGGTAGGGTAGGGTAGGGTAGGGTAGGGTAGGGTAGGGTAGGGTGGGGTAGGGTGGGGTAGGGTAAGGTAGGGTATGATGATATATTATAATATTAAATTTTGTATTTTAGTTGGACCTCAATAGACACAAGTGTAGCCTGTCGTTCCATGGGCTACGGTGATGGTGGGTTCTGGCGGTGGTATCGTCGAGTGAATGACACTTATCCATTGGCTATGCCTGCACCTGGCTGTGTACCTTCGGCCAAGAATTTGTGGGATTGTGATGGATTTAAGGATCCGAATTCAATCAGAATGAGTGAAAACCTATGTCAAGGTGAAGATGACATTGGACTGTATTGTTGGGGACAGCCGACTTTTAATGGATGGGCTAGGCATTGGAAAGGTAGGTGCTTTAGTTTCGTTTGAAGTTTTGTAAAAAAAGTTTTTGTCATTTTTTGATTCGTAAAATAAGTTCTTGCCATTTTTGGTTTTGTAAAGAATGTTCTTGCCATTTTCCTTTTCGCAAACAAAGTTTCTTCCAGGCGTGTCAATCTACAACTCTCCCTTCTACTACGTCCCAGCCGACCCGGACATGGTAGCAGCGCAGCCGGAGTCCTATAGTCGACTCGAGTTCATCGACATCTTATACGCCGGCTACGATGGCTACACAAAGAACGTCACAACAGCACTATACGTGGAAGGAGTACCACCCATAATGAACGGCCTGAGGGTACAGCGGAGTGCCAGGGATGGGATCTACTTTTTCGAGCCAAATGGTCCCATTATCCTGGCCAACTCCACCATTAGCGACAATCGAGGGCATGGGCTGGTCATTGAGAACACTACCGATGGTCGATTGTTTGTCAATTACACTTTGATCACGAACAATTATGGCGATGGCATTTGGTATAGGCAGCGGTATGGGGGTGATACGTTGGTTAGACGACCTGGCATGCCTGGACGTAGGTTTTTTGTTTTTTTTTATTTAATTAGACAAAGGGGTGGGCCATTTTTAAAACAAGAAGATATTTATTTAGGTGGAAGAGGAGGAAGGGAGGGATAGGGGAATTTGATCTTTATTAAGGTGGGGGGGGGGCAAATTAAAAAAAGGTAAATTTTTTAATAAGGGCGGCGGGGATACAAAACAATACCTTTTTGGGTAAGGTGTATGTTTGTATGTTTTTTAATGGGGCGGGAGGGGTAATTTTTTAACAAAATGAATTATTTTTTTTAGTTAAAAAAAAAGGGGGGGGGGAGCATAATGAGCGTTTTTAGGGCTGATTTTTTTTGAAGAGCCAGGGTGGTGGGGGGGGGGTATTAAGGTAGAGCAATTGCTAGGGCAGGACAGGTTTTTCTAAGGCTAGGACTAAGGCTTTGAGCTAGATTGGTTTATGCTGAACTGGGCTCTGTTATGCTGGTCTGCGTTGTGCTGGGCTAGGGCTTTGGGACAAGGCTTTGGGCTAGGACTTTGGGCTAGGGGTAGGGTTCTTTTATCGTTGTTTTTACTTTACTTTCTTAGTCCTTATCACTTTTGACTAAAACTTATCTTTTAGGTTACAAACGTCAAGTCCAGCCCCACCTCCACATGAACTTGATGAATATCGACCGTCCTCGAGCAGAGATCTGTGAATCCCACAAATACAATGAATCCATGTTCTTCCCCCACCTTTTCGCCATCCATCTTCAAAATGGCTCCAGCTACAGTGAGCTACAACCTCGACCCTGCTGGATACAGGTCAAGTTACCCAAGCGACTTGACTATGTCTATACCTTACAGTTCGTGTCAGTAGCCAATCGAAATCCACATCAGTTGGGCAGCAGGACAGACCTCATCGTATGTGATGGCAATTTAACGTTCGTGGAGTTGTGTGAAAAGGAAAGGTTTAGACTACCGATTAGGAATGGCGTTATACCACAAAGTGTCAGTATCAGGTGGGTTTTGATTGAAATTTTTATATTTTTTAAAAATTTCGTGAAATTTCGACGATTTTTAACATTTTTTTGTCTTTCGCGACCTGCGGTAGACAAGTTATACGAAGAAAAAGCATTTCCTGGTTTGGAAAGAAAGTTCTTGCGATTTTTTGTTTTGTAAAGAAAATTTTTGTCATTTTTTGTTTTGTGAACAAAGTTTTTGCCTTTTTTTGCTTTGTAAGGAAAGTTCTGTTCTTTTTTGAAGTTTAAAAGCCTGTTTTAGCTAAAAAGCTGTTTGAAACTTGCATCTTTAGCCTTAAAATGCGAAAATTTGAGTTGTGCAGGCTGCGGGTGACAAGTTATACGATAAATGACAAAACTATAACACGTTATATATTCTATTAAAAAATTGTGTTTCAAGTTGAAAGCTTTTTATTTTTTTGAAATTTAATTTGATCTTTATACCTATTTTACTAATTGTTTCGAAAAATATGGGTTCTGCAGTCTGTGGGTGACAAGTTATACGATGACTCAAAAATCATGCTTTTTTAGATATAAATGAATTAAAAAAGAGTTGCGACGTTGTAAAGAAAGTTTTTGCAATTTGTTTTAATTTTTTTTATTTCAAAAAATTTTTGGTTTTTTGAAAATTTGGAAAACTGGTCGATAATTTGACAAAATCAACGGTTTATTAGGCTAGCGATAAATATTGCACTACAAAACTACAAAAACCAAGATGAGCTTGATTTTACAATGAACTTTTGATAAGAAAATGCGTTTTGATTACTGTACTTTACCAAAAAAATTTTGGGTTACCGTACTTTACTTCAAAAATTAGGGTTACCGTACTTTAAGTTATCAGAACCAGAGCTACTGTACTTTCTCTCAAAAAATTTTTGTTACAGTACTTTCCCAAAAGCATTCTTCTTATCGGGTTACTGTAACTTATCGCCGAGTACCGTCTTCAAAGAAAACGCCGCCATCAATAGCACAGTACTTGGGGCAGATACCCTTTTCTCCGGCAGCACCAGCTGGGCCAGATGGTCCTGGTTGACCGGGTTGTCCATCATTTCCGGGTGGCCCGTCTGGTCCATTAGGTCCCTTTGGTCCGGGTGCTCCTGGTGCACCTGGGGCTCCTGGCTGACCGGGTGGTCCGGCTGGTCCTGGTGGTCCTGGTTCTCCTGAAAAATGGCATTTTTAGTTAATTGGTTGTGTGTAGGGTTCATTTTAGAATTTTTTTTAACTTTTGGGTAATTTGACGAAATGTCACAAAAATTGACATTTTGTCTAATAATTGATTTTCCTCAAAATAACCCACCAGCTGGTCCAGGTTCTCCTGGCACCAATGGTTCACTAACAGCTGGCGCACCTGGCTCTCCTGGTGGTCCAGGAAGGCCGGGTTCTCCTGGTGGGCCAGGTGGTCCTTTTGGTCCTGGTTCGCCTGGTGGTGCATCAGCTCCATTACGTCCTGGCTGTCCTGGTGAGCCGGCATCTCCGGGTGGTCCTGGTGGTCCAGGTGGGCCGGGTGGTCCTTGTGGGCATGGTTTGCATGGTGGTGGGGTGACTGGTTCACATGGTTGAGTTGGTGGTCTTCCTGGCGCTCCTGGCAGACCTGGTGCTCCTGGTTTGCCTGGTTTTCCTGGACGGCCTGGTGAGCCAGCTGGTCCAGGTGGGCCTGGAATGCAACAACCTTCGCAGGTGCCGCTGGAGGAACCGGACTCAACTCCTTGGTCGTAGCCGGCTTGACGAGCCGTACGGTTGTTGGCTACGGGGATGGTTTTGAGGGTGTGGACTTCCTTCCAGATGTCTTGGGCGGAGCCCTAAAGGGTAAAAGTGATTAAAATTGGTATTTATGAATAGCTAAGACACTGTAGAACAGCATGGTAACAAAATCTGATATTTTACCTTAAGGCACTTTAGTTAAAAATTCAAAAAATTGACAAAAAACGTCAAAAATTTCAAAAATTCTAAAAAATTTTAAATTTCACGCCGTTTATAATTCCGAAAATTTCAAAAAAATTCTGCAAAAAAATCTGAAAAAACAGGTTTTTTGTCGCGCAAAAACAAGATTTTCATGGATTAGTAACGGCCCATAAAACGTTTTTAAAGCGCCGTTGAGGGTGTTTGAGGCGGCGGAAATTTGAATATCCTGCCGTTTCTATTGATACAAATTGATGTTTAATGCAAATATTTGAATTTCTGGATCTTTTAGATAACACAGAAAAGATGGGATGTCAAATTTTGGTTTTTTTAGTACCACAAAAAGGCTTGAATAGAGTTGTTTTTGGGAAAAAAGCTCAATTTTTGGATATTTTTTGCTTTTTTTTGAAAAAATGTATTTTACAGTAGGAAAAATACAGTAATCTGGTAAAAATTGGTATTTTATAGAAAGTACAGGGCATGTCAAATCAAAAAAATTGTTGATAAGTATCCAAAAATTGCCTTAATAGTACTATTTTCCTAGTAAAAGTTAGACCTTTAGCCTACTTTTGCTCTATTTTCTCAAAAAAGTCATTTTACAATTAGAAAAATACAGTAATCTGGTAAAACTTAAACTCATAAAGAAAGTAAAAAGCATGGCAAATAAAAACAAGTATGGGTTGGTACCAAGAAATGGTCGAAACAGTACTATTTTTCGTCTAAAAGCTGGGTATTTTCCTCATTTTTGCCCATTTCCGCCCACTTTTTCCAAAAAAAATATTTTACAGTGTAAAAAATACAGTACTCAAGTAAAATTTATTACCTTGCAAAAGTTGATTTCACTGTGCATTTGATTCCGAACAGAGTGTACATAGTTGTATACCATGGGCAAGGTGACACATACTGAAAGAACGGCAACAACCGAGAAGGTGACGGCCGAATAGGCCACAAATTTGTAAGCCTTGATCCGGCTTTCAAAGTCCATAACTGCAATTTTAAGTTAGTGGGGTTGCAAGTTTTGTAAAATACGCACAATGAAATTCATGATGACGTACAGCGGTCACGGTACAGTAAGGAACAGAGGAAAACGGCATGATCCCCCTGTTTAAAGGGGGGGGGGAGGTGAGGGGAGTATAGTGGTACTCTGTGTATTTTTATAGAGGGCGGGGCAAGTTTGGTAACTTTGAGAAGGTTGATTTGTAAATAAGGGAAGTAGAAGAAACAGGGGGGGGGAGGGGAAGTCAAAAAAGTTTTTTATCCTCCCCGACCTAAAAAAATTGTTTTTTTCGGTTCCCCCCCCCTTTTTTTTAAATGTAAACACTTTTTGTACTAAGCTACAGTACCCTACCCTACACCACACTATCCTACCCAACTCTGCTTTTTCCTACCTTACCCTACCGTACCCTACCCTATCATACCCTACCCTATCATAACCTGACTTACCCTATTCTACCTTACCCTTTCTTAATCTATCCTTTCCTACAGTACCATACTCTAACACACCCCCCTCCCCTACAGTACATTACTATTATAAAGCAACACTTCTAGATCCCATAATCTACCCTATCCTTATTTTCAAATCCCTCACCAACTACCCTATTCCTCCTAGAACCTCTGTAAGCGTTAGCTACCCCGACCTCCCTCAAAAACGCTTCAGCCACCCCACCCGTTCCTGGAAATCCCATTTCGGGCAGAGTTGTTTTTGGGTGTGAAATCCAACAACTTGACGCCGAATTCCCTCCGGCGCTCGACTTTTATAAACTGAGGAGTGCGGGGGCGGGGCTAGCCCAGCCGTTGCGGTCCGTTCGCAAAAACTTTGGAATGCGTTTGTTCGAAAACAGTTGGAAACCGTAGCCATAATAAAATTAGCCGGATCAGCGATAAAAGGAACCCGGTTTTGTGAATATAAAGGAGGGGGGGGGATTTAGGTGGGTTTGGGGGAAAAAATAGCTAGCTATATCAATTTTGAAGTTAAAAATTTTAAAAAAACTAAAATAAAGCTCTAAGCCAATCTCTAGCCTTAGCCTTAGCCTAAGCCTTAGCCTTAGCCTTATCCTTAGCCCCAGCCCAAAACTCTAGCCCTAGCGCTTGCTCGAGAGCTCTCGCTTTAGTCCTAGCCCTAGTCCACAACTCTAGCCCAGAGCCCTAGCTTTATACCTAGCTCTTGTTATAGCAATAGCCAACGGTACCTAGCTAGAAAATAAGGAACGGGTCGGGCTTGAGAAAATTTTAGGCTCAGCCCAGCTAAGCTAAATCATGACAAGACAAGCCAAGCTAAGCAAAGCCAGCCAAACCCAGGCCAGCCAAGCCGAACCATGACAAGCCAAGCCAAGCTAAGCTCAGATAAGCCAAGACAAACCAAGCGAAGCCTAACACAAATCGGCCCAACCCTAGTTTCAGCCGTAGCCTTAGCCTTAGGCCTTGTCTAATCGTACTCTGACTTTAAAAATTTACCATAGTCAAGCATAAACACAAATATCTTATCTTAAATCTACTGTACCTTTATAGAGGCCTACTGTAAAACTTTATCGAACTTTGCTGTCCTACTGTACTTTTAAAGAACCCTACCGCCTACTGTAAAATAGCTTAGCCTTATAAAATTCCATATTAACTAAGCCGTATTTTAACTCAAGCCTAATGTAAGGTTGAAAAACGCATTTTTGCCTTTGACGTCACACACTTTTTGATCGATCAAAAAAAAGCAAGTTTTTTTTTTGAAATTTCAAAATGTTTGTTCAAGTTCGACAATTGTCAGCTCACTTTTATGCAAAACTTTAAAAAAACTTCATTTTGAGACATTTTTTCGCGCGGATCCGCCAAAAACAGCCGAAGATTATTAAGATTTTAATCTAACTAGAAAAACGTCGGAATAGTCTGGAAGAGGGTTATGTCACGTTTCGGCGTGAAAATGAGGTTTTAAAGCTATTAGGAAGTGAATGATACCTAAAAAAAATTTTTAATTGGAAAAAAAGTACAGTAAGCTTATAGTGAAATAATAGATGCACTTATACTGAAGGCAGAAATTTTTGACCCCCTCATCTAACTTGGCTATATCAAAGGGTAAAGAAACGATAATCTAGGTCTGGGCTAGGCAGTACCGTTGGTTTATTTAAATGTAACGTAAGGCTATGTTAAAGCTTACTACAGTACCATACAGTAGAAGTAAGGTAGGATAAGGATAGGCTAGTATTGAGACTAAGGTTAGACTGGGCTAAAGCTAGGCTAGTTAAGGATAAAAGTAAGCGAGACTAGGCTAAAGGTAAGCTGGGCTTAAATTAGGCTATACTAAGAGCAGGGTCACAAAGAATAGGATAGGCTACGAAGGCCCGGGCAAAGCAGTGCAGGGTAGGAGAGGGCAGTATAAAGGAGGGTAAGGTAGGACAGAACAGGACATGACAAGGCGGGACAAGACAGTGTAGGGCAGAGTAGGGTAGGGTAGGGTAGAGTAGGGTAGGGTAGGGTAGGGTAGGGTAGGGTAGGGTAGGGTAGGGTAGGGTAGGGTAGGGTAGGGTAGGGAGGGTAGAGTAGGGTAGAGTAGGGTAGAGTAGGGTAGGGTAGGGTAGGGTAGGGTAGGGTAGGGTAGGGTAGGGTAGGGTAGGGTAGGGTAGGGTAGGGTAGGGAGGGTAGAGTAGGGTAGAGTAGGGAGGGTAGGGTAGGGTAGGGTAGGGTAGGGTAGGGTAGGGTAGGGTAGGGTAGGGGTAGGGTAGGGTAGGGAGGGTAGGGTAGGGTAGGGTAGGGTAGGGTAGGGTAGGGTAGGGTAGGGAGGGTAGAGTAGGGTAGGGTAGGGTAGGGTAGGGTAGGGTAGGGTAGGGTAGGGTAGGGTAGGGTAGGGTAGGGTAGGGTAGGTTTCTAGTTCTATTAATGCTAACATAACATGACTTTACAGTTTTGTTTACCGTATTACCAAAACCTTTTATGCCGAAATCCTGTTCGGCATTAATGTTTGAGTTTTGTAGGTTTTTTTTGTAATTTTATGTGAACGCGCATGAACGGATGAGGGAAGCTTCTTGAAACCTGGATGAAAACTTTCAAGGAACCGGATATTCTCGGGCGGATCGTTTTGCAAAACAATATTGAATATGAGTCATTTTAATTAAATATTGGTAAAAATTTTCAAAAATCAGAGAAAGCCGGCGTATGTCAAAATTGTAAAAAAATTTGAGCCCACCCCCTCCCCCCCCTGAAAAATTTTTTTTACCCCGCTCATCAAAAAATATTTTTTTTTAAATTTTTTTTGTGAAGTTAAATAAATACCAAAAAAAATTTTAGAAATCATTACCCTCCCCCCCCCCTTTTTTTTTAAATTACTCCCGCCCTTAAAAAAATCTGTACTGCCACTTCAAAGTTCATAATACTACCTCTACCCATGTTTCTATTCCTACCTCAATATTTACCCATACCATGCCTTACCCTACTTTATCCTACCCTATCTCTCATCACCTTATCCTACTTTACTTTACTCTGTCCTACTCTACCCTGCCCTATCTTACACTGCTTTACCCTACCTTACCTTACCCTATCCTAGTTTTACTCAAATACTATAAAATTCAGAACAAGCATGCTATATCAAAGCAATAATGACCATAAACAAGCCTACAGAAGTCTCCAGAAGCTGTTCGTAACACCGTCTCAGTCATGCCTACCTATTCCCTTCTCCCCCCCCTTCTTTGACTAAACCTAAAAATTCCACATGATTCCGTATAAGTGGATTCGGTAATCAAGTATGGTGGGGGTTCTTTACGCAAAGTTGTTGTTTTAGGCGCGTTTACGCTTACTATAAGATGCGATCGAAGCGTAACGTTGCTGTTACGTTTCCAGTTCAAGTGGTTTTGTAATGAAGGTGGCTATGTCCAACCAGGTTTTACAGGCGTATTTTACATTAGAAAATGGCAAGAACTTTCTTTCCAAAACAATAAATGGCAAGAACTTTCTTTACAAAACAAGGAATGGCAAGAACTTTCTTTACAAAATGAAAAGTAGCAATAACTTTGTTTACAAAACAACAAATGGCAAGAACTTTCTTTAAAAATCATAAAATGGCAAGAACTTTCTTTACAAAAGACAAAATGGCAAGAGCTTTTTTTACAAAACAAAAAATGGCAAGAACTTTCTTTACAAAACATGAAAAGCTCATTTATCGTGTAACTTGTCACCCGCACAAAGTTACAAAAAAAAACAGTTCTGAAGTATAAATTGCAAGAACTTTCTTTACAAAGCAAAAAAATAGCCAAAAACTTCCTTTACAAATCAAAAAAATGACAAAAAATTAATTCACAATTAAAAAAAATTAAAATTTTCAATTTATGACATTTTTTACTTCAGAAGCTCCGGAAACCCGATTTACATAGCTTTGGAGCACAGTTTGGGGCCAATAAACAATGGCCATGTCTTTGGTGACATTGACGTCTTATTCAGAGTGCATGCTTCTGTTGAACGTAAGTTTTGTGAAATGGGCCTACTATTTTTAAATATAGGCTTGAAATTTCAAAACTGAACTTTCAAAGCCGTAATTGAGCCTAAGGGACCTAAAATAAGCCTACAGTTTAAATATAAGCCTAACGTTTAAAAATAAGCCTAAAGTTTAAAAATAAGCCTAAGCTTTTCAAAATAAGCCTAAAAGTCTTAAGAATGAAGCTGTTTTCTAAATTAAGCACAAGGTTTCAAAAATAAGCCTAAAACTTTTAAAATAAACCTAAATTTTCATAAACAAGCCTAAAAATGAAAAAGTAAGTCTAAAATAAAAAAATAAGCCTAAAATAAAAAAATAAGCTTAGAATAAAAAACTAAGCCTAAACTTCCAAAAAAACCTTTAAATCAAAAACTTTAGACAAAGCATTCTATGGCCTAAACGTGACAAACTCAATCGTATCCAACAACACTCAAAATGGAATATCGGCCAAAGACATCACTGATCGACTAGCCCTTACTAATGTTACAGTAGACGGCAACCAAGGTTATGCTGGATTATACATCAAAAGTGGCGCTGGTGATGTTTGGATCAATGACACTTCGTTGAGCCATAACTGGGGTGACGGAATGAATGTCAGCTTTGCTGGTGGTGCTATCAATTTGAATAGCTCGAGAGTGGTTGGGAATAGATGGAGAGGTAAGCGACCCTACTTCAAACCCCTACCCTACCCAACCCTACCCTACCCTACCCTACATTACCCTACCCTACCCTACCCTACCCTACTTTACACTACCTTACCCTACCCTTCCTTACTCTACCTTACCCTACCCTATCCTAAGCTAATCTACCCTTCCTACCGTACCATAACTAGTATAACCGGATCCTTACTGTAATCCCACCTACCCTTACCTACCGTATTTTGACCCTTGACTTGCAAAAAAGCCGGTTCGGGCCTAGTGGGTCTCCTTTTAGGTCTACTTTGGATAGTACTATGCCATCGTCCCTTTGACAAAAGTACTATACCACTACCTTCCTAACATTTCTTTAATTCCAGGAGTATCAGTCCACTACAACACCTCCCTGCCCTTCTTCTCCCTCCACAACGAGGTGGTAATCAAAGGTCGACCAGCCAACAATCTCTTTTACCCCAAAATGCTAATAGCTCAAAACTTATGGGGTGGTGTATTAATTGGGAATTACTGTAGAAATGCTGACGAAGCAGCAGAGTACGATATTCGGCCAAGAGTTCAAATAAATTGGGTACATTTCGACGAAAACTTTTACCACCCCCACATGGATATCTTTGCTTGTCAGGATAATCATGTCGCACAGAGCATTGTGGATATTACTGGTCGGTTTTAAATCTTATTTGTTAAAGTAAAATTGAAAATTTTAAATTTTGAAATTTATTAGGGCGCAGATCGCCGGACATGTTTTATCGTATAACATATCACATTGAGCTCAAAACTGATTTTTTTGCTTGTAAAACAAATGGCATGCCTATTTATACCATAAAAATGTATTTTTTTAAATTTTAAGTTATCCTGGGCGCAGATCGCCAAACATGTTTCATCGTATAACGTGTCACTTTTGACTCAAAATTAATTTTTTTGCATAAAAAACAAATAGCACGCAAATTTTTACCATAAAAATGTAATATTTACAATTTTATGTTAACAAGGGCGCAGCCTGCCAGACATGTTTCATCGTATAACATGTCACTTTTAAGGTCATTTTTTCGAAATTACAAAAATACCTTTTGTTTCTGAAACACGGTGCCTAGATAATGTAAAATATATACGTTGTAAAGACCCATTTCTCAAAAAAATTGTCATATTTTGATAAAAAACCGCAATAACTTTCTTTCCAGGCAACAGCGTGATCGCCGGCTCGGGAATCGGCTTCAAAATGGAGCCGGCTGTCAATACGCACCTAATAATCAACTCAAATCGCTTTCACAACATTCAAAATGCCGCGTTAATCGTTCGAAACGCCAAACATCCTCAATTGAGATACCTTCCGGCCAAAGTTGAGATCTACAAGAATGACATTAAGATGAACACTGGCAAGTACATAGTAGCTATTGGTATGAATGAGAATGCCGAACGGCAAAGTTTGACATTTTCACAACAAAATGAAGTCAGAGCAAATACTGTTATTAATCCATTTCCCTTTCTGAGGCCTAGAAGCACACCGTACGCAGCGGTAGTGGTCAGCAGCAGGTAAGGGTTGAGCTTACATTTTTTGTCATAACTTTTTGAATTTTTTGTGAATTATTTTAAATTTTAGGTACGTAGGGTTGAATTAAATGTAGTTTAAGCTACAAAAAGAAAAATCGCAAAAACTTTCTTTACAAAACCAAAAAAATTAAAAAAAACTTAGGTTTGAGATCAAAAATTACGTCATGGGTAATATAAATTGATGTGTAAAATTAAAAGCTAAAATGAGCCTTCAAATTTTTTACGTTTAAAAGATACATATTAACCTGCTGTTTAGTTTACAATAACGAAAATTGCAAAAACTTTCTTTACAAAACCAAAAAATCAAAAAAAAATTTAACAACACCTCAAAAGCAAGGCGATGGTTAATATAAACTAATCTTTTTAAACCCAAATTTTGTAAAAATTGAAAAATTTCACTCTGCCAGTACTGTAAAATGACTATGGTAAATTTTCAGTAACGTCAAGATCAACTACAATTGCTTTGGCAACCCAAAAGCCGACTTTGAACTTGGAGTAGAGCTTATGGAACATGCTAAGCGAATCGACGCCAGAAACAATAATTGGGGTGATGCTGATGCTAGAAACTTTTTACATAGGATCTTTGATCAGGTATGTTGTAATTTACTCTATTCTACCGTATCGTACCCCTCACCACCCTATCCTAGACCCGTACCCTACCTTACCCTACCGTACCCTATTCTGCGCTACCCTACCCTACCCTTATGCTGTGCCCACCCTAACCTGTTATACTCTGTTCTACCATCATGTTTACCATATCATATTACTCACTAAACCCCCAACGCCGTATTTTACAAAAAAAATTTAGTTCAACCGCTATTCCCTAGCATCAGTCGATCTGAATCCCTACGCTGCCGTTTGTAATCAACGTTCCCCAAATCCAACGTTCCTACAACAAACCTATCGTCACTTCCGACGATCTCATCAGCCCTTTTCGATTGGTGGCACTATATACGAAAATAGTGACTTACAGCCAGGAAAGTATACTGTAACTGATGATTTGCATATTAGTCCTGGTGCCAAGTTAACCATTTCTCACGGTACTGAATTGGAATTTCTGGATGGTGTTGGTATGTTGGTACAGGGAGAGTTGATAAGGAATGACTATTCGAATCCATTTCAACCTATCAAGTTCACTGCCAAACCTTTTCAAATACCTCATGTGGAGAATATACGGTAAGATTTTTGATTTTGAAATGGCAGGGTCAGGCATACTGTAGGGTGTAGTGTAAGACGTACTGTAAGGCATATTGCAATATTTACTGTAGGGCGTATTGTATGGCGTATTTTAAGGCGTACTATAAGACTTAATGTAGGGCTAACTGTAGGACGTACTGCAAGGCGTACTGTAGGGTGCACTGTACGGCGTACTGTAGGTCGTGCTATAGGACGTACTGTAGAATTTACTGTAGAGTTTACTGTAGCGAATACTGTAAGACGTACTGAAGGGTAGCTGTAAGTAAAGCTCACAATTTTTCTTTCAGTCTAGTCGATGACTGGGGCAATGAAGAAGTCTTTGCCGGTCGATTGGAGCTCAAAATCGAAGGACAATGGGGCACGGTGTGCAATCGTTCCTGGACTGCAGCCCATGCCCAATTGGCTTGTAATCAACTTGGATTAACCATGGATCCTCAGTATTTTGAAAATTGGCGGATTTTTGTCGATAAAGGTGACTTGCCAATGCTGGTCGATAACATTCGATGTGAAGAGCGTGAATGGGATATAACACAGTGTAGACGAGATGGCAGTGTCCATAATGTTCAGGTAAGGGTCTTGTGAAGAAAATTCTTGCAATTTTTTGTTTTGTAAAGAAAGTTCTTTCCATTTCTTGTCTTGTAAAGAAAGTTCTTGCCATTTCTTGTTTTGTAAAGAAAATTCTTTCTATTTTTGAATTGCTCTTCGTATTTTACCAATTCCAGGCCTCCTGTCGACCAACAGAAGTAGTCGGACTCCGTTGTGCCCAACCACATTGGGCTGGTGTACGGTACTCATTATTGGCCAATCCTCCAACTATAACTGGCCAAACCACTATGAACAATTGGATTATTGAAAAGGCTGGTCTTTTCGATTTTAGAACGTCAAGCTTTTCACCGGCGCTTCAAATCGACTGGAACTACCACACTTTTCATGGGCTGGTCATACGGTAATTTTTCTTTTGAATCGTATAACTTATCACCGCAAGCTGCGCGACAAGTAATCGTGATATAAAGGGTAACTATAAGGGTATGGGTAGAAACGGAAGTAGGGGTACTTTTAAAAGTTGTTTCACTGTATTTTACCATGCCCTCAATTTTCAGTGACAACTTCGATGAAGGTCTGGACATTGTTTATAACGATTTGACCAAAAAGCCGGCTGTCAGACATTCCCGATTCGAAAGAAATCGTCGAAATGGAATTAGGCTTAGGTCTGTAGGCTTAACGATAGAAGAAGTTACGATTAAGGACAATCAAAACGCTGGTATTCGATATGATCCATCCATATCTGAGAATCTTCAGCGTGATATCGTATCTTGGTTGGATCGGAATGAACAACCAGAATTAGAGGCTAACAATGTTCATGTCTTTCCTAATCGAAGCTTGACTAGGCTGCAGGTAAGAGAGAGAGTTAGTAAGCCTAAATGATTTAGCTACCATTAGCTTTTTGTCACATTAACTCAATCCACAACACTTGATCTTAAGCCTAAAATGCTTGATATTAAGCCTAAAAATCCTAGTTAGGCTTGATCGTACGGCAAACAAGCCTAGTAAAGCTCGCCCTTAAGCCTGAAAAAAGCTTGATCTTAAGCTTAAGAGCCCAAAAAACGCTTGATCATAAGCCGAAGAACCCTAATAAAGCTTTATGGCTAGCCTGAGAAAGCTCGATTTTAGACTAAAAAGCCTAACAAAACTTCCTCTTAAGCCTAATGAAGCTTAATTTCATCTCAAAAAGCTTAACAAGACTTAATCTCAAGCCTAAAACTCCTCTTTCATAAAAACCAATTCCAGGTACACGAATCTCAACTCAATCATCGTCGTTTCCTCGTAGCCAGAGCAACTCCAGACTGTCCATACATATCTTCAGAACCATGCTCTTTCGAAATGCAATTAGAAGCCCAAGGTTACGAATACGGTATCACATCAAAACTAGTGGTTCAACTGGTACACCGTCCGAACAACGAGTCAGATGAAGATGTCATACTCATTGACCATCAAGGTCATAAAGTATGGAGCGCTAGAAAAAATCCAATCGATTTTCCGATTCAATCAGCTGGACCAGCGCTAACGTTACGGTACACAAGGTCGTACGGTCAACCAAAAGTGATACTACTGGTACTGTTTTTGGACACACAAGAGTACTTGGACAAGTTTGTTCATGTGTATCAGAGTGTGGTTGATAACAACCAGTATGGTGTGTCGGCTATACATTACAGTAATCTGACTTTTTCGGATGGTACTGTATTGAATCGGTGGAGTGATGAAAAGTTGTGGTTCCAGAAGGTAAAATTGTGTTTTGGAAAAAAGTTCTTGCTATATTTTGTTTTGTACAGAAAGTTCTTGTCTTTTTCGATTTTGTAAAGAAAGTTCTTGCCATTTTTCGTTTTGTAAAGAAAGTTCTTGCAATATCTCGTTTTGTAAAGAAAGTTCTGGCCTTTTTCGATCTGTAAAGAAAGTTCTTGCCATATTTTGTTTTGTAAAGAAAGTTCTTGCAACACCTCGTTTTGTAAAGAAAGTTCTTGCCTTTTTTGATTTTGTAAAGAAAGTTCTTGCCATTTTTCGTACTGTAAAGAAAGTTCTTGTCATTTTTTCTTCTGTAAAGAAAATTCTTGCCATAACAACTCATTATCGTCCCAGGTCAACTTCACAAACAACAAAGACGCGGTTGTATGGATTCACAGTCCCCAGCACGCTGTAGTTGAAGCAACACCAATTGCCGAAATCACTTGGCACATTGACAACTGTTCCATACATGATAACACCGGACCTGTTGTTGATACCCACAGAGATCTCTTTGCTTCGGCAAATGTGTTCCACTGGAACTTTTGGTCGAATACATTTGAAAACAACACAAACAGTGGAGTTAACGTTGTTCTTCCTGATACATATGACCTGCTGAGTCCAAAGGAACATTCTTTTTGGGTAAGAATGGGTTTGCAGCCTGCGGGTGAAGAGTTATACGATGATTTTTTTTCGTTGTAAACAAAGTTATTGCCGTTTTTTGTTTTTTAAAGAAAGTTATTACCATTTTTCGTTTTGTAAAGAAAGTTCTTGCCAATTCTTTCTTCCGTAAACAAAGTTCCTTCCATTCCAGATGACAGAAAACCGTTTCCAAGGCAACACCGGCTTCTACGTCAACCTGGGTGGCTACTACTGCTTCGCCAACATATCATCAAACAATGTCACCGACAATTACGCCCGGCAAGACCTAGGTATCTGGTCGTTAACGGGCATGGAAAAACGGTTGATAATGGAGAGAAACAGGTTCTTTAACAACTGGGGCCATTGGATGGTGAAGATCGACACTGACAGCCAATATCTACGCCCCAGCGAGATACCAAGCTATGTTCAGTTCAATTACTTCCAGTTCAACAAGTTTGTTCATAGTTTAGATGATTATGTTGATTCTTGGCCCAGAAGTTACTGTGTTGGAGCGTTTGGTACTCAAAAGATCGATATTCATTACAACCGGCTGAAGAACAAGCTGATGGACTTCGAAATTGTCGCCGGTGTTAAGGTAAGGTCTCCTTTGCGATTTCATCTTCAGATTGGCACAGTGAAGCTTTCACTGTAACATTTTTCCATTTGCTTTACCTTATGAATCATATCATTCCAGCCCCAACGTCCAGCAATTGACATAATGAATATCACTTACAACTGGTTTGGTGTAGCCAATGAAGCCGGTGTAGCTCAACGGGTCTTTGATGTAGAAGACTGGAATATCTTTACAGTAGGAAACTATTCTCCGTTTTACAGCAGTGAAGAGCAATTCATCAATTTCTGGTGGGAACCAAGAAAAGGACAACTAATTCATGCCGAGCCAGCTGAGCCAAACGAATTAGACTTGAAAGGAAGAATGTATCAATCTAAAACATTGTCGCTGAATCCGGAACGATGGTACAAGTTTCCATACGTTTATCGACCATTCAGGCCATACAGGGTCACTAGGTATGGTAATTTTTGTTTATATTATCCATGACATCACTTGAACTTATAATAATATTGTCTATCCTGAAAAATAAGTCAAAAAAGATCCTCACCTTATCTTATTAAATGTTGAATTATCTAAACAATCTAATATTTCAGAGATTTGACGATTATGCCAGGAGCTACATTAACAATCGAGCGAAACGTCGAAGTTCATGTCTGGCCCAACGTCCGAATCCTAGTTTTGGGAAATTTGGTCGCCGATGGAACGCTTTGGCAGCCAATACGCTTCAAACCAATCAATGCCACAGAATGGGCTGAGGAATTGGGTACCAGACCCACCAGATACAGAAGACATACGACGTTGAGAAGGCAAAAGCGGAGAATCGATGTTGATCAACGTCATGAAGCTTTTGTTCGACGGAAGCGGAAAACGTAGGTTTTTTTGGACTTCTAGTGGATTTTATTAGAAGAAGAAGGATACTTCCGATCTTTTGAGCCCAAAATTAAGCAAAGCCTTCTCGATTCAGCGTAAAAATTCATGTTGTTACCTAAAATTCAAGCAAAAACGAAAAAACTTACCAAAATAGACCGTTTTTGTAAAACTTTTAAGATACTTGACTTCTGTATGTCTTCAAAAACTAAAACAATCCATAACCAAACTAAAAACTCCCTAACCCACCTTTGAAAATCATGTTATACCTAAAAAAAGCAAAAAAATCAGAAAAGCTCACTAAAACAATATCGGCTCTTTCAGTGGTCCTCAAAAGTTTGATCCAGTATACAGTGAATTCCCAACACTACGTCGTGAAGATCCTTTCCATCAGAATTTCCGTGTTTTGTTATCTGAAAATGGCACGAAACTCGGACGAAGCGGCTTTCTGGAGCTTTACAACGCGACGACAGGTGAGATCGTACCTTCTTGTGATCGTCAGTTCACTGCCAGGAATGCTATGGTAAGTTCTGTAATTAAAAAAGGTAGAACATGGTTTTGTTGTTTATATTGTGGCAAAAAGAACCTATTTTTTAGTTAAACATTGAGGTTTTTCATCGCTTTTTAGAGGCGAACACCTGATTTCAGACAAAATTGATGGTTATTTATTAGAAAAATGGTTATACTATAGTGACAAGAATCGTATTTTACTCCAAAAACCTTTCAGGTAGTATGTCGAGAACTAGGCTATCGTACCCAAAACGCATATCACTGGTTAACCCCACGATTCGACTACAATCCTGAAGTTAATCTAGTCAAAACTTATATGGAACCTCGTGAATGTCGTGGTCATGAACGTCGTCTAGCCGAATGTCCACTTCGTTTAGCTGCTAACGATGCCATGTGGATGTGTATGGATGTGTTGTCTCACAATTACATCCATTGTGGTGATCCGAAGAGCATCAGCGACGAATATTTTGGCCAATTTGGTGGGATCACCTTTGCTCAACAGGATTTGGAGCTGGTTCAGAACAAGGATGATGGTAAGGGTTGTCTAAAAGGAAATTAATGATAGTTAATCAAAGTTTCGGTTTTGTCTGATCAGGTTTTGGACAAGAAACTGTAAAAGAAAATTTACATCAAGTTGTGTAAAAGGTCCCACCACGAAACATTGAAATGCCAAAACGTGCAAAAATCGTTTGGCATTCTGTTTTTCCTTGATTTTTCGACGAGAAAAGCTCGGTTTTAGCTAAAATAAGGTGTTTTTAAGCCTAAAAACTGTCGTAGAACATAAAATTATATCTCTATCTCATTTTAGACACATCAATTCTCCGTCATGTTGAAATCGTCGGCGGAGGGCAAGCTCACAACGACTCGTACCAAACCGCCGCTCTTCAAATCATTCGCCGCAATCCAATTGTCGAGAATCTGAATGTCACCAACTCTTCAATGCACGCGCTACAGATCATAGCACCTAGGGAGAATATCGTGTTGACTAGACTGAATATTAGCGACAATCCAGGCCAAGGGCTGAATATATTATCCATGAACCTGCAAGCCGCTCAAAATGGTGGTCAAACTGCGAAAGGGCCATTGAATTTGCCGTATAATGTTGCTGGGATGTTGGATGTATGTTCGGGAGGGAAAGAAGTCATGGTTGGTGGGAGGATATTGATCTACTATAAATATGATAGTAGACCTGTCGATTGTGTCAAAGTTTTCAAGTCGAAGACGGCTAAGGGGCTTGGATTTAGGTTTTTACAGGTAAGGGATTAATTGTTCTTTACTGTTTTAAAGCTTTGACTGGCTTTTGAGTATTATGGAAAAATGAAGTTTTGGGGTCTGCAGGCTGCAGATGACAAGTTATACGATTGACAAACTTAATTTTACTTTTTTTTAAATTTTTCTTAATTTCCTGAAATTTATTTTAATTTTTATAAATTTTAAAAATTTTTAAATTTAAAAAAATTAATTTTTTAAATTTTTTAAAATTTCGAATATGCAGGTGAATATCTACTCAGCCAACAATCCTCTGGGCCGTTCCGACGCGTTATCTTTGTATTCGGACGATACTTTTCGACCAATCTCGCTATTAGCCAAATACGATGGTAATTCCATGGTAAATTTCAATGGTAAATTTGATCCAAATACCATATCATCTAACCCAGCCACAACGATCGTTTCCTATCCTCCAATCACATCTCGTTCTACCGTGCTTGGGTTACACTTACGAGCTACGGCTGCTGACGGTGAATTTGGGTTTATCGCTGAAGTGGCTACACTGCCATCGTCGCCGGATTCACGGTCGGTCGATGAGATTTCACTTCGAAATTCGAGATTTCACAACAACGATCGTGGTGCTATATTGTACCGGAATGTTGGTGAAGTTGGGCCACATTTGATTGTAGAGCAGTGTCTGGCCGAAGGCAATGGCTACTTCCTCTTTGGCAACGTCTCCACCTCGAGTCAGGCGGTGGAGCTACATCTACATAACACTCAGTTGTTGCTATATCGAGCTAATGCTATTCATGGTAATCAAGGTGGATTGTTGGTGACTGCACAGAGCAGTAGTGCCGTGGCTAGGCTGAATGCTGTGGTTAAAAACTCGGCTTTCACTATGAATATGAACTCGACCGCTTTGGCGTTTTTGGGTAGGTTTTTGGAGGGGTAGAGGGAGAGGTAGCCGTAGAGAGGGAAGGGGGTGAGTATTTGGAAACAAAGTTTTTGCGAATTTGAAAAAAAAATTTTTAATGGTTTTTGTAAAGAAAGTTCTTGCCATTTTTTGTTTTGTAAAGAAAGTTCTTGCTATTTTTAGTTTTGTAAAGAAAGTTCTTTCCGTTTTTTTTTGTTTTGTAAAGAAAGTTCTTGCCATTTTATGTTTTATAAAAAAAGTTCTTGCCATTTTTTATATTGTAAAGAATGTTCTTGCCATATTTTTAATTTTTTGAATTTTTAAAAAATTTTTTTAAATTTTAGGTAACGACTACCAAAGAGTGACATTACTAAACAACATTGTATCCAAAAACCTGGCCATGTACTTTGATACCTGTTTAGTACAAGGAATGAGTGTCAATTTCACTCGAAATGTCTTCAGCAACAATACTGGCACTCATACTGTTGATACTCAAGGCTATTCTCAAATAGCATCTGATGCACAGTACTTTTACGAGAACTTCTTTGAGAATAACATAGCCTTGGGGCATGGTAATCAGTATATTGAAGGGTTTGGGTATCAACCGGAGTATGAGAATGACGAGTTTCATCGACGGCCGAAAAGAAGGGCTAAGCGACAGGTAAGACTACAGTACATAGTTTGTAAAAAAACTCAGTAGGTTTAGGTTTAGTAAGCATACAAGGCTTAGTATGTGTCAGTATCCTCAGGCTTAGTAGGCTTAGGCTTAGTAGGCTTAGGCTTAGTAGGCTTAGGCTTAGTAGGCTTAGGCTTAGTAGGCTTAGGCTTAGTAGGTTAGGCTTAGTCGGCTTAGGCTTAGTAGGCTAGGCTTAAGTTTTTGTCTTATTAGGCTTGCTTATGACATGTCAAGAGGCATAGAGCGCTGTTTATAGTATAAGAACATCTCGCAAAAACTGGGAATGTAATGTCAGGCCTCGAAGTAAAACAGAGCCAAATCCCAGCACTTGCAGTCATTTGTTGGGTCGTTTTACATCGAGGCAAATGTTATATAAGGCCATAATATTACATAAGAAAACGTTACGTAATACCATTTCTTGCAATTTCTCTGAGGCGATCTAGTTATGTCAAAAAGTTATGTCATTTACGCGAAATTATGTCACCAATATTAAGCTACAGCACATATATTTTGATCTAATAGGTGCCGACATAAAGATCCCGCCACACTTTGCCTGTAATTTCCTGTAAAAAATGACGGATTATGTTGGAAATTAATATTTTACAATATAGGCCTTTGCGTATAGTATTAGGTTGTTCACTTAATTCTGCGCCTCCTCACAAAGCAAATTTGTGGTGTAAGGGGACGCAGAATTATGTGAACAACCTAATAATATATCAAATTTTAGGTGGTAAATCAACGCGGCATCTCATTCGACTGGTGGACTCACGTCGGTCGAGAGACCGGTCGATATCGTTCTACTATTCTGTCAGGTTCAGCCGCTCAGAAGCTGGAGAGAAACGTCTTCAACAACCCTTCGAATCCATATGAATTGACCACGTCGGGTCAAACCCAGTTTGATACTGGCGCTGTTGATGCGATGAACAACTATTGGGGCTATCTTGGAACGCCTGGAGTGGCGGCTGGTAAAATCAGAGATCAAGCGGATTATCCTTACCTGGTCAAGGTCAATTATTTGCCGGTTTTGGATTCGAATACTAGTTTGATTGAAGGTAAAATTGTTTATTCTTACCCCTACTGTCCCCCTACCCTATTCCTAACCTTACCCCTACTATTATCTCTTGAGGTACACTTAGTGGTAACAATGGTACTTTTTCAAATTTTGCACCTTGTTTTAGTTTAAACCTTTAAAATGACTATTTAGGTATGTTTTAGAGGTTTTTGAGAAATGGTACCGTTGGTACACTTAGTGGTACTAATGGTACTATTATTGAAAAAAGTGTTTTTAGTCTATCATAAGATACTCTACAGTACTCTTTCTTTTCTCTTTTTTGAATTGACTTTATCTTATCCTGTTTAACCCCACCCCACACTTTCAGGCGACTGCCCAGCCGGCTGGTTCCAAGTAGGTAACGATGAATTCAAATCCTGTTTCCTGTTCGTCGGCGCTTCAATGACATATCATGGAGCTGTGGCTTTCTGCGAAGAACTGGACGCATTCATGCCGATTCTGAGAGCTGACGATGCTAGACAAAAGGATCTGGCTAGACGGGTGGATTACTATGGACAACATTACGTTACTGAGACGGAAAAGTACAGCTCGTTGGGGGTAAGAAGGGTTAGAATAAGTGGTTTTATTGAGTTTTGGTACATTTGGAGCTTTTTTAGGGGGTTTTGTAAAATGGTACTATTGGTACACTTAGTGGTTCCAATGGTACTATTTTTTCAATTTTGTAAAATTTGGTTTAAGATGACTTTTTAGTTATATTTTGAAGGTTTTTGAGAAATGGTGCCGTTTGTACACTTGCTGGTACCTAGTGTTGGTACACTTGGTGGTACCAACGGTACTACTTTTCCAGCGTATCAAAATTTGGTTTAAATAATTATAAAAGCTTTTTAGTGTTATTGTTGAGATTTTTGAGATATGGTACTGTTGGTACACTTGGTGGTACTAATGGTACCTTTTTTCAAAAACAAACTATTTGGGTTGTAGCACTAAACTTTTTTTAAAAAATGTTAAAATTTTTACTTTTTGGTACTGCTGGTACACTTGGTACCAAATTTTGTAAAATACGTCCGGCATAAAATCCATTGCTAATTAATTTCAGCACTCCTTCGACATTCCAATATGGATATCATCAGTGACATTACCTTCGAACCAATGTGGCTGGCTCTCCTCGCGTACCGGCAGTATTGGCGAACAAAATTGCGGCAACTTGTTGCCATTCGTCTGCGAAAAGGGTACCAAACCATACAAAGAACCAATTCTGTGGAGACGAGATTTGGTCTTTGTGGCTATAGCACTGTTGATACTGGCATTGCTGATTATATTGTTGATGATTTGTGCTTGTCGAAGGGCTAGCAAAAGGCAGAAACAGTTTAAAGCGCAAAAGTTGCAGTTCAGAGAGGGATCGTTGAGGAAGAAGAGTCCGCATAATGGAAGAAGGAATGGAGGTAAGGGGAAGTTTTTGTTTTGTAAAGAAAGTTCTTGTCATTTTTTGCTCTGTAAAGAAAGTTCTTGCCATTTTTTGCTTTGTAAAGAAAGTTCTTGCCATTTTTTGTCTCGTAAAGAAAGTTTTTGCCATTTAAATATCAAAAAAGTGGCTTTTTGCCTTGCGCAGCCTGCGAGAGACAAGTTATACAATGAAAAACATTTTTTGTTTTGTAAAAAAGTTCTCGCCGTTTTTGGCTTTGTAAAGAAAGTTTTTGCTATTTTTTGGTTTTTAAAGACAATTTTTATTGAAAAGTCTATCAAAAAATGGCATTTTTGGGCCTAAAATGTCAAAAGTTTGTGTTGTGCAGGCTGCGGGTGACAAGTTATACGAGGATTTCTACACATTTAGGTTTTCTTTTGAATTTAAGATTAAAAATAGAAGTTGTAAAGAAAGTTATAGCGTTTTTTTAGATTTTGAAGAATATTTTTTATTTTTTAATTTAAAAAAATTTTTTTATTTAAAAATTTTAATTTTCAGCCCCGCCCAACTCGACCGACATTTTTGATGCGATGAACCCACAAGCCAACGTCGCCAACCTAGCCAAGCTTCACGAATCCATGAGAAAACAGAATTCATTAAAAAAGAAGCCGGCTACAACGGCTACAACTTCATCGTCATGCACGTCATCATCAACATACGATACCCGCACCTCCGAGTACTGTTCTCGATCCCAGTGCGATTTGAGCACTGAAAACACGTACTCATCGTTAGTATCAAGTCAATCTCCACCACCGGCTTACAAGACTGATACGATGCGGTCGAAGGGAACGTTGGGAACGATGAAGAACAGTCGAGTGTCAATGAAGCCGGACCCATATGAAGGATGTGGTAGTAGAAACAGAGGGGAGTGTCAGGGTAAGGGGAATGGCGTTTTGAAGGGGATTTTAAGTTAAAAATGACAATTTTTTTATTTTTGTTTGGACATTTTTGATCGTATAAAATGGTGTTCGCAGACTGCATTGCTTAAAAAATTTATTTTTTGGGAAAGAAAATGATGTTACTTATAGATAGTAATCAAAACAGGCCTAGTTTTTGATATTTTAAAAAATTTTGAAGAAATTTTTATCGGGCCATTTTTGATCGTATAACACGGTCCGCGCAGGCTGCATGGCGTAAAAACTCGATTTTTTGGCAAGTAAAATTACGCTAATTACAAGTAGTACTTAAAATAGGTTTAATTTTTTATATTTTTAAAATTTTCAGTAATTAAAAAAATTTAATTTTTAAAAATATTTTTTTTATACAAAAATTTTTTAAACTTGTAAAATACGTGTTGTTTATCCGTTTCAGTATTAGTTTATTTTGGCTTGACCGCTTCATACTGGTTTGAGAGTTAAACTCACATTCGGACATGTTCGGCCGTATAAAATGGTCTGCGCAGGCTGCACGACATAAAAACCTTATTTTTTATCTTTTAATCAATTAAAAAATAAATTTTGAGAACTTTAAAGGATGAAAAATTATTTTTGGACTAATTTTTAACATTTTTTCAAATTTAAAAAATTTTTAATTTTAGTAAACAGTACATTCGACTCCGAAGCCAACAGTACCTACGTTACCTGCTCGAACTGCTCCAACTCCTCATCCAGAACCTATTCCTCAACATATTACTGCTCAACCTGCATGACAGAGACCAACTCAGTGACGGAAAGTGATGCCACTCTAACCGAAGTACCTACAACAATATTGGAAGAAAACAGCAGTCGATCCTCGGAATCGACCGTTGTCGATAATCGACCGGTAAGATCGGGCAGGAATTTGAGTCAACGAAGTCAACCGGTCAATATGACCACTCCTTCGAGCACTTTGATGGCTAGTAGTCGGACTGATAGCACTTTGCAGTAAGTTTTTTTTGGGTGGGCTGGGGGGGGTTTTGGGTGGGCTGTGATTTTAAAAATTTTTAAAAATATGAAAAGAGTAATGTAAAAATGTTTAAAAAAAGCAAGAACTTTCTTTACAAAACAAAAAAATTGCAAGAACTTTCTTTACAAGGCAGCGAATCTTATTCGTCGTATAACTTGTCCACCGCAGGCTGCGAAAGGCAGAAAGATACTTTTTTGATATATAAATGGCAAGAACTTTCTTTACAAAACAAAAAATGGCAAGAACTTTCTTTACAAATCAAAAAAAGGCAAGAACTTTCTTTACAAATTAATTTTTTTATATTTCAGACCCAGCTTCCAAGTCTCATCTCGAACCCAACCATCACGCTTATCGACCAGTCGATCCAATCCAAATCTAGCTCAAGAAGCCCAACCAAAGATTGCTCAACTACAATATGAACCCAGACGTCAACGGCCGCGTTCCGGCTACCAAGAACCGCCTCCACCGTATAATTCACACGAATTTGTGGATTCGACCAGCTTAAATCGACAGAAAGCCCAACCGACCAGTCTGAATGAGATTTTGCGGAAAAGCAGTGTGATTGTCATGTCACCGGTCAATTACCAAGGTAAGTTTTGGTATTTTTGTTTGGAAGTTTAGGGCTCTCAAGGGCACAGGCTGAGTGTGACAAATTTTACGGGAACAGGCTGCGGGGGACATGATATATGTAGCGTATTCTTAAGGAAGTTAGGGCGCAACTCGCGAGATCCATGATTTTTCGGTTTTTCGGATTGTGGGGACAAGTTATAAGGGCTCAGGCTGCGGGAGGCACGTTATACGAAGTATATTTTGTAAGGCGCTTAGGCCGCAGCTTGCTAAATTCAGTATTTTTGTACTGCGCAGGCTGCGGAGGACAAGTTATACGGGCGCAGGCTACGGAGGACATGATATACGAAACATTTTTTAATAGAGTTTAGGGCGCGGCCTGCGAATTTCAAGATTTTTTTGGGTTTTGCAGGCTGCGGGTGACAAGTTATACGAAGAATAAGATTTTTTTCTTGTGTAAAGAAACTTCTTGTCGTTTTATGCTTTGTAAAGAAAGTTTTAGGTATTTTTTGTTTTGTAAAGAAAGTTCTTGTCATTTTTGGTTTTTTAAAGAAAGTTCTTGTCATTCTCTATTTTGTAAAGAAAGTTTTTGCCTTTTAACGTAAAACAAACGAATTTTCATCTTTCGCAGCGTGCAGGTGACATGTTATACAATGGTTAAACATTTTTTCATTTTCAAGTTTTGTAAACAAAGTTTTGGTATTCTTTGCCATTTTATAAACATATTGATCATTCCTTTACCTAAACCTCAATTTCAGCCCAGTCCCCATCATCAGTCCAGCCACCGAAACCGGGCATGGGCTACGTTAATATGGGCTTCCCAGCTACAGGCGAGCGGCCTGTAGCCAAACCACCCCTCCCACCTCCAAAACCGGAAATGCGGTCTCGGGCCCAGTCCAGCGGCCAGGCTGGTCGACCAGTCCAACGACCAAAGTCTGTAATACGAATGGATCAAGGGGTTATGAGAATGGAGACCTCAATGTAGATAACATATTTATTTGGTTGGTCAAAAAAGTTTGAGCTACTACTATATTGGGTTGTTCAAAAAAGTTTGAGCTATCAATATGTTAGGTTGCTCAAAAACCTTTGAGCTATTAAAATATTGGGTTGTTCACATAATGTTGAGCCACTCATCCTAATCCTAATAATTTTCTTTTAAAGGTGGCTCAGGCTTTTTTGAACAGTCTAATACCAAATGACTGATAGATTGTTGTACATAATGGATTTACTGTGAATATGTGATGTTTTAAAATTTTTTATTTTTTTATCAAGCTACGGGTATTTTAAATAATAAATTGTTATGTTATAGTAGGCTTTTGATGTATTTATTATATAATAGTAGGTTTTTTAATCTTGAAAAACTATTCTTATGTATTTGTATACTAATTTTAACTAAACATATAAAAGGACACTATACTACGGTTGAGTTTTGGCGGGCGGGGGTAATTTTTTTTTATTTTAGAATGGAGGGGGGGGGGTGACATGGTAACATTTTTTTTTGTTTTTTAAAAGTCTATAAGGAACAGGAGGGGCATCTTTCACAATTTTGAAAAAAAAATTTGGGCAGGGGTCAAACCACCCCCAAAATTTTTTTTTGCAAAAAAAGCTTAGCTCGACCTATTATCGCCCCGCCTCCTCCTTTCTTCTTCTGCTACTTTCCTCCCTCTAATTTAAAACTTAAAGCCCCGTCCCACTCTCCAACTAACCCCTCCCCCCCCTTAACAATCCAACAAAAATCACCCCGCCCTGCACCCGCTAAAAAGAAAAAAGAAGACAAGGCAAGGCAATCAAAATTACAATTTAGCTTTAACGAATCCCACGCCTTTTTGAATGTTCTTCTGTAGCTCAGGCACGGCTTCGGAGACTAATTTCTTTTCGAATTCGGATAACTCGCCCAGGCCAAGAGTTCTTTCAATTCCATTCCTGCTCAAGAGTAATGGAGTAGAGAAGTAGTCCACGTCTTGAACTACATTTGTATTGATATAGGCATGTTCTAGCACTTGTTCACCATTTAGAGCCTTTAGTAGAGAATTGACGAATCGAGCGGCTGCAAATGCCATGGATAAGGTGGCTGAGCCCTGAAAAGAATACGGTATATAAGGCAAGATAGGGCTGGAATATTGGGCTTTAGGTAAGGGTATGGTTGCGATAGGACGGGTAAAGAGCTACTAGTGGACTGAGGTAGGGTAGGGAGGTAGGATTATATGGTAGGAATTGTAAAGCTACAGTATGACCAAGACAGCAACAGGGGTAAGGGTAAAGGTCGGGATAGGGGTACGGTAGGGTTAGAGTGGTTAGGGGTAGAGGTAGGGACAAGAATAAGCGTTGAGGTCGGGGTAAGATCAGGTCAAAGTAGGGCCCAATAAGGGCTAGTCTATTGGCTTGGTGGGGTTATGAAAGGAGATTAAACTAGACTAGACTAGACTAAAGGTAAGGGTAGATAAAGCTACATTATGACTAGGGTAGGGTAAAGCAAGGTAGGGCAAGATAGGATAGGGTAGGGTAGGGTAGGGTAGGGTAGGGTAGGGTAGGGTAGGGTAGGGTAGGGTAGGGTAGGGTACGGTACGGTAGAGTAGGGCTCACTTACAGCTCCAGCCTTAGCTTTGACAACCTCCGTTCCAGCATCTTGAATTCGTACTGTGAGGTTCTTAACCTCATCTTCAGAGAGTTTAACTGGTGGTTTCGTCTGTGTCAGCAAAGGTATTATAGTAATACCAGCGTGACCGCCGATGACCGGGACTTTTGGGATTGTTTTGACTAAAAAATGTTTTAAGTCGACTTTGTAAAGAAAGTTCTTGCCATTTATGTTTTGTAAAGAAAGTTCTTGCTATGTTTTGTCTTGTAAAGAAAGTTCTTGCCATTTTTTGATTTGTAAAGAAAGTTCTTGCCATTTTTTGTTTTGTAAAGAAAGTTCTTGAAATTTCTTACCATTGCCACTTTTCTCCCCAACAAACGTCTGCGCCCTAACAATGTCAAGTGTGGTAACACCAAAGACCCGTCTATGATCGTAAACTCCATTTTTCTTCAAAACTTCAACAAAAATGGGTACAGTACTATTAACAGGGTTTGTAATCAAAGCTACCAGAGCCTTTGGAGCCACTTCTGACGTAGCTTCTGCGATGCCCTTGATGATACCAGCATTAATGTTAAACAAGTCATCACGAGTCATACCAGGCTTCCGCGGTACTCCGGCTGGGATCACTATGATGTCTGCGTCCTAAAATTGTAAAAGTAGTTCAAAATTTACATATCTACCCTTAGTTTTTAACCTCTGTTCAAAAATGTACCCTGCTTAAAATTATTTTGCACATTTTTCCCCCGCCCAAAATTTGACGCTGCCGAAAATTTTACACTGTCCAAATTTTTAACCTGCCCAAAATTTACCCTGAACAAAAATTTTGCACTGACCAAAATATTTCTCTGCTATAAATTCTGCCCTGCCCAAAATTTGAGCTTGCTCTGAATTTTAACCAGCCCAAAATTTCAAACTGCCCAAAATTTTACCGTGCCTAAAATTTTATGCTGCCCAAAATACTACCTTGCCCAAAATTTTTCCCTGCCTAAAATTTTACCCTGCCTAAAGTTTTACCCTGCCCATAATTTGATCCTGCTCAAAATTTAACTCTGCCCAAAACTTTACCATACCCAAAATTTTATCTTGCTAAAAGTTCTACCCTGCCCAAAATTTTGCCCTGTCCGAAATTTTGCCCTGCCCAAAATTTTAACCTAGCCAAAATTTAGACTTCCCCAAAATCTTACCCCCTCCAAAAATTTTACTCTGCTTAAAATTTTACCCTGCCTAAAATTTTACCTTACCCAAAATTTTACTCGGCCCTAAAATTTTACCCTGCTCAAAATTTTAAGCTGCCGAAAATTTTACCCCGTTTAAATTTTTACTCTGCTCAACAGTTATCTTTAGCCCAAGTTTATAATCTTACCTTCAAAGCAGCCTTCAGCTCACTAGGCCCAGTATGTCCAGTAACTTTAGCCGTAGTATCAATATGAGACAGGTCTGCTGCCACACCCAACGTATTTACCACATCGTATAAAGCTAAATGACCAATTTTGTCATTTTGTTTTAACAACAATGATAAAGGCTGTCCAATGCCACCAGCTGCTCCAATTACCACTACTTTGGTCATTGTTATTAGTGTTCTAAAAGTTTTATTTTAAATTAAAAAAATTAAATAATTTGGTAAATTTAAAAAAATTTTAGATACAGTGGAACCTGAATGTAAGGGACCTCTATATAACGAAACTCCGGTATAATAAACAAATTTTAAATCCCCTAGCGATTCGTTGTATAGAGATTTCACTGTACCCAGTGTTTTGCCCGGACCACAGGTATCTTTCACCGTTCCGGTCCGAAAAAAATTTTTGTTTCCGGACCGGTCTGGCAAAACACTGACAATACCTAAGGTTTGGAAAAACGGCAATAAAAGTTTGTAGTAATTTAAAATAATATGAAAGCTTTATGAGAAAAAGGACTTTTGATATAAAGACTACAAAAAGTAAAGTTTGTCTAATTTTACGCCTTTCCAATGCAAAAAAATCGTTTTTATAAACCTTTTTTATTAAAAAATTATAAAATTGTGTGTATTTGAAAAATGCCTTCAAGCAGTAAATTTATTTTTCGAAAATTCAAATTTAAAACTAATTTTAAAAGTTTTAAAACACAAGCTGAAAATTTTAAAAATCTATAGAAAATGTGTTTCATCCTGATTATTACTAACTACTTACAATTGCCTCAGCGGCTTAGCCGGCAGCTAATTTTTTTTTGTTAAATTTGTATTCAAATAGGATTTCGAATCAGCCTAGTCTCGATTCATATCTCCGGAATGAGGTGAGACTAGGGCCGGGCGGGGACTTTTGGTCTGGAGGTAGGGGTCCAAAAAATTTTTTTCAAAATCCACAGGAGGGACCACGTTCAACTTTTTTCGAAAATTTTTTTCTGAGGGGGACCCCCCCCTTCCCCCCCCTCGCGCCCGGCCCTGGTTCAGACACTTCCCTTGTTAGACTCGATAAATTTACTTTGTAGGGGGTCGTTTCTGACAAACTCAATAAATAATTTTTTTTATATTACTACAAATATATAACATTTGTGTTTTTTGTAATGTAGTTTTTACACTAGCGAAGTCAAAAACCGATACGCCCGATGCAGTTCATTTTTGGTCAATAAGGTGATATGCCACCTAAACAACGCTTTCTAAAACGAATCCGAGTGACCTGCGTGCATGTGCAGGTAAACGCGCATAAGGTGGAAGATCGGCACAAGTGCGCGTCAGCTTGAGGTTTCACTGAACCGTAAATTGCGTAGCACCCCCCTCCCTCCTAATTTCCTAATTTTTTTTTCAAAACTTCACAGGGGGGGGTTCACGTTTAACTTTTCAGAATTTTTTTTTGGAAATGGGTACCCCCCCCTCCGTTTCTACTCTCCCCCCCCTCCTCCTGGTCTTCCACTTCCCCCCCCTCGCGTCAAGCGCATATGTTAATAAAAACTAACTTTGAATTTTCAGTCTAACCACTCCAAGCCCCACATGTCCAGGTTCAGCCGCTCCTTTACGTCCTCTGATCGGGCTTTGGAGCCAAGACGAGGTGGACAGCCAAGGGTGCGGATCTATGCCAATGACGTGAATCACTATCTAAGAATGCAACGAGATTTGCAAAGGAGGTACGACAAGTTCTTGTACCGTCGAGCGTTACAAGAGCTTCGGAAGGGTAGAGCGTCTCGTCAGTAGCGACAACGTGCGTTTTGACAGTAATGACAACGTATTTGTTTCTGTTAGTACTAGGGAAAGATGTTGTAGTATGTAAGGGATGAACAAGTGTAACATATAATATGATTTACTATGTTTTGTGGGTAATTACTGCTACTGTAATGAATTATATAGTAAAATGAGTGTAATATAAGTCAAAATAAACCTAACATAAGTCTTTGATACGCTTTATTATAACAACAAAATACCCGTAAGCCTTAATATTAAGCACCGACATAAAGAACCCGCCATATTTTTCCTGTAATTCCCTGTACAAAATGGCGGGTTCTTTAATTCGGCACCTAATGACATGTACAACATAGCCATTTTCATTGCGTTTGAACCGGAAGATCGCTTTGTTTTTGGTCGAACATAAGACGCCACATGTAACTGTCACTCATGTTCAAGAAGTACAGGTCTCTGTTCATGTCCAACATGTACTTGACCAAGTTTTTCCGTTGTAAAATCAAACATATTAACAACATTAGGCTACCGGTCGCTAAGAAGATTGATCCTGTTATTACGAAGGGGGTCTCGCTTTGCTATAATGTGATTATATTAACTTTATAACAATATTCCAATTACCTTACCCTACTCTTACCAACAGTATTCCAATTACCTTTGTCCTACCCTAGCTACAGTATTCCGATTACGACCCTGACCCAACCCATCTTACCTGTATAAGCACCAGTAACCCACTGAGCATCATAAGTATACCACAAACAAACAATCCAGCCATGGATAGTACTGTCGTGGGAGAACTGGGCCCTTTTCGTAGTCGCATGTCTGCCTAAAATTTTTCGAATTGATAACGAACTGCTATATATAACTAATCTGATAACATTCTATTATACCAGGGCCGAGCGCTGGGAGAACCTCCCCCCTCCTGAAAAAAAAATCGAAAAAAGTTGAATGTGGTCCCCCCTGTGGATTTTTAGAAAAAATTTTTCGACCCCACCCCCGCCCCCTGACCAAACGTCCCCGCTCGACCCTGCATACTATTATATACCAGGTTCCAAAAGTAGCGGGATATTCTTTATTTACTTTGCGACTAAAAAGTATCCCGCTACTTTTGGTTCAGCCTAATATTGGATGCCGACATAAAGAACCCGTCATTTTTTACATTAAATTACAGACAAAGTAGGGCGGGTTCTTTATGTCAACACTTAATATGTATGACAACCAGGGCCGGGCGGGGACTTTTAGTCTGGGGGCGGGAGTCGAAGGAATTTTTCCAAAAATCCACAGGGGGACCACGTTCAACATTTTTCGAAATTTTTTTTCTCCCCCCCCCCCTTCCGTCCATCCCCCTTCCTGCCCGGCCCTGATGATAAAATGCTACTAAATATGGTATGTATGACAACATACTACTACATTTAAGCCTAAGGTCAACAAATTTTGTCAGAAAAACAAATTGAAAGAAACAAAAACAGAAGGCGCTTAATCTAATTCTCGGATATGAATCATGGCTAAGATTGACTTTTAGCTAAATTTAAACAAAATGGACACGTTTTTTTTGTAGTTTCTTTGTTTAACAGTCGCTCAAGGGTCTACTGGAGCTTATTTTTTGTTTTTATAAACCACTAGCTTCTAGGTAGTGATATATTAGCTTTACAACAAACCCTACCTTACGTACCTTAACCCTCTGTCTTTCCTGTACCTAACAAGGAAAGTACCCAGCCTGCCCCGCTCAGAATTAGCTCAAAATTTTAATATGAATTCTCTGTACCACCAACAGTACCCATAAAAAATTTTAGCTCGCGCTTTTGAGTTTTAAATATGAAGTATTTGAATTTCCCGCCAATTTGGCAAATTTGGCATGGTGTTTCAAGCTCTTTTTTCGACTTTCCAAACAAGCTACACTTACAAATTTAAAAATATAGGTTCATTTCAAAGCTTTTTACTAGTATATGCAAAAAAAATGATAAAAAGTTAAAAAATGGCAAAGTTATAAGCACGAAACACAATGCCAAGTTGGTAGGAAATTCAATTTTTTAACCCCCCCAAAAAAATTGCGGAAAAGCTCGAACTTGGCCCCCCTGCGGATTTTTTAGACCCCCCCCTCCCCCCAGACCAACAGTCCCCGCCCGGCCCTGTGAATGATATTTTTATATAAAAAAGTTGAAATCAATCAGAGCAAGGCAAGTTGGGCACTTTCCTTGTTAGCTTTATTAAATATCCTGCCTTACGTATTTTAACCTAACGTCTTATTGTTTTACACCAAGCATAACTCTATGAAGCCTTTTATATAGTAAAAACTAACCCCATGTAGAACATACCGCAACACTATATTTTTAGTTGCTATGTTTGTCAAATAAGGTATGAATAGAAAAAGAAAAAAAATCGCTCAAAACTCTTCTTTTTATGATCGGACGAAAGCAAATCTATTATTTTTTGAAAATAATTTGAATAAAATTCAAAGGGATTAGTATTTATTAAGTTCCGACATAAAGAACCCGCCATTTTTTACAGGAAATTACAGAAAAAGTATGGCGGGTTCTTTATGTCGGCATTGAATACTTTAAAAAAACAAGGTGTTTACAATGAAAGTAGTCGTTTTCAACTAGAACTCACTTCATTCATTGCGTGACACTTCTGTGTACGACTATTTTTAATGCCTTTACTAATACCCTCATTAACCTGCTTTTATGTGCTTGTGGGCAGGCCCGGACGGGGACTTTTGGTCTGGTGGCGGGGGGGGAGGAAAAAAATCCACAGGGAGACCACGTTCAACTTTGTTTAAAAATTTTTTTTTAATTTAAAATTTTTTAAAAATTTTGAATAAAAATTAAAATTTAGAAATAAGGCTAAAATAGAAATGAGAACCGGACGGGCTTGAGCAAAATAAAAAACGAGATGGGGCTAAAATCCAGGCCCGGCTTGATGCTCATACGTAGGGTGGAGGAAAAGAATAATTTTTTTTTTGCAAAATGTCAAAATGACTATACCTGAAAAATAGGCATTTCCATTTGTTCCAACGAATCTTGTCGACTGATTGAGTAACGACGTTTCGGCACAGTAATGTTGGCTTTCATCGATGGGGAATGGGCCTGAATAAGAGATTTTAATTATAAAATACGTTTAAAATTTTGAAGCCCGTTTTGAACTACCCAACTCTGATGCCTTATTTTACCCTACCGTATCTTACCCTACCGTACCTTACCGTATCGTATTGTATCGTACCGTACCCTACCCTACCCTACCCTACCCTACCCTACCCTACCCTACCCTACCCTACCCTACCCTACCCTACCCTACCCTACCCTACCCTACCCTACCCTACCTTACCCTACCCTGCCCTACCTTAGCCTACCCTACCTTATTGTACTTTAAGCCCTACCGTACCTTAGAACTTACTGTACCCTACCCTACTTCTGCTCACCGTGTCTTACTGTACCTTTACATTATCTACCTTGTTTTCCCTAGCTGACCTTACTTTACCTTACCTTACTCTACTGTACCTTACTTTGCCGTGCATTATCGTACCGTACTCTATCTTACTCTACCTTACCCTACCCTACCTTACCACTTCTAACAATCCTTAATTTAGCCTATCTACCCTGCCTTACTCAACCCTGTCCTTCACACCCTTTCTAACAACTGATCTGCCCTACCCTACCTTCTCCAACCCTATACGACCTTATACTAGTCCTAACATACCTAAATATGTATAAAGTAAGAAATTCTTACAACTTTGGGGCCTTGCGTCGCAGCCGAATGGGTTCTCGCCAGCCCATCCGTGTCCAACCTCAAGATGGAGAGCTTTGAAGTGTCTTCAGCATTACTATTCTTGTTGGACCGGTTTGGATCCTCTTCTTTCAGGTCATGAATACCTTTCCATTCCTTTTGCATCTGTAAAATATGACAAAAACTTTCTTTACAAGACAAGAAAATAGCAAAAACTTTCTTTAAAAAACATAAAATGGCAAGAACTTTCTTTACAAACATAAAATGGCAAAGACTTTCTTTACAAATCAAAAAATGGCAAAAACTTTCTTCACAAAACAAAAAATGGCAAAAACTTTCTTTACAAAAGGAAAAATGGCAAAAACTTTCTTTACAAAACAAAAAATAGCAAGAACTTTCTTTAAAAAACAAAAAATGGCAAGAAATTTCTTTACAAAGCGAAAAATGGCAAGAACTTTCTTTACAAAACAAAAAATAGCAAGAACTTTCTTTCCACAAAAATTTTTAAATTTAAAATTATAAAACTATTATTTCGACCAAACCCATATTCGAAACAGTAAAAACAAAAGAAAAAAGACAAAAGTGTCGTCGTCCTCACTGTTATCATTCATCGAGAAGCATGAATAATATAAAAGATATCATGGAGGGAGTTTTGTCAGACCACAAAACTATAAATTTGCCATTAATTATACTGCTTTATAACTTTTTTATGGGGGAGGGGTGTTTTTTAGAAATTCTTAATAATAAGGAAAGGGGCTAGGGTATGCGGCTCTGGGCTAGGGCTCTTGGCTACGGCTCTGGGCTAGGGCTCTGGGCTAGGGCTCTGGGCTAGGGCTAGGGCTCTGGGCTAGGGCTCTGGGCTAGGGCTCTGGGCTAGGGCTAGGGCTCTGGGCTAGGGCTAGGGCTCTGGGCTAGGGCTCTGGGCTAGGGCTCTGGGCTAGGGCTCTGGGCTAAGGCTCCGGGCTAGGGCTCTGGGGCGCTATAAAGCAAAGGAAAAGGCTATATTAATGCCAAAGAAGAACTATAAGAACGCTATGAGTAAGGTAAAAAAAGCTACGTTAAAATAAAATCAGTTAGGAGCGGGAATCGTATTTTACAATCCATTTTACACATTGTTTACCGTGCAAACCCCAAGTTTTTGAAATTGAAATAAAGTTTTTCACGCTTAAACAGTTGTAAAACCGGGCATTTCGAACAGGATGTGACGTTTTACTGTTCTATAACGTTTATAAACAAAAATGTTTGTCGAGAAGCCCCGTATTTTACAAAAAAAATTTAAATATTGATAATTTTGTTCATAATTTCAATTTTTTTCCAAAATTTCATCTTCAAACAAACAAAAAATCAATTTTAATGTCAATATCATCACTAATTTTATGGAATGACATTTTAAAATCACCTTTCAAAGCCCTTTGGGTGCGCCAAAAGTTCTGTTACACTTTCAGACAAAATTATTAGGTGCCGACATAAAGAACCCGCCATTTTTTAAAGGAAATTACAGGAAAAGCATGGCGGGTTCTTTATGTCGGCACCTTATACTAAAACACCCTCTAGACTTAACCGTTCCAAACAATTTTAATTTCGAAAAAATAAAATTTTACGAATTTTTGCAAAAGCCTTCATTTATATTACCATGAACAATATAATTCTCCTATATTATCCATCACAACAAGAACTGTTGTCTAAATAGAAGTATTGCTCATCCCGCCGAATTCCCACACCTGTAAGGCCGAAACAACAAAAAAGAATAGGAGAAATGTTTGTTTAATGTCCTCAAATTTCAAACTCAAATAAAAAAATTGATTTTTGAAGAAAAAATCGAGCAGTTTTTAATGATAATATCTTATAATACCAAATAATAAGCCTATTTTTCATTTTTAACCTCAGTATAAGCCTCTATCATAAACCTAATAAACCCATAAACCAAAATTTAATCAAAAAACATTGCCTCCTTATCTATTCTTTTAAAAACAAGCATAAGATCCACGTCCATCTTATGCTAAAACAAATAAAATACGTTTATTGTAGGTTAATACTGTACAAATGCGAGATCAACGGCCATGTCGATAATTACCCGTACTGATGGTCTTGTTCCATCCACCACGCCCAGCATCGAAATCTTTTCGGAATTCGTCACGAACCTGAAAATTTTTAATTATTCGATATTATCATAGACCTGCTTCGGCAAATTAGAGATTTTTTGTGGAAAATAGATGCCGTCATAGTTTTAAATTAATGAAACATGTAAAAGAGATATTGATAAAGCTTTTAAGTACAAATACACCATAATTTACAGAAAATTTGAGTGAATAGAACTTAATGTTCGAATATTATCCATCGAGACCTACAAGGATAAGATAAATTCATTTCTAGACAAAATATAGCTTTTTTAATGTCTATACTATTACAAAACCTAAAGAAAAACATTTATAATCGTTCCAAAGCGCTCTTTACATCACATTCAATCGTACATAAAAAATATACATCAATTTCCGATATTATCCATGATCTTTAACATAATATTCAAAAACCATTTCTCACTCTCATAATACCAAACCCAAATTCTCAATTTTACGTCCTATATCCAACATTCTTACCTGTCCACCATGTTTGCCCCTTCCATATTGTCTACCTTCAACAAAACCGGCGTCCCAATCACATCTAATAACTCTGTCGTCCAACCTCGTACCATTGATGTATCTGATCGCGTTCTCAGCATCGTCTCGTGTGTAATACCTAAATTTATAATCAAAAATAATAAAGAAAAACTTACTCTACAAAACAAAAGCCACATGGAGTCTTTTCGTAGCGATGAATTCCCATTATAACTCGTCGAACATCTCCAGCACGCATAAACAACTCGTATACCTGCTCTTCCGATGTAAAATAGCTCAAATTTCCAACGTACAAAGTAGTAGATTGTGAGAGTAAGCTTTCTTGTTCGCGCATTGATCCCTGGAAAGTGTTTATATTAGCTTAAGTGCTTCAAGTTTAGAGGTAGATCAGAAATAGGAAGATTATGTTAACTATCTCTATTTTTCAATGTTCTTTACAAATTTGAAGATAAAACTGCTTTTTCTGCCAATAGTATTCAATATATTAGTATCAAAAGCTAGAGAAAACATAGGAGAATCTTTTAAAAACATAGATTTGTCAAACAGGTTCAATTTGAATACCTAAAACCAAAAAAAATATTATGTTAACCATGCTTACCTCAAAGCGCTGATCCCTGTAAGCCGATAGCTTGATTCCATGGTCTTTCGAACGTGGATCCATGTTCTAATGGTGGGGATATTAAGTATGCTTCTTCAACAAGGAAAAAATTTCTTCGAAAATAAATATTTTGTGGCATTTCGTGTTAATTTCGTTGCGAAGTGTCAATATCGACTCTTTAGGAAGAACGGTGTCTCGGTTGAAATCAAGCGAAATATTACAAAAGACTAATCAAAAATCGTTTATAAAACATTTTAAAACAATAATAAGTTAGTTTGCAACTAATTCACATCAATATCAACCAAATCCATCAATATCAACTTTGCCAAAACCAATAAACAAATTTACTACAATATTTATTCAGATCAAGACACAATCGACGAGGGGCATATCCTTTATTTCTTTCCTTTTCGGATCTTTGCATTCTCTTTCATCTTCTTCTTATCCACGTCGGTGCGGGTCATCTTGCGGTAGACGTACCGAATGTATGGCCTGTAGATCAGGGCGGTGCCGGAGCATACAGTCAGCAGGACGATCGAAGCAATCGCGCAGCCGACGAATATACCGAGAAAAACGCTGAAAATGTGATTTTTAGAGTCAAAACTTATTTTAAAACTAAAGATTTGAAAAAAAATTTTAAAAAAATATCGACCGGTCGATAAAGTCAAAACTTTTTTTTGAGAAAAAAATGTCAGTAAAATACTAGTTAGCACCAAAATATACCGTACTATAATTAAAAAAGTTCATTTTAGCTAAAAGTGCCAAAAACTGATTTTAAAATTTGAATTTCCCGCCAAGTTTGGCATAACGTTCTTTCGACTTCTAAACCCAAACTTTTGACATTTTAATGTAATATAGACTGTAATATACAAAAACACAATAATTTATTGCATTTCGACTATATTTAAATTCAAAAAGTTCAAAAAATCTCAAAAAGACCGGTTTTGCCTACTATAATATAGCGCTAATCTACCCATAACTCTTACAATGTAGTTCTAACCCACCTTATGTCACCCCTATCATACAACCCATAAACACAACAGAAGAACCTACTTCGCGTTGTCCGTGCAGACCTCCTCCATGGTGGTGCGGTGCTTCACAAAGGTGACCTGAAGCAATGACGCGAAGCTTCACTCAGAAGATTCACGGTAAGTCGACTGACCGGTTCGTGGCCAATTCTCGCAAATGACTGAAAAATGAAAAGAATGAGAAAATTCGCGCCGCTTTTCTGTTTTCATCGGTCAAATTTGCATATTTCTGTAAAGTTTTGAAATTTAGAAAAAATTTTGAATTTATGCAAATTATGAAAATGAAAAATAAAAAAACTATTAATTTTTTTTAATTTTGTACTTAAAATGACCTTTCCTACGTTTTTAGACCTAAAACTAACATTTTCAGTTTTGGCCTGCGGGTGACAATTTATACGTTCTAAAAATTTGTAAGGAAAGTTTCTGCGATTTTTTGTTTTATAAACAACATTGACTACGGGTAAGCCTAAAGCTAAGCCTGCAAAGCTTAAATTCAGCCTTAGGCTAAGTCTAAGAATGAGCCTAAGCCTAAGCCTAAGCCTAAGCCTAAGCCTAAGCCTAAGCCTAAGCCTAAGCCTAAGCCTAAGCCTAAGCCTAAGCCTAAGCCTAAGCCTAAGCCTAAGCCTAAGCCTAAGCCTAAGCCTAAGCCTAAGCCTAAGCCTAAGCCTGAGCCTGAGCCTAAGCCTAAGCCTAACCCTAATTCTAAGCCTAAGCCTAATCCTAAGCTTAAGTTTATGTGAAAGCCAAGTCTAATTCCAAGTCTAAGCCCAAACTTAAGCCTAAACCTAAGCTTATGCTTATAACAAATAAAATCTTTGTAAAAAAAGTTTTTGCTATTTTTTACTTTGTAAAGAAAGTTCTTGCCATTTTCAATAATATTTGTTTTACTTTACAGACATTTCCAGCCATTGTAAATCTTTTTACACTGTGATTTACCTCACAGTTTATTTGCGCAAACCAAAAAAAACTTAGATATTAATCTGTAGTTTTGTTATATGTACCTGAATGTTTGAAGTGAAAGGTTCGACGCGAGTGCTTTAAAAGTTTGTGTTTTGGAACCTAAATTCATATTAGAAACATAGTTCATTCTAAAGTGGCAGGACATGGCTGAAATTGCTGGCAATGTAAGTTTATGCAAGAACTTTCTTTACAAAACAAAAAACGGCAAGAACTTTCTTTACAAGACAAAAAAATGGCAAGGACTTTCTTTACAAACCCAGAAATGGCAAGAACTTTCTTTACAGAACAAAAAATGGCAACATCTTTCTTTTTACAATTTTTGTTGCAGACTGCCCTATCAGTACTAGTAGCGCTACTAGTCGCATTAACTTCAACCCTTGCCAGCCAATTTGCCAAAACAGCACTGACATTGGATGAATCTCTGTTCTTTGCACCTTATTCAATGACATACTTCAACACACTATTCCTGATACCTCTATATCCATTTTACGTCATTTTAAAAGTGTTTGGAACTAATGATACTATACCTAATGTTCATGATGGACCATCTAAAATACTCAAAGACGATCTGGTGAGCCCTACCCTACCCTACCCTACCCTACTTTACCCTACCCTACCCTACCCAATCCTACTGTACTTTAGGCCATACCGTACCCTTGACCGTATAGTACGCTTGGCCTTATCGTACCTTAGAACCTACCGTACCATAGGCCCTACCGTACCTTAGAACCTACCGTACCCTAGGCCCCACCGTAGCCTGTGTTCTGCCGCACCCTAATCCCTACAGTTCCTTAAGCCTTACATTAGTCTAGATCCTACCGTACTATGGCTCGTACCGCACCTTAGACTTTACCGCATCCTACTTTAGCTCGCTGTATTCTCTTACTGTACCTTTACATTATCTTATTGTGGCTTTGCTTTATTAATTTACTCCAGCTTAAAAATCAATGTTTAGGGTAAAATGCGTTCAAAGACGTCTATAATCCTAGCAGGAATAATAATTTTGATTGGGTGGATAGCTCCAAATTACATTTTTGCCATTTCCCTAAAATACATTTCTGTATCAGCAGCTGTTTCTATCAACAGTTTGAATGCAGCATTAGTGTTTATACTTAGTGTCACTTGGCTGAAGGCTGAGTTTAGTTGGTTTAAGGTAAGTTCTTGCCGTTTTTTGTTTTGTAAAGAAAGTTCTTGCCATTTTTTGTTTTGTAAAGAAAGTTCTTGCCATTTTTTGTTCTGTAAAGAAGGTTTTTGCCATTTTTTGATATGTAAAGAAAGTTTTTGTCATTTTTTGTCTTGTAAAGAAAGTTCTTGCTATTTTATCTTTTATGACCCAATTTGATGAATTTTTATACTCCCGCAGCCTGTAGGTGACATGTTATACGACAACGAAACAAAGCTTTAAATTTAGGTATCAAATTTTAAAATTTTAATTTTTTAGGCATCTGGAGTAATATTGAGTATATGTGGAGTAGTTTTAATGTCCATGGACAACGAATTCACTGGAAGCTTGACTGGGGTCATATTAATATTGTTCTGTGCACTGTGCATTGCCATTTATAATGTAAGCCAAACCTAAAATTCAAAATATAGTGACATATTTTATAGACAACCTTCAAACAAGTCTTTGGAGACCTCACATTCGGCCAGGTTTTATTTTTCCTAACTCTACTTGGACTAGCCAACTTGGTATTGAATACGGTACCTACCGTAATCCTCATCAACATGGACATTGATCATATTGTATGGCAAGCTGTACCTTGGTCGGCTATTGCTGCCAATGCTCTTTTGGCGACATGTAAGTCTCTTTTTGCTAATTTTAGATGTTGGTGTTATATAAAATGGCAATGATATTGTTTTAGTGTTCAACCTGTCGGTAAACTTTGGCATTGCCATTTTAAACCCGCTGGTAGTGTCGATTGGAATATTGATGGGTATTCCTATTAGCACTGGTAAGGTTTTAACAAAATTTTGGACCTCTACTATGATTATGTCAGTTTTAAAATGGCAAAAACCTCCAAAAATTCCATTTTTAAGCATAAAAACGTTAATTATGCAAATCTTGGAAATAATTTCAACACCGTTTTACGGCCCAAGAAAGTACAGTATTTTCTGAACATTTGAAGGCTAAATAACCCTAGGTTTGACAATTACTTTTAGCTGTGGACATCATTTTCCGCAACCTAGTAGCTGGCCCAACCATGATTTTCGGCGGAATTTTAATCTCTGCCGGCTTCTTCCTCAACACATTACCGGTCGATATATGATTCAAAACTTATTTTTTATCATACTTTAATATTTTTACCTAAAAAGTTTGATTTTAAGGCGGAAAGTTTAGAAAACTTATATTATTCATGATCAAGTTGATGTCTAACATAATATTTTAGTTTTTATGGTTATTGTTATCAAGTTTTTTAGCTAAAATAAATTTTAAAAAAGCGTCTATTAAACTAATTTTTTAATTTTAATAACTCAAAACTTGAATTTAAAGACATAAAGCTTCTAAAAAAGGACATTATACTTGATCAACCGGATGTCTAACATAATATCAAGCTGTTTCCCATAAATTTTAACTTCAAAACCCATTATTTTTAACTTTACATGGTAATTACAGTCTCCTCGAAAACAAAACGTGTTTTTGAATTTATTTTTAGCTGGTTTTTTTTGTTTTCGAGCATCAAAGAACAACTTTGCGAAATCAAGCGAGAGAGCGTCGAAAAAGAAGAGATGCGGCGAGACGGTCCAAGGAAATAAGAGATATTGGCGGAATAGAGGTCTTTATAGAAAATTCTTGGTTGTTGAAGTAAAGGATGGTGCGTATATACGTTAATATAGGACGTGGGCAAGAGATTTTGCTGGTTTATATTGTGTTAGAATGAGTATTGTTTGGGGACATGTTATACGATGAACAAAATATTATTGATCAAAAAGTACCCCCTAAACTTAAAAAATATTTTCAACTTTTGTTACCTAAAAATCAGAAAGCTGTGAATCAACTAATTAGAATAAAATTTCGGTCGATTTGTCCGGACAAAAAACCGTCAGGACAATTTTCTGCGAATAAAGAGGCTTCTCGCACAGCGCGCCCACCCTTCTCTCTCTTTTTCGAAAAACCAAGCTGGAGTCAGTCGCTTCTTCACAACGCGGACCTCGTGAGCAAGAGTTTGTGCGTCTATACCTTCTCTCTGCGGTTTCACTCATTCGCATCTTGTGCTAGACATAAAACCAGCTGTGGTGGACTCATTCGTAGTTTCTCCTTCGTCTATTGATCGGTGGAGTGCGAGTTTTCCGCTATATTTGCATTGAAATCGCACATTTTTGATAGTTTTTAGGTATTGAATGAGGAGAAGGGATTTGATAATCTTTTTACATCTTTTCGGTTTAGTTTTAGATATTTTTGGGTATTAAAACCGTTGTTTGACGTATTTAAGACTAGCGTTTTGTGTTATACCTATCATAATATAGGGCTGACTTTTAGAAGTAAATTTAATTTATAGGTAGTCTATTTGGTTCTAAAAGCTTGCAAAGGGTTTTCTGAGTATTTTGTGATTTGATTTGCTTTGTTTCAAGTTCATTTTTGATAAGATATTGAGGATTTACTTAAGCCTACTTTTGATAGCAAGTGTAATATTATTTTTTTTAAGTTTTCGAGTGTTTTACAACGTTCTGCCTTTTTTATTGTTTCAATAGGTAGAACAAAGTTTTTTGAAGATTGTAAATTAAATCTAGTTTGGTTTTGGAAAAGATTTTCAAGATTCAGTAAAGACCACCAAGTATAATATCGTCTTTTCTTTGTTGTCGATTTTTTTTGTATTTGCGCGTTTGTAAAAGGTATATCTGTTAGTTTTTGACTTCTTATGTTTTAAAAACGTTATTAAAACCAACCAGATTTACCTTATTTTTGCGGGACCTTTCTCGATATCATGTATAATATATTTTTTTTCAGATTTGTAATTTCGAACTTTGAAAATGTCTTCTGAAGCTGGTTCTTCTGCTGTTGCCTTCTCTTCCGACGTCTCCAAGGACAAGAAAGAGGTAACCCCAACAAAAATTCTATCAATTGCTATCCGGAAACGTCGTGAGTTGCTTGAAGAAAAGGATGTGGATCTTCGACGAGAAATTCAACATAAATCTATGATTCAGACTTTGTGTAAAGAGCTGGGTGATGCTCGTGCCAAGAAACGTCGAACCAGACGCAAATCGAAGAAGGGCAAGAAGGATGACCAATATGAACAATTGTTTGAGTACGAATCAGAAGAAGACGCTGTGTCAACGTCAAAATCTGGCCAAACATCCCAAGGAGCTGAAGACACGCAATATACTGGATATTTTTCGAAATTTGAGAGTTACAGCCACAAAACGGAGGATTATGTGGGTAAGACAAACGAGTATACCTACAAAGCTTCAGAATACGCATACACGTACTCTCAAGCCTCATCTGGCTACGATTCTGGCTATAGCTCGCCATCATGCAGCAAGGAAGATTGGGACGCGTTGGGGATTCATCAGGACGATCAATGCGTGCAGGTAAACAACTATTCATATAGTTCATTTTCCGATCATCAAACTTCAACAGCTGTTCATCAAGCGTTATCTGGAATTAACGGAGTCTCTGGCTTTAAGGAGGTAAGATTTTGATTTGTGTTTTTTGATTTTAGAAAGAAAAGAAGATAATTTTGAGATTTAAAGGATGTTGTAGTAGGTGGACTCGTTATTTTGATGATTTTTTGGAAATAGAAGGTTATGGAGTGCTAAATTAGTTTTAGTAGCTTGATAAGATATTGAAGAAAGTGTTTTAACATGGTTTTAAGTTTATAGTTTTAAAGGTTTTGTAAAATCACGGTTTTTCTGATGTTGTAGTAGGTGTATGTAGTTAACATGAAAATTTAGATAATTTTTGGGTAAAATATACTTCTATTAGTTTGCGGTCAGTTTTATAAGTTGCTTAGAGGTCTGACGAAGCTTTTAAGTTGTTTTTTGCAAACATTAGCATCAATTTTTGATTGTTTGATTAATTATATTAACCATGATACCTATCTTTGAAAATTTTAAAATACTAAGAAAAACCACTTTATATAACCTTTGTATGTAACTTACAGTTAAAATTTTAGAACGACGACCCATACTCAGGCTACTCCGCCTTCTGGGAGCCATCAACGTCTTCAGAATCGTCGTCAAGTGCAAGTTGGGACAACACTAACTGTAATTTTAGTTACCCGACTGACTTTTCCGCTCTAAAACCGGTCGAGAACGATGGATATCAACACAGCAACGACCTTACACCCTTGAAACCCATGAAAAGGCCATCACGATGGGATGCCGAATGTGCTGTGGAAGCAAAACAATCCAGATTGGAGCTTTTACAAGGTTAATATCTTATTCTAGACCTCTTATCGAATTTTTTAAATTAAATTTATTATTATCAGGTTATAAATGGCCTTCTAGTTGAGATAGAAGGCCTTACACGTCATATCTTGTTTATATTGTGTCTCTATTCTGGTCTTTCAAGTGCATACAACTGAATTTTAATTTTAGAACCCCAATTCGTTGGCATGGGACGTTTTGCACAGTGCTGCTATTAAGAACGACCGGTCGGATGGTGGAAAACGAAAAAAAAGTTTTTTTATTTGATTATCTTTTGTCTAACTCTTTGTTCTAGACTTTTCAACTACAGTAACCTGCGAGACAGAGTAGGCTACAGTATGGTTACAGTAATCCGTGGAAAGAGGGAGGTTTGGTTACAGTAGCCGATAAGAAGAGGGAGATGCGGTTACAGTAATCCATGAAAAGAGGGACATTTGGTTACGGTAGTCCACGAAGAGGTCTGGTTACAGTAATCCATGAAAGCAGGGAGATGTGGTTACAGTAAGCCCGGGAGTGTTCTTGAAGATTACAGTAGTCCGGACGTCTACAGTATCTGAAGGTCCACCTCGAATACCGTGTACAATTTAAAGTACAGTAAGCCCTAAAAGGACTAATACTATTTTTAGAATTGTCATTGTACGGTAATCAAGCCACAGTAGTCCAGGTCTGAAAGCTTTTACAAGATACGGTAACTTTTTCCACTTTAACTCGCCTAATAAAACTTTTGGTCGTATTTTAGCATTCATAAGCCAAATTCATTTGTAATTCCGTTCTCTATGTGTATTCTCATCATTGATCTTATGGGTAATGTTGTTTTTGTTTAATTTTGTTGTAAATACATGAAATAATAAATTATTATTAAAATAACTTGATGGGATTGATTTGATAGATTGAATTGCTATTTATTTTGATATGTGGTATAGATTTTTTGTTTAGTATAAGAACAAAAATGTGAAAGGTAACAAAATAAATAATAAAGTAAACATCTACATATAAAAAACGTTGTGACACTGTTGCCTCATAGAAAGTTTTTGTCATTCAGCGATGTGTAAAGACTCTAACATAAGTCAGATTGAAAAGAAAAGTCGTACAGATGTTGGTATTGACAGTACAATAAGTTTTACTGAAAATATACTACGCAGACCAAAAGGGTTCAATCTTCTGTGGACATCATGTTAGATGCCAGATTTCATTGTCCAGGCCACGTACTGTCGTCTTAAATCGCCATTTCATCTTCAAATGGTCATGGTGCTCCATTTCTTTTGAGCCAAAGTTTAGGTATGGTAAACCGGCCGTTATGACATGAACTCCATGCTAATTAAGGGTAGTTTACTATGACTGAGACAAAGGAAGGATACGAGAGGGGAAATGAAATAAGATAGGGTGTAGTAAGGCAGATAGGGTAAGGTAGGGTAGAATAGGGTAGGGTACGGTGGGTAGGGTGAGGTAGGGTACTTTGAACTTTTTCGATAAGAAGTGTCACTTGCGCAATCGTTTATGCTCTAACACTGAATGGTTGTGGGAGTTTCGCGCTCTCGTTTTTAATTTGTGCTTGTGCCTTTAAGGTGTTTAATCAGGGTATGGATCAGTTTAGAGTTAGGAATTTGTTAGCTGGTATTAACCAAGCATTAGTAAACATAGGCTTAGGGGCTAGGGTTTGGTATGATTAGGCTTAATAGGGTATGCTTAGTAGAATTTGGCTTAGTAGGCTTGGGTTTAGTATGATTATGCTTAATAGAGTATGATTAGTAGAATAAGGTGCATTAGGCATAGATTAGAGTTCGGTATGGTTAGGCTAAACAGGGCATGTTTAGTAAACATAGGTTACAGTTGGTTGTGGTTCAGTATGGGTTTCAATAAGCTTAAGCTTCTTAGGCTTATCAAATATAGGATTATTAGGCTTAGCAAATATAGATTTATTAGGCTTGTCTATGATACGCATTTTCTTATTAAGATTTAGTAATGACTTATGAATATCTATTGTGTTTTTAGATTTTCAACATCAAAGTTTTTAAAATGACCCCAGCTACTGATTGCGCTGGTCTTCTGGCTGACATAATGGGGAGCCTTTGTCTGTCATCGACAGAACAAAAAGCTGTTCCTTCAGCCGACGCTGTACCATCTACTGCAGCGCCTTCTGGGCAATTAAACGATGTGGCCTTGTCCGACCTCTTAGCGACGGCCATGCGCAAACGCAATGAAGTGCTTGAAGGCAGAGAAATTGATTTTCGACGCACAATACAGCACTTCAACATGATCCAAAGGTTATGTAAGCAGCTGGAAGACTCCAGGGCAAAGAAATGCCAACGAAACATTAAGAAGGCGACACGGGGTAGAGGTGGTCGATATAAAAAAGTATACCCTACCTCCTTGAAGCAGATGAAGCGACCAGCAGGACGTAATCCAGAGTGCCCTGTGGAGACGAAGCAGGTCAAATTGAACTTCTAAAAATAAATATTTATTTAATAGATATAATATTATTAGTAATGTAATGAATTATAGTTTTTATTGTACAGAATGTAAAAAAATAAATATTATAATATACAATTAATTGGTTATTTTTGAACTATAGTGTCTATTATTTCATTATATAGCTTATTTAGAATCATTTTACAGTTTTGAAGACAAATAATTACCTATTTATCGAGTAAAACTCAAAAAATCATAAAAAAATTAAATTAAAAAATTAAATAATTTCAATGGAAAAAGTAAACCGTAATTTTATTGGACCTTCAGGGTAAAGTACAGGCATTTATTGATAATATGGATAAAAAATTATTATCTAAAAATATTTTAAATTCCAGAATAAAAAAGTGGCGGTTGCGCAATTGTAATTTGTGCGCAGTGCAGAAAGGCTATGCGCAGATAATATTGATACTATAATAAAGCTTAAAAAGAACACCGAAATATGTGCGGGATCGTAACAACGCAGACAAAAGTTGACTATACGGGGAGAGCTGCGGTTATAATCAAATTGTTAATTGCTTTTGTTACTGGATGGTTGTGGGTTTAATACGCTCTCTCGTTTTTAATTTGTGTTTATGTTTTTAACTTTTGATTGTTTCTTTTTGATTTTAGATTTGAAAAACTTCAATATGAGCCTATCAAACACCGATTTTGATTCTTTCTTGGCTACCATGATGGTTAACCTATCTTTGGAAAGGGTATCTGAAGACCCCGTGAAGATTCTGCGGGTTGCCGTGCAAAAGCGTCAGAAGTTATATGAGAATGCAAAAAAGGAAGTCTGCCTTCGACGCGAACTGCATCATGATTCCATGGTCCAAAAGTTGCTAAAGGATTTAAGAAGGCACATGTCTGATGATGAAATCGTGGCATCATTAGAATTATTAGAACAATCTGGAAAAGACTCAATGTCTACCCATAATTTTGGAAACTCGGGGGGCTGCAGCGACAAAATGGACATAGGTCCTTCTTACGACAGCGACGACGTTTCGCCATCATGCAGCATGGACGACTGGGAAGCTTTAGGCATTCGCCAAGACGATGAATGTGTTCAGGTAAATTAATATTCAAATAAAGTGTTGAGAAGCTTTACAAGAGTTAAAGCTGTCGTTCTTCTTAACGTTTAAATTATACTCTGTAGAACAGTATATTAAAGGGTTAAAGTTTTGTCAAAACGCATGCTTATATAAATTTTACTATTTACATTACAGAATGAGTATTCGTACCACTCGGCTTTTTCTGGGCCATTACCAGCTCCATCGTCAGAAGCCGTGCCAACAGAAAGTTCAGACACTTCACACTGTCCTACAGACGTTTTCCTTCCAAAACCGGTAGGAAACGATGGTCGTCAACGTTCCAACAAAAGAAGTCCTTCGAAGTCGAGGAAACGGTCCGCACGATGGGATTCAGAGTGCGCTACGGGGTCGAAACAGACCAAATTTAACTAGGTTAATATAATATTTTATTTACATCAATTATAAACATTTGTTAATGTTTTTTGTATATAATGCTTCAAAAGTAAATTATTATAATATTAATTAGGTCGGATTTAACGTTAGATTGGACAGTCATTTAGGGCAATATTATTTTTTTATGTTCATTTAACAATTTTATCAATACAAGTTAGAAGTCCTGATTAATAGGGTGAGGTTTTGGTTTTCTCCACTCGTCGATTGGCAGTGTACTGAGTAAGAAGCCGATACAGATGAGTAGGCCACCTATCATTACTTGCACTCCGGCTTGCAGGCCATGGAATAGAATATCGACCGCTAAAATTGGTCGATTTTTGGATTTTCAAAGAAAGTTTTTGCAATTTTTTTGACTTGGAAAGAAAGTTTTTGCTATTTTTGCCTTGGAAAAAAAAGTTATTGCCATTTTTTGTTTTGCAAAGAAAGTAAATGAAAACTTACCTGCACTAACTGGAATGGCTACCAAAATACCGATTGACACCACTAAAGGGTTCAGTAACGCTATACCAAAGTTTACCGAGATGTTATATACTAAAATTTAAAAAATTTAAAGTTTGTAAAGAAAGTTCTTGCCATTTTATGGTTTGTAAACAAAGTTTTTGCATACTTACAAGAAGCCATGATTAAGTTGCAAATAACTGGCTGCCATGGTATTTTGCTCCATACGACACGTTCCACATCAAAATATACCATCAAAAAGGTTGGTATCGTGTTGACAATCACATCGGTTAGGCCTAGAGATGACAAAAAGAATAACACTTGGCCTAGGTTTAGGTCTCCAAAGATTTTTTTGACACAGACCTAAAAATTACAGTAAAAGTACAGGGCAAGGGCTAAAGCTAGGGCAAGGGCTTAAGTTAGGGGTTAGGCTAGGCTGAGGCTAGGTTATGACTTACGTTATACATAGCGATAATAGTGGCACATAGCAACATAAATAGTACTCCAGTTAAGCTACCAGTGAATTCATCGTTTAATGATACTATCACGACGCCTGCTATACTAAAGAGTACTCCAGAGCCCTGAAATTCATTTTTTAAATTTTATTTTGATATCGCCAACTACATTTAATCAAAAATGGCATTTTTGTATTATTCTATACTACTGCAGTAAACCCACCTTAAACCAGCTAAAAGCTGATTTCAGCCAAACCACTGACAGTAGGAACACTAAAGCAGCATTCAAACTCTTTATTGAGACGGCTGCTGATACTGATATAAATTTCAAAGCGACAGCGAAGATATAGTTCGGTGCTACCCATCCATATAGTACACATACGGCTACTGGTGCTATGTAGTACATTGGGTACCTTTTTCCCTGGAAATTTGGTTTTATATTAATTAAAAATGGCAAAAAACTTGCAATTTTTCATTTTTCAAGCCAAAGTTTTCAAAAAAAAATTTTTTTTTGTGAATGAGTCCGGCTAAAATTTTTTTCTAAATTTTTCAAAAATTTTTAAATTACAGCAATCTGAGCCTCTTACTAATGAAAAAAATTAAAAATTCACCTTACTTTTTCATTTTTCCAAATTTTGAATGCATTCCGATTGACATCGGCCGCTTTTTCTTTGAAAATGAAAACTCTGCCAAGTAAAAACAATGGATATAATGGTAACATGAACATGGTATTGAGGTATGTTAGAAAGTATGAAGCAAAGAATGTTGTTTCATCGATTGTTAGGGCTTCTTGTGCGAATTGACCAGCAAATGTGGCACAGAAGGCGATTGAGAGGGCCGCGAAGATGGATAATATTGTCTGAAATTGATTGGCATTAGGTAGTTTTAATGTCTATTTTATTCTGTTTTATAGTTTGTTTAGGCTAAGGCGTAGGTTTACTCTTAGTATGATTAGGCTTAGTGAGCTTAGGCTTAGTAGGCTTAGGCTTAGTAGGCTGAGGTTTAGTAGGCTTAGTATTCTTAGGCTTTGTCAGCTTAGGCTTAGTAGGCTTAGGCTTAGTAGGCAGAGGTTTAGTAGGCTTAGGCTTAGTAAGCTTAGTCTTAGTAGAATTAAGCTTTATAGGCTAAGCCTGAGTAGGATTAGGCTTAGTAGGCTTAGGCTTAGTAGGTTTAAGCTTAATAGGCTTAGGCTTAGTAGGCTTAGGCTTTGACCTGGGCTTCAACGCAAGTATAGGCTTGAGCTCAACCTTAGGATTACTCTTAAATCTTAAGGTAGCTTAGGCTTATGTTTAAAACTAAGCTTAAGTTTAATTATAGACAAAGGCTTAGGTATAGCTTTAAATCTAGGTTAAAGTTTATTAGGTTTGAGCTTAGCAAAGCTTCTTATTTTTTAGTTATTTTAATCTCAAGATCAGGCACGATCAGCGACATCCGCTTTAACATAAGGTTCGACCCGTTTAGGCTTAAATTAGAAAAGCGCGTTGTAGTTTTAATGGGTTTTGGTAAAATACGTCTTCTCCGTTAGACATGCAGAATGTTTGTATCATTATGAAATGTAATTTTTAAAATAAAATGTTTCTAGTCGTACTTCGACAGTATCTTTAAGTTAAAAGTTCTTACCGTTTTTAATAATGAGTCCGTCATTTTTGGTCAATTTTATTATTTTATGTTATAATAGATGTTAATACAAAGGTAATTCTGAAAATATTTTTGTTTAAAAGTGTAGAAAAATATTTTTAAAATGCATTTTTGACCATTTTTCTATAAAAAACAAAAAATCAACCCTAAAATCCTCTGAAATCACACAAAAACCCTTAAGAATACTCAGAAAACCCCCTAAAATCACCTAAAATCCTAATTAAAACTAATCAAAAACCACTTTAAACTTTACAATAAATACAAACAAAGCATCGCTCCAAAGCCTACGGCTTGTTTTGACAATAAATGTTTGCAAAAAGTAACAGTTCGCTTAAATAGTAAGTGTTTTTCGATTAAAATAGCTTCGTAACTCGTGAAGCCAGAGATAACGCCACGTATCCGGTTAAATCGCTGCGAACACGCTTTGCAAGTCATGCTTTCTGTTATGATTGGGGCAATAAATTTCAATTAAATTTCGAATTCTGATAAAAAATGCCTTCCTTGTTTACCGAGGGTAACCTGGGTGCATTCTGAGTGGGGTTATGGTAAGCAAAGGAATTTATTATAGTAAGCATAAGGTAGAATACGGTAGGATCTATGATAGGATAGTGTACGACAAAGATCGGGTAAGGGTGGGACAGGAGTAAGGAATATGTAGGGCAAGTTTAAAACAGGATAGATCATAGCAATGCAAGGTAGGAAAAAGGTAAGACAAGGTAGGGTAGGACCAGGGTAAAGTAAGAGAGAGGGAACGTGGTGGGGCAACGGTAAGGCAAGAATAGAACAAGGGTATGACAAAGATGGGCACATGTAGAGCAAGTGAAAGACAGGGCAGGGAAAGGAAATGCAGGGCAGGGCACAACAAGAGTAGGGCAAGGGTAGGGCGAGACATAAGGATCAGGCAGGTCCCAATTATAAGGCCCGGCCCATTTGCACACAAAAAAAATTCCGCCCGGACCAGTCTTGAGCAAAATTTAGATCGGGCTGGGCCTCGAAATCGGGCCCGACCTGTTCCTCATGTCTAGGTAAGGCAATGTCAAGTCAGGGTAGGGTAGGGTAGGATAGGGTAGGGTCGGGTAGGGTAGGGGGTAGAGTAGGGTATAAAATCACAAATCGTGGCCTTGTCTAATACTCCACACCTTTATAAACTAACAAAACTTTTAAAAAATCATTTTAAAATTCGAGTTTTAATCCGCTGAACAGCAATAGTTCAGCAAACCACGAGTTTCATGTTGTTTTATATTCAAAGCCTACTACAATATAAAAAGGTAATTCTTTTTTGTTGTAACAAGTAACTTTTACTCTTTTGTCATACTCTTGTGTACATAAACCTTGGGTTGTATTCAGTACTATTTAAATACTTTTTGAGTAAACTTTTTTGATTTAAAAGTGAAAAAATGTGATTTTTGTTTGATTAAAGGCATGTGTTTGTTTAACAGACGTGGTAAAAGGGCTGTAGTTAGGGTTTTTGCGGTATAATCTTGCAGAAAATATGAAACACAAACTACTTTTGATTTGTAAAGAAAGTTCTTGCCATTTTTTGCTTTGTAAACAAAGTTCTTGCCATTTTTTGTTTTGTAAAGAAAGTTCTTGCCATTTTATTTTTTGTAAAGAAAGTTCTTACCATTTTTTGATTTGTAAAGAAAGTTCTTGCCATTTTATTGTTTGTAAAGAAAGTTTTCGCCATTTTTTGTTTTGGAAAGAAAGTTTTTGCCAGTTTACTATCATTTTCACAAAATAAGCCTAAATCTTCGAACTAATAAGCCTAAAGAAAACCTTAAGTCCCCAAGTAAAGCCTCCCTTTTAATAAGTTAGTGTTTAGTTTATTGACCCGCAATATCAATGTCAGTAGACCAGTTTAAGATAGATCGGATGATTTGGTGTCTTTGCTGTCTTTGATGTCGCTTTCCGCATCTTTTTCCTTTTTGCCCGTCAACTTTCGGATCCAGTCGTCGAATGGAAGGCTGGTGAAGCAGAAGCCGATGGCAATGAGGACGCCTCCAATGTAGACCAGAGGACCTGCGTCCAGGCCACGGAATATGATGTCCACAGCTAGAATAGGGCGTTTTGGGAGATGAAAAACACATTTTTTTCAATTTTACAGTCGAAATAAAAAAAATTAAAAATTTTTTTTTGGCCTTGAAGGTATTTAGAATGAGTCTACTAGGTCTGGCAAGGCTAACAATAAATTTCTTGTTTTGTAAAGAAAGTTCTTGCCATTTTGTGCTTTGTAAATAAGTTCTTGCCATTTTGTGATTTGTAAAGAAAGTTATTGCCATTTTTTGTTTTGTAAATAAAGTTCTTGCCACTTTTTGTTTTGTAAAGAAAGTTGTTGCCATTTTATAATTTATAAAGAAAATTCTTGCGTTTCTTATTTTGTAAAGAAAGTTCTCACCATTTTTTTTGTAAAGAATTACCTCATGAACCTTTGTTTTATTACCAATTTCAATCTTTTTCTACCCCTCACTTACCAGCATTCATTGGGATTCCGACCAGAAAAGCGATGGACACGACCAATGGGTTAAGCATTGCTATACCCAGATTTGCTCCAAAAGCAAAGGCTAAAAATGACCATTAACACGTTTTCGTATTTTACAAAGAAAATTTTTTAAAATTCAACTTTTCTTCATTGAAAATCTTTTTTAAATCATTTTTTATCTAAAAATTGCCAAAAAAGTGATATTACTGGCCTCCAAACTCCCTTAAATGCAATTTCTTATCAAATACCTTTGAAAAATTGTGCCAACAGCTTAAAAATAGTCTATACTACCACTATTGGCAAAAAAAAATTTTTTTTCGAAATTTAAAAACAAAAAAAAACGATTTTCCCCCAAAAAATCGCTAAAAAACGCCCCTGTTTTACAAAATAATGAAAAAACACCCCTCTCCAACAAAAAAAAACGCCCTACCAAAAGATATTATGACTTACCAACACCAGCAATGCCATTTCCAATAACCGGCAACCATGGAATGGATTCCCACACGATTCTGTCGTAGTCAAAGAAGGCCAAGACTAACATCGGTATGGTGTTCCAGATAAAGTCGGCTAGGCCGAGTAGACTTTGGTAAAACAAGACTTGTGCTAGAGACAAGTCTCCAAATACCTTCTTGAAGGCTGTCTGAAATTTTTAGGTTTTAGGTAACAATATTTTTGATTTTATAAATGAAAATTGATTTTTAGGTAACAAAGCATTAAAATTTGATTGTTTAGCTAATAAAACTTTAAAATTTGTGTTTTAGGTAACAAAATCTTCAAATTTAATCTTTTAGGCAACAAATCTTTAAAATGTAATGTTTTAGCTAACAAAATTTTAAAATTTAATATTTTAGGTAACAAAACTTTACGAATTGAACTTACATTATAGACAGCAGTGATGAAAGCCCAAAGAAGGATAAGACAAACACCAAGGACACTTCCAGTAAAATTCCCGTCCAAACTGAGCAGTACAACACCAGCAATACTCACAGCAATACCTGCAGCCTAAAACGAAATCGGTTTTATCTACTACAACATATTTTTAGACCAAAAACCCATGTTTCTGACCTTTTTAATCTAAGAATCAGAAGTTTTTACCTAAAAACCAACATAAAAACAAAAAAATACCTTAAACCAGCTGAATTCAGCTCCCAAGAAGATAATACTGAAGAGAAATACCATCGCAGCACTCAAACTTCCGATTCCAGTAGCTGCCGACACAGAAATAAATTGCACGCTAACTCCAAATAGATATGGTGGTCCAGTCCAAAGAATCAGAAATGTGAATGATCCTAAGCCTAGAACTAGCTCTTTGTAGATTCGGCCCTAAAATAAGAGTTTTACTTCAAAAAAACCAGTTTTCGTCAAAAAATACCATTTTTATTTAAATAGATACCTAATTGCACCAATTTTTATGAATTCCAGACTGATAAGTATACCTAAACTTCAAAAAACAAAAAGCTAAAACACTTGCATCCTTGCCCTCCAAGATTTCAAAAGCCTCTCCATTGATTTCGTCCATAGAAGCCTTGGTGAAGATCTTCCGAATCAAAAAGTAGATGGGATATAGTGGTATCATGAACAAGGTCCCAAACCAAGCCATGAAAAATGGGGCGGCAAACTTTTCCTTGTCGTAGGTTAAAGCATTTTTGGCTAGCTGATTTGCCACAGTCGTACATGACGCAATAAAGAATGTTATCGCAACGGATAATATAATCTGAAAGTTATGTGTTTAGGAAAATATTGTTTTAGGTATCTTAACATTGATGGAACAAAAAGAAATTTTTAGATAATAATGTTCAAAATATAGCGCATCTTTAAAGCCTAAACCCATTTTATAACAATAAGTAAGTGTTAAGTTATGACCATTTTCAAAGTAACCATCAAGAATATCAATATATAAAACAACATAAACTTTTAATGCCATTTTCAAACACTTGTACCTCAAAACACCAAACAATATGAACCTAAAACAATGTCCAAAGTTTCTTCAATATTTTGACCCCAAAAACATGTTATCATACCCAAAAATCCACAAGTTATAATCATTTCCGACCAACCACCTAGTGTAATATAATTTTTGGTGTCAAAGAACGTTCAACCTTTTACAAAAACAAATCCTCATAACAAAAATCACTTTTCAACAATTTTTCATCTATTCCGCAAATCAAAACATTGATTCCTCGGAAGGTTCCATCTAGTGTAACAATTTATCATGTGTAATATAAAGCTAATGTCTTAAAGTTCAAAAATCTGTGGAAATACGTTGAAAAACCGTAAGTAGAATGTAGATAAAAAAGTATAATGTAAAAGTATCTGATTTCTTCAAAAAAAGGTAGACTTGCGGTTGAGAAAGATAATTGCCTTGAATTTTAAAAAATTTTGAAGGAACACAACCGTTGTGTACACAAAACGTAAGTATGCATTTTCACGCGTAAGACGTGAAATGTTATGCATTCTTCACGCGCAAAACGTGAAATTGTATGCATTCTTAACGTTTCATTCCCATAACGTTCGGGTCCCACAACGAAAAGCCTTTCAGCGGCAAAAAAGTGGTTTAAACTAGTAAATTACTGTAATATTAACAAAAATAATGTAAAATACGCTCTTTCTAATTAAGTTTTAATTTTTTAAATTAAAACTTAATTAGAAAATTAATTTTTTAAATCAAAATTCGAAAAACTTACGTTCCGCGCGCCCTTTGAAGCCATGTTGTGAGCTGTCTGCTGTTGCGATGGGCGTTTTTATTGCTTCCTGGTGTTGTGGACGTTGTGGTTCTTATCCAGCGACCATCCCCTTGTCTCGATTCATACAATTTTGTCGCTGTAATTTCGAAAAAAAATGAAATTTTTGTTTACAAAATTTGAAATTTTACACTTTGGGTTTCGAAATGGCGCGAAATTTGAAAAATATGACAAATTTTCATTTTTGGTCATGGATGGGTGTAAAATACGTTTAGTTCCTTTTGTCTACCGTAGATTAATAGTTCAAAAAGCAAAAAAAGTTTAATTTTTGAAAAAAAGCCTTGATAAAATAAGAAAAATGCCATTTCTAATATGATGTTAGGTTGAAATTAACAGATGTTTGGTCTAGAAAAGGTGAATAAGATGTAGACGAATTATTTTGAACTAAAATTGTTTTGATTGTCAATTGTTATTGGCTAAAATTGGAATGGAAATGGATTCTGAGTAAGGCTTTGATCTTTGAAAAAAAATTTAATTCGCGAGAACTTTCTTTACAAAAGAGAAAATGGAATAAATTTTTGATATATCACTGAAAATGGCATCAACTTTCATTATAAGTCAAAAAATGGAAAAAACTTTATTTACAAATCATAAAATGGCAAAAACTTTGTACGGAATAAGAAATGGCAAGGAGTTTTTTTACAAAAGAGAAAATGGCAATAACTTTCTTTACAAAACAAAAAATGGCAAAAACTTCACTTACGAATTAGAATAAACAACGATATTTGTCGTATAACTTGCCACTCCCAGGCTGCAGAACTTGAAATTAAGGGTTTTAGTGGAAAATGGCAAGGACTTTCTTTACAATGTAAGAAATGGCAAGAACCTTCTTTACAGACTCAAAAATGGCAAGAACTTTCTTTCCAAAACAAAAAATGCAAGAACTATCTTTCCAACTCCAAATGCCACTATTTACTATAAAAAATCCGTGTCTCAACCATAATCCAAGGCCAAAGACACAAGAAAACACATAGTTTTGTCGCCATAATAATAAAAACCCGCCATTTTCGGAGAGCGAAAAAAGCGGCCCCTTTAAGCGGCCAAACATTACCTACTCGTATTCAAAAACAGTGTTTATCGGAAGACAAAAGCCCAAAGAACACTATGATAATGTTTAAATTAGTTGCCTGTAAACAATTTGAAATTTGGCTAGACAGCTTTATTAAAAATTGGTCTTTGTGTTTTGGAAAGAAAGTGCTTGCCATTTTTTGTTTTGTAAAGAAAGTTCTTGCCATTTTTTGATTTGTAATGAAAGTTCTTGCCACTTTTTGTTTTGTAAAGAAAGTTCTTGCAATTTGTTGTTTTGTAAAGAAAGTTCTTGCCATTTTTTGTTTTGTAAAAAAAGTTCTTGCCACTTTTTTTGTAAAGAAAGTTCTTGCGATTTTTTGTTTTGTAAAGAAATTTCTTTGCTGTTTTTCACTAAAAGACCTAGTTTTAATTTCTGCAGCCTGCGAGTGTCAATTAATACGATATATTCCTTTTTTTTGATTTGTAAAGAAAGTTCTTGCCATTTTTAATAAAAAAAATATAAAAAATAGTAGAATTTGAGATACCGGTCGTATTTTATATAATAAATGACAGTTTAAAAAAAATTTTTTGTTCTTCATCGTGACATGCCATACTTTTTAGTTATCAGTCCAAAAATATTTGTGGTAGTGAAAACTGATAACAGACAGGTGCAAATAAACCGATCATTGGTCTAGCAAGAAAGCAAGTCAATGTTTGATGAAAATGTTACGATGAAATTTTTTTTTTAATTTTTAAAAATAATTTTAAATTAAAAAAATTTTTAAATTTTGATTTTTTTTAAAAAAAAAAGTCATTGGCATATAAAAGACTAGGCTAGCCTAGGGCAAGGGAGCGTAGCGCACGGCAGGGTAGGACGAGGAATGATAGGCGCGCTGGGCTAAGTCAGGGCAATGGGCTAGGGCTCTGCGCTAGGGCTCTTGGCTACGGCTCTGGGCTAAGGCTTTGGGTTAAGGCCCTGGGCTAGGGCTCTTGGCTAGGGCTTGGGGCTAGGGCTCTGGGCTAGGGCTCTGGGCTAAGGCTCTGGGCTAGGGTTCTGGGCTAGGGCTCTGGGCTAAGGCTCTGGGCTAGGGCTAGAACAAGGACTAGAAAGGGCTAGGATTAATATTACACTAAAGTCATATCCCAGGAAACGACTAAAAAATGGCCATTTCCGGTCGAGTTAAATTCGAATGAGTGCTTTTCGACTGTTTTTAAAAACAAAGTAAGCACTTTTTAAACACCAAAACATGCAAATTACATTACAGTAAAAAGGCCAGAAAACGTCATAGCTATTTTTACTTTATCGTACTTAACCCTTGTCTAGCAATACTTGTCCGTGACGTAGCATTGGTTTAGCCCTAGACCAGAGCCCTAGCCCAGAGTCCTAGCCCATAGCCGTAGCCAAGAGCCCTATCCCACAGCCCTAGCCCAGAGTCCTAGCCAAGAGCCCTAGCCCTAGTCCTAACACCATTCCTACCTCTAAGCCTCAACTCAAAGCCGAAGCCTAATCCTAAGTTTTAAGCCTATGCGCTAAGCCTATAAGCTCTAAGCCTAAACTCTAAGCCTAATCGCTAATCCTAAGTTCTAAGCCTAACTTCTAAGCCTAACTTCTAAGCCTAACTTCTAACCCTAATTTCTAAGCCTAAATTCTAAGACTAAGCTCTAACTACTAAGCCTAAGCTCTAAGCCTAAGCGCTAAGCCTAAGCTCTAAGGCTAAGCTATAAGCCAAAGCTCTAAGTCTAAGCTCTAAGTTTAAATTCTAAGCCTAAACCTAAAATTAATCCTAAACATAAGTATAAATTTATGCTCCAGCCCAAGCCCTCCCTTTAGCCCAAGCCCTACCTTTAGCCCAAGCCCTACCTTTAGCCCAGTTTTAGCACAACTTCCAACCTGGCCCCTTCCCATCAATACGCTAGTCTAGCTGAGGCGATTGAAAATGTCCAAAAAAGTTATTTTAATGATCAAAACAACTTTTTATATCAAACATATTACACTCTACACAACACAGATGAAGGCGCATTACACTCTAACCAAAAATAATATTATTTTACAGTGCAGTAGCGATTGCAACATAATCCATCCAGACTTTCTCAATTACTGTTGTAAAACCGGTTCAGAAATCAAAACAAATGAAATCAGGGGGGTTTTGTAATAATATTTTTACAAAAATCACCGCAAAGGATCCCAACCGTGACTGAGTTTGAAAACAATGGTTAAGAGATCACTTACTGAGGGGTTTTCTAAAGTTCAAAAATTTAAAATTTAAGCCAAAAATTTGTTTTGTAATGAGATACGCAAGCCTAAATGTTAGAAGAGCTTTCCTTTGCTTGAGAATGAAAACTGAAGAGCTAAGGCTAGGGCTGAAGCTAGGGCTAAGGCTGGGAAAGTACGAAAGGGTAGAGCAAGGAAGATCAGTGCAAAAAAGGCAGGACAAGACAGAGCTAGACATGTGGAACGGGACCGGAAAGCCGCTAGCACTCAGGCCAGGCCCGTTCCAGATGTTTAAGCAGAAAAATGTCTAGGTAGGATAGGACAGGGCTGGGCCGATCTATAAATCTGAGTTTAAGGCTTTGGGCTAGGGTTAGGACTCTGGGGCAGGAGAGGGCAGTGCACGGCAAGGGCAGGGCAAATAAGTAAAGAGCTAGGGCTAGGGCTCTGGACTAGGAGCTAGGACTAGGGTTCCGGGCTAGAGCTCTGGGGCAGGATAGGGCAAATAAGAAAAGAGCTAGGGCTCGGGCTCTGTGCTGGGGTTAAGGTTAGGGCTAGGGCTAGGGCTAGAGCTAGAGCTAGAGCTAGAGCTAGAGCTAGAGCTAGAGCTAGAGCTAGAGCTAGAGCTAGAGGTAGAGCTAGAGCTAGAGCTAGAGCTAGAGCTAGAGCTAGAGGTAGAGCTAGAGCTAGAGCTAGAGCTATAGCTAGAGCTAAGACTAGGGCTAAGGCTAAGCCTAAGCCTAAACTTAAGCTGAAGCTTAAGCCTAACTCGAAGCCTAACCCTAGGGCTAGGGCGGAAGTTCAAACCTTAAAATTTCAAAAACCAAAGTCCAGTCAATCCTAATAGATAACAAATTATCAAATTACCGCGCACGTGTTAAGAACTTTCAAGTTCGACTGTAAAATTACAACACAGTAGACGTCAGGTCTACATACCAGTCACCCGTTCCCTTCGACCAAATGTCTCTCAAAATTACATTACCACGTATGTTTACAGAGTTAAGCTCTTTCATTTTACACACGCCAAAGAGATTACAGGTAGTTAATAAGACCAAACATCTATTATAAGAGAGAAAAAACGCAATTAATTTGTTTACAGGGGGAAGTCAATTTGAAAAATGAAAAAATATGTAATAAATTAGTCAGGGTAAGGTAAAGGTGAGATAGAGTAGGTTAAGGTGGCTAGGTTTAAGAAAAATGAAAAAAAATTTTAATCGAAGTAGAGTGGAGAAGGGTAAGGTAGTTTAGGGTAGGGTAAAACAGAGTAAGTGGGGGGGGGGGGGGGGGGGAGAGTAAGGTAAGGTAGAGTAAGGCAGGGTAGAATAGGGTAAGGTAGGGTAGGGTCATACTCTGTTAGAAATCGCAAGAACTTTCTTTACAAAATTAAAAACTCTTTTCATCGTATAACTTGTCCACCGCTGGCTGCGTTAGGCAAAGCGACCTTTTTTGTTATATAAGTGGCAAGAACTTTATTTACAAATCAAAAAATAGCAAGAAATTTCTTTACAAATCAAAAAATAGCAAAAACTTTCTTTAAAAAACAAAAAAATTGCAAGAACTTTCTTTACAAAACCAAAAATGGCAAGAATTTTCTTTACAAAACAGAAAATGGCAAGAACTTTCTTTACAAATCAAAAAATGGCAAAATAAAGCTACTTTTTACACTTTCACACTGTAATGACATTATGTTTCTTGACAAGCCATAAAGACCTCAAAGACCCCCCCCTTCCCCTTTCAAAGTCACAGACAGCTTCAAAAGCGGCTTCAAACCTCAAAAACCAGTCTCTAAACACGCCAATTTGCATATTAAAAACGAAATGTTAGCAAAAAAGAGCTCCTTTCTTTACAATATGACAATACTATATTGTATTACACAAAGAATATGTGAAAACACTCAAAAATTTAAGAAAAACGCTTGGAAACGCGAAAAACATTGAAATTTAATTCGAATTTTGGCAAAAAAAGTGGAAAGAAGCGTTCTTTGACATCCAGAATGTTGCAAAAACAACAAAAAACAACCTCAAATGTAAAGAAAGTTCTTGCCATTTTTTGTTTTGTAAAGAAAGTTCTTGTCATTTTTTGATTTGTAAAGAAAGTTTTTGCCTTTTTTGTTTGTAAAGAAAGTTCTTGCCATTTATTTACCAAAAAAGTGAATTTTTGCGTTTTGCAGCCTGCTTTGGAAAAGTTATACGGTAAAAATGATCTTCAGCTTTGTAAAGAAAGTTCTTGCCATTTTTTGATTTGTAAAGTAAGTTTTTGCCATTTTTGAGTTGTAAAGAAAGTTCTTGCCATTTTGTGTTTTGTAAAGAAAGTTCTTGCCATTTTATGTTTTGTAAAAAAAGTTATTGCCATATTTTGCTCTGTAAAGAAAGTTCTCGCAAAAAAACCCCAAAAATTAAAAAAATTCGAAAACTGTCTTTTGTTTTTGTTGAAAAAACCAAATAAAGAAGGCTTATAATAGCGTTCTCATGCACGAAAACATCATTAATTCCTTTGTTTTGGCTGTTCTTCACGCTAAATTACGTATTTTTGGGATCATTAAGGTCTTAAAGGTGTGGGATATTAAAACTTTAGAAAAACAGACAAAGCTCTTTGTTTTTAAGGCAAACACTGTGTTTACAGTATGAAAAATGGCAAAGACTTTTTTTACAAAACAAAAATGGCAAGAACTTTCATTACAAAACATTAAATTTCAAAACTTGCTTAAACGCTTCAAAAAAGACTTATTCATCGTATAACTTGTCACGCGCAGGCTGCAATCAACAATTTTTTTAAAAGGCAAGAACTTTCTTTAAACGTTGAAAAATGGCAAAAACTTTGTTTACAAGACAAAAAAGCACAAAAACTTTCTTTACAAACCAAAAAATATTATTCATCGTATAACTTGTCACCCGCAGTTCGCAAAACACAAAACGTGCTGCTTTAGTGAAGAAATGGCAAAAACTTTCTTTACAAAACAAAAAGTAGTAAAAACTTTCTTCAGAAGGCTAAAAAAAACTCAAACCAATCCAAAAAAATTTTATATTACATTATTACAATATTGATTAAGATAGAAATTCCCAATTAATCGAGTAAAGCGCCAGTACTAGTGACCAGTACTGGTGGATTACCGGTGGTGCCCGTTGTGGTTGTTTTTGGCTTAGTTTTGGTGGTTTTGGCTGGTGCTTTTGTCTTTTTCTTTTAATTTTTTTTTATTTTTCTTTTTTCGACTGATTTCTTTAAGCAGTGGTCTACACTTCTCTCCAACGTCCATATCAATACGAGTTAAGTGGGTATCGGTCACGTAGACTAGGTTGGTACAGCCTACTGAATGGGCGGATCTGAAATGACATTTTTGTGTAAGTTTAACAAAAAATAGCAAGAACTTTCTTTACAAAGCAAAAAATGGCAAGAACTTTCTTTACAAATCGAAAAATGACAAGAACTTTCTTTACAAAACAAAAAATGGCAAGAACTTTCTTTACAAAACGTAAAATGGCAGGAACTTTCTTTACAAAACAAAAAATGGCAAAAACTTTCTTTACAAAGCAAAAAATGGTAAGGACTTTGTTTACAACACTCCATCAACCTCATCGTATAACATGTCTTGCGCAGCTTGCAAAACTTGTTCCGCGCAGCATGGAATGGCTTAGGTTTAAGCTAACTGAACCAAACTTACTGCCAAGTTACGAGATGCTTTCCCTGCGACGTCACAACAAATCCACCCCCAATTTTCGTGATGACATAGTGCTATTCCTTATCTCTCTGAATATCCAATGGTATCACTTGTCTGTGAGTCCAATCACTGATATTGGCTCCAGGACCAGCCACAACCTCATAAGTATGGTCAAGAGATGGTATCGAGGGGTGCTTGAACCATACCTGAATATGTAGTGGGGTTGGGTAGAAGCCACGCCTTGGTTCAGAAAATTTGTCATCGGCATAGTTTAGGAGTTCGATGACAAAGGAGGGCTCGGGTTCGAAGCTCATGCCTGATATGAAAATGGATTCACCCAGCTTCATACATCTACAGAGCTTAAAGAATCTGGTGGCTACATATGCAGAAGAGCCTACGGTAAGGGTTGCTAGTAGTATATAGTTTAAAATTAGAGTAGGTGCCGTTGAACGTAATGAAATCATTATCTTTACAGTATACTTAAACTTATTGATTACAATATAACTTATGGAAGTCTACAGTAACCAGTATACCTTCAGTACAATAGCTACAGTATCACTTATTTAATTCTACAGTAATCAATATATCTTTAGTAGAATAGCTACAGTATAACTTATGGAAGTCTACAGTACTCAGTATATCTTCAGTAAAGAGTTATAGGAGGGAGGGACCCCCAGAAAAAAATTTTTTTAAAAGTTGAACGTGGTCCCCCCTGTGGATTTTCGGAAAACAGGAGGCCAAAAGTGCACGCTTGGCCTTGATTGTATAGCCAAAAAACTTTTTTCTTTGGTATATTATCCGCCCAATCCAAAAAGATCAAGCATTCCAAAATTTTTAAATTCAAGCCACATTTGCATGAGCTGAATATAGTACCAACCTTGATTGGACTATAGAAAGTCAAAGAGTAGAAATCCCTTCTTTTCCTATATAAAATCTAAAGTTGTCTTTTGATTGGGTTTCCCCGAAAACACAAAGAGAGCTCTCTCGGAAAAGAAGAGAGCTCCCTTCTTTTCTCTCTTTCTCTGACTGATCTCTCTTTTCTCATTATTTTATCATTTTTAAAAAAAAATTAAAATTTTACAAGAATAGAAGTTCTCAATTAGTTGGGTAAAGCGCCAGTACTAGTGACCAGTACTGGTGGATTATCAGTGGTGCCCGAAGTCGATGTGGCCGACTTAGCTTTGGTGGTTGTAGCTGGTGCTGTTGTCTTTTCTCCACTGATTTCGGTCAGCAGTGGTCTACATGTCTCTCCAGTGTCCATACTTACACTAGTCAAGTGGGTATCAGTTACGTAGACTAGGTTGGTACAGCCGACTGCATGGGCGGATCTGAAGTAACATGTTATGAAGGTTTGACAAAATTTACAAAAAATGGCAAGAACTTTGTTTCAAAACTAAAAATGGCAAAAACTTCCTTTACAAGCCAAAAAATGGCAGTTTACAGTTTACAGTTTACAGTCAAACTCTGTTAGAAAACTGCAAGAACTTTCTTTACAAAGCTTGAAACTTTTTTTATAGTAAAACTTGTCCACCGCAGGCTGCGTTAGGCAAAACGACCTTTTTTGATATATAAGTGGCAAGAACTTTCTTTACAAATCAAAAAATGGCAAGAACTTTCTTTACGATTCAAAAAATGGCAAGAATTTTCTTTAAAAAACAGAAAATGGCAAGAACTTTCTTTACAAAACAAAAAATGGCAAGATCTTTCTTTACAAGGCAAAAAATAGCAAGAACTTTCTTTACAACTCTCAAAATTACATAAACTACAGTTTATCGTATAAGATGTCTCTTGCAGCCTGCAAACGCTTAGACTTGATCTGCCTGAACAAAACTTACTGCCAAGCCACGAGAAGTTTTCCTTGCGAAGTGACAGCAAATCCACCCCCAATTTTAGTGATGACATAGTGATATTCTTCATCCCTCTGAATATCCAACGGTATCACTTCTCTGTGAGTCCAATCACTGATATTGGCTCCAGGACCAGCCACGATCTCATAAGTATGGTCGAGTGAGGCTATCGACGGGTGCTTAAACCATACCTGAATATGTAGTGGGGTTGGGTAGAAGCCACGCCTTGGTTCAGAAAATTTGTCATCGGCATAGTTTAGGAGTTCGATGACAAAGGAGGGCTCGGGTTCGAAGCTCATGCCTGATATGAAAATGGATTCACCCAGCTTCATACATCCACAAAGTTTCCAGAACCTGGTGGCTACGGCTTCAGAAGGGTTTACTGTGACGGTTGCTAGTAGAATGTAGCTTAAAATTAGCATAACTACAGTATATCTTATTGAAAGCATGATAGCTGCAAGACAAGTTATTAAAATCTACAGTATGCGCTACAGTAAATGACTACAGTATGACTTGTAGTATCTACTGTATGAAGTATATATACGGTATAATAGCTAAAGTATCACTTAATGTATACTGAAGACTTAGCGTTAGATACTGCGTTTTAAAAAACAGTGATATTAACCATGCCTTTTTATATATAACAGAAGCATAATAAATATATATTTATGACTATGTTCATTTTGTTGCAGCTTCTTTGACACCTTTAGGAGCTCATTCTGCTTTTAATGACTATGCAGTTTATTTATGAGGTCACAGTGTATGATATAATAGTTTATGATAATTAAAAGTTAGTTCCTCTTGTACAAAGTTTAATAACATAAATTCTCTTTAATTACAGTAGTTATGATAATACAGATGATATAAAGTTATTTTATTAGGTCTAACCTTACGAGCAAGATTTGACTTAATCTTTGGCTTGTGAATAGGCTTAAAGTTAAATTTAAGCTTAGCTTTGACTTTAGGTTTAAACAAAAACTCAGCTTAAACTTAGTTTTCAGCTTAGGCATAGGCAGAGGCATAGGTAGAGACAGATGCTTGGGCTTGGGCTTGAAGTTAGGCTTAACTTAGGCTTAGCTTAGGTTTAGCTTAGGCTTAGCTTAGCTTAGCATAGCTTAGCTTAGGCTTAGGCTTAGGCTTAGGCTTAGCTTAAGCTTAGTTTGGGCTTAAACATAAGCTTGGGCTGGGGCGTGGAATTTGGCTTGAATTTGAGCTTAAGCTTAGGCTTACGCGTAGGCTTAAACGCAGCCTTTTAATTAATCTTCAGCTTCAATGTTGGCTTTGGTTCAGAGCAAACTTAGGCTTAGAGTAACCTTTATGTTCGTTTTCAATTTTAAGCTATGACAAAAAATGAGCAAAAACTTTATTTACAAATTGAAAACATCTTATATTGGAAATTACTGTAGTCAACACAAATTAATCAACTTTCGTATTAGGTCGGCAAAGCTCCAGTACTAGTAACAAGAACTGGAGGATTAAGAGTGACTGAATTAGTCGTTGTTGGAATTGTCGTTGTAGTAGCTACAGTAGACGTGACTAACGTTGGTGGTCCAATAGTAGCAGATGTAGTAGCAGTTTTAGCAGTCGTGGCTTTTGTGGTTTTTCTTTTCTTAGTAGTTTTCTTCTTAGGCTTCTTCTTTTCCATTGTACAGCCGTAGTCATTGTCTTTCCATGCTTTGTGAACATGAGTAAATGTGACATATGCTAGGTTTGTGCAACGGGATGCTCTTTCAGCTCTAAAATTGAACATTTTAGGCTTACACATTGTCTCAGGCTTAGGTTTGTGTTAAAACTCAGGTTGAGCTTAGGCATATGCTTAGACGTAGGCTTAAGCTTAGGCTTAGGCTTAGGCTTAGGCTTAGGCTTAGGCTTAGGCTTAGGCTTTGGATTAGGCTTAGGCATAGTCTAAGACTTAGGCTCAGGCTTAGGCGTAGGATTAGGCTCAGGTTTAGGTTTAGGCTTAAGATTTTTCATTTAGACTTAGGCTTAGGCTTAAATCTTAAATTAAGCTTTGGGTTTATTTTTTTGAAGCTTATTAGGCTTTTGTTTACAATGTGTGTTTTATGTTAATAAGCCTAAGCTTAATAGGTGTAGGCTTAGTAAAACAGGATTTAATAGATTTTGGGAACGAACACTTTTTATTAGGTTTAGGCTTAGTGAGGCTTCATTTTATAGGATTAGGATTAATTGCTTTTCTTTAATTTGCTATAAATTTGAAAAAATTTACACTTAAATTTCATAAACAACATACACCCAATAAATAATGACAGCTCCATTAATCCTCACCACAAATCCTCCATGACCTTTGGTGATAAGAAAATGGTACGGCTGATTTCGCGCAAAATTCATTGGTACCACCTGATGATTGGTCCAATCTGCATGTTTTAGGCCAGGACCAGCCACAATTTCATAGTGATGGGTCCAGGCTGGTATAACCGGATGTACAAACCATGAATGTATATGTAGTGGGGTTTCGTAGTATTCACGACGTTCGTAGTTAAAATGCTTATCAGCATTATTCACAAATTCTAGGACAAAAGAGGGCTCATTGGTACGACTGGTACCGTAGAGATGAAAGCTCTCACCCACTCTCATACATCTACAAAATTTGTATACAGTCCATGAGGTTACTGTAGTTAGAAGGTAGTGTAATGTAGTGTATTTTAGTAAAAATATAATCATAATGATGTATTTTACTCAGTAAAATGATTTTTTAGGTAATAGTTACAGTAAAAATTGACTTTTTAGGTAATAACTACAGTGAAAATTAGTTTTTTAAGTAATTGCTAAATTAAAAAATTGAATTTTACTATGTCGAACCCAAAGTATGTTGCAAAATAACGTGATATACAAAGCAAAACATAATTTTATATTATACATACAGTAGAAAATGATTATTGTATTGTGTTTATGCACATTTTTTGTCTTTGTTGCAAAATATCTTCCAGTTTTTGATTTTTTATGCATTTTTAAAACTAAATAAATTAAAAAATGACGTACCAAATCTAGAAAAAAATTAAAATGAAATGTTAGCCCTGGCTTTACGCTAAGCTTAAGCCTAAGCTTAAGCCTAAGCCTAAGCCTAAGCCTAAGCCTAAGTCTAAGCCTAAGTCTAAGCCTAAGCCTAAGCCTAAGCCTAAGCCTAATAAAGCCTAGCCCTAGCCTTAGCTTAGAACTTTAGCTGTGTCCTAGCCTGGAGCCAAATTTGAAATAGCCAGATCGCACAAAACAAGAAGTCTAACATTCGCATTGCTTAAAGATATAAAGAATAACGTATAACATATGTAAAAAAAGACGCCGGGAAAATCAAACATTGTTTTTACAAGTAACGCTATAGATAGCGCTTTTTTGTTCGCTTTTAGTTTTTTCTTTTTTGTATTGAAACAACGGCTACCTTGTTAGAGACGTTGGGTTTTACGTTTTTATTTATTTTTTTTTAATTTTGATTTTGAAGTTGATTATTTTTTAGCTTTTTTTGACTTTTGAAGTTTAAAGTTAAAAAAATTTTTTAATTTTTTTGTGTTTTAAGTTAAAACTTTTGAATTTTACTTTGTTTTTTACACGTTCTATTATACTACCGTATTTATATTATTTTGTGTTTCGGCGCTAAGTAAGGAAGATACCTAAATGAATCGGGGTTTTGTTTCTACTTTTTTCTTCTTCTTCTTCTACTTCTTCTTTTACTTCTTCTTCTTTTTCTTAATCATATTTTTCTTTTTCTTCTTTTTTTTTCTTCAAATTCTTCTTCTGTTTCTTCTTTTTCTTTTTTCTTCTTCTTCTTCTTATTTTTCTTCTTTTTCTTTTTCTTATTTTTTCTTCTTCATCTTCTTTCGTTTCTTCTTTTTCTTCTTCTTCTTTTTCTTTTTCTTATTTTTTCTTCTTCATCTTCTTCCGTTTCTTCTTTTTCTTCTTCTTCTTTTTTTCTTAATCTTATTTTTCTTCTTCTTTTTCTACTTCTTCTTTTTCTTCTTCTTTTTTTTCTTAATCTTATTTTTCTTCTTCTTTTTCTACTTCTTCTTTTTTCTTCTTCTTTTTTTCTTAATCTTATTTTTCTTCTTCTTTTTCTACTTCTTCTTTTTCTTCTTCTTTTTTTTCTTAATCTTATTTTTCTTCTTCTTCTTCTTATTTTTCTTCTTCTTCTTCTTTTTCTGCATCTTCTTCTTTTTCTTCTTCTTTTTCTTCTTCTTCTTCGTCTTCTTCTTGCTTCTCTTTTTCTGTTTTCTCTTCTTCACCATTTCCTCTCCTCTTCTTCACCATCTGTGAAGAAGAGGAGAGGCCTCTGTGAAGAAGAGAAGAACTCCTCTCCTCATCTTCACCATATGGATATGGTGAAGATGAGGAGAGGAGCCCCAGCCCTACTCTGTACCATTTCCCAGCTGAACTCCCCATGTTCGGTCGGGCCCAACCGAACTGGGAGTCCAGCCGAAATGGTACATTTCGGGCTGGTCGCGCGCGCCGCCACCGCTCCAAGAACCGTATCGCGAATCCGAGCCCCGCCATCACTGCCAATCCCTTTCTACTCATCCGGCATTCAGACGGTGTATTAAGCTGCCTTCTGAAGGCAGCGCCAAGGACACCTTTAGCCGAGATCAAGACATGGGAATTGGAGGTATAGGCAAGTGGAGACACAATAGGTTTTTGAAACGCGCCCCACCCCTCCGCCGGTCTCAGCGACTTCAGAATCCTTACTGAAATCTAGACGCTTGATCGTTTTTCATTGAGATATACACCGCCCTTGGAGCGGAGATACTCAAAGAACGTTGGACTGTCATTTTTGAGCAAAAAAATAAAAAAAAATTTTGAAAAAAAAATGTGACAGTCCCACGCCGATCTTGTTCTAGTAGACTAAAGTGATTTTTCTGGTTCCCTAACTTTTAAGAATCCTCACCTAACCTAATATCTTAACCTAGCCTTATAAGTTTAGTAAGTATTACCCAAATCTTAGTACGAAAGCCCATCCTAAGGCTGGCTGAAGGCTCCTTAAACCTTAAAAGATTTTAATGCTAATCAAAGATATTGACATACCTATGACCTAATGTGCAAAAAAGCAAAAAAAAATTTTTTTAAGATCCACCCCCAAAAAATATTTTAAAAAAATACGCCCTCGAAAAAATAAAAAAAATTATTTCCAGAAAATTTTTAAAAAATCCATCCCCCAAAAAATTTAAAAAAAAATCAACCCAAAAAAAAGTTCTAAAAAATCCACCCCCAAAAATATTTAACAAAAAATCAACCCAAAAAAAATTTAAAAATCTACCCCCAAAAACATTTTTAAAAAAAAATCCACCCCAAAAAAATTAAAAAAAAACCACTTCCAACAAAAATTTTAAAAAAATCCACCCCCAAAAAATTTTTAAAAAAATTTACTCCCAAAATATTTTAAGTACTCACCCGACCCTACTAATAGAAAAAATAAAACTAGCTACCCTACTCTAGCTCATACCTAAGTAAAAATGAAATAGTTACTGAGTAGTAAGCCTATATATATCAAAAAATGCGTGCCATTATACAAGCCTAAGCCTAATGGGCGTTATTTTACAATATAAGTGCATTAAGCGTTACTTTACTGTATTAGCTTTAAAAAAAGTTTGTGCGTTACGTAACTCTGCGCGTCAGTTACTTATTATAATAGGTTCATTTGTGCATTGTGTACTGTTATAGTACGGTTGTGCAGTATTTATTAGCTCTATTATACGTAGTGCTTTATTAGCTACTAATCCTAAGCTTACTAAGCCTAAGCCTCCTAAGCGTAAGCCTCCTAAGCCGCTGCCTACTAAGTCTAAGCCTACTAAGCCTAAGCCTAAGCCTACTAAGCCTAAGCCTACTAAGCCTAAGCCTACTAAGCCTAAGCCTACTAAGCCTAAGCCTCCTAAGCCTAAGCCTCCTTAGCCTTAGCCTGAATGTAGTCCAGGCTTTGCTGGAAACGGATTTGAATGCACTAATAATACCAGTGAGTGGCAGCTTAGCCCAAAGCCCTAGCCTAGAGCCCTAGCCCAGAGCCCTAGCCCAGAGCCCTAGCCCAGAGCACTAGCCCTAGCTTTGTGCCGTAGCTTGAAGCCTAATTTGAACTATTCAGCAAAACAAGAAGTTCAATACTGGCATTGCGTCAAAGCTATAAAGAATAACGTATAATATAGGCAAAAAAAGAAGCGCGGAAAATCAAAAATTGATTGTGTTTACAAGTAACGCTTTAGATAGCGCTTTTTTGTTCGCTTATAGTTTTTCCTTTTTTGTATTGAAACAACGGCTACCTTGTTAGAGACGTCGTATCTAAGATTTTTTTAGGTAGTGATGTCGTATTTAAGATTCTTTTTAAAGGACCAGTTCGCCCATTCAAATATCATTGGCATTCTGTCGCAAAAATTCGACGTTCATTTTTTTCGCAAAAAACCTGAGCAGGTCGGTCCCAAATTGGAAAATTCATTTCGACACCGACCCACTCACGTTTTTGAGAAAAATGATTTTGATTGAAATTGCCTGATTTTCGACGCTTTTTGCGACAGAATGCCAATGATATTTGAATGGGCGAACTGGTCCTTTAAGTAGTGACGTCGTATTTAAATTTTTTCGGGTTTTTATTTTTTTTTTTAATTTTTGATTTTGGATTTGATTATATAATATTTACATTTTTTAATTTTTTTAACTTTTGAAGTTATATTTAAATTTAAAAATTTTTTTTGTTTTTTGTATTTTAATTTACAGTTTTTTGGATTTGACTTCGGTATTTACACATTCTATTATACTATCGTATTTATATTATATAGTATTTCTCTTAACTATGTTAATTTCAAATATTACTTATATACTACGTGTTAACACTCAAACTTTTACTGTTAAATTTCAGTTTTTTTTATTTTTTACTGATATATTTACTAATGATATACTACTGATCTACTGCTGATATACTGTTGGTATACTAGTGATATACTGTTGATATACTACTGATATACTGTTGATATAATGCTGATATACCGCTGATATACAGCTGATCTACCAGTGATGTACTACTGATATACCTGCTTGTATACCGATAATATACTACTAATATACTGCTGATATACTGCTCATATACTGCTGATATAATAATAATATCCCAATACAAATCTATACGTATTATATCACGGCATGAAACGGTCTATTCACTGTGAGTTTAACTTTCACACATGAGGAAAAAAAGACCGTAAAAAGTAAAGCTTTAACAAAACTATATTATTATATTATATAAGAAGCATATATTATTTATGAGTAAAATACTGTAGTAGATTTGGGATTTATGAGTATCGGCTACGTAGAAATTACAACAGTTTACCTGTATATATACCTCCAAAGCCCTTGTTGGTTTCGTCGAATGTACTCCGCGCGTAAGTATAGTTGACTAGTGCATGCAGGGGTTTAGTCATTGTAATTGATCTTAATATCCTTTTACATTCGTAGAAGAACCCTCTTTAGAAGTGAAAAAAGAGCGGTGTAGGCTTGTCCTATATTCGGCACGAGCCAGCCTAGAGCTAAAGTTGAAACGGGTTGGACCAGGGTTAAGCTAAAGTTGAAACGAGCCGAAGATTTAAGCTAAAGCTAGTCTAGACTTGAGTAGTGTCGGGGACAAAAATTTTTAAAAAACTGAAATTTTTATTTGACCGGCCCGGGTCAGCTTGAGAAATAGTAAAAATAAGCCAGAAAAGGAAATTCACGCCCAATTTTTTAAAAATTTTTAGGACTTTTTTGATCGGGCTGACCTGAAAAATAGAAATTTTTTTGACCGGTCTGGCCGGAGAAATAATGAAACCAAGCCTGGTCTAAAAGTTTTAACCTCATCGTAACAGACCACAATATCTTTCTGACATTTGTATGAGACGCCTTGTCAACTTATTGGCTGGTCAATAGTAGGGTAAGTTTCTTGTCTTCAGTAACTAGTTGCTTTTACACGTGGAGGCGCACCTTGCATACGGATTTACAACTACATAGTTGATTTTGGTAGATGTTGAAGCCGGTTTATGTATAAACGGATAATACAGTCCATGAAATCCAAGGCGCAAAAAAATGACAATTAGTATTTTTGTAAAACGTCATCAGATCTAAGCAGCTATAGTCCATAGAGTACAAGGCGTAAGAGAATGACTATTAGTATAACATGTCGTTAGAGCCAAGTCAAGCTCACACAATCCATGAAATACAAGGCGTAAAAGAATGACTATTTGTACTTTCGAAAAACACGTAATTAGATCTAAACAACTATAGTCCATAGAGTACAAGGCATAAGAGAATGACTATTAGTATAACATGTTGTTAGAGCCAAGTCAATCACATTCAATACACGAAGGCTATTGCGTAAAATTATGACAATTAGTATTTTTGTAAAACATGTCATTAGATTTAGGAAAAATACCGTGTGAGGTTACTACACGTAAAAGAATGACAATAGTAACAAAACCTTTTATTTTAACATATATATGTACTTCAACCATGAAAGTAAGATAGTAACGTAAAGTAGGAAATGTAAAGTAGATTTCTTTTAAATGAGTATCCACTGCTTGATGCTTTATAAGAATGGAGAGATTACAGCTTTAGTTATACATGACCGCATTTTTCATTGTAGTGTAAAATTGTGGTATAGACAATTAAGAAATTATGAATTTGGAAAAAACGTAATTAATAAAAATAACCAAGTTTAAAAAAATTCAATCGCAATTAGTTATGTTTATTATGACTATAATAAAGCTAAAGCTTATAGATAGGAATTTAATGAAGCTAAAGCTTATAGGTAAGAGTACAATGAAGCTAAGGCTTATAAGTAATGCTAGTAATGCTTATAGATAAGACTATGACAAAGCTAAGGCTCATTGATAAGATTATAATAAAGCTAAAACTTAATTTGGGGCAAGCCCCGCATCGGTTCTATCAAGAGAATAGGGTTGGAAATTTTTCGTGATTTTGTTTAAAAAAACGTAATTAGTCAAAACGGTCAAATTGAAAAAAAATCAACCAAAATTTTGTAATTTTGTCTTAAAATGTAGTTATATGTCAGACTGTTGAACATTGACCCATCTAAGCCTTAAAAATGTCAATTTTAATATTTTTGGTTCATCTTGATTACAACATATCCTGGTGAGTAGGAATTAAGATAATCGTCTACGCTACGGTAAAGTTCATGTTGGACTTATAAAAAAGTATACAAACTGTTTGTTACAGTAAAACCATTTTTTGTAGTTTCTGATATGTAATGTTGATATCTCACTGGCTCGAACAAGGATTATTAACGGCTGATCATAAATTTGCTCTACGACGTCTCTAGGTTTTCCTTTCACCGTCACGATTCATAATAAAGGTGTTTGTACGCTACCAACCGTAACATTATCAATTAAGTCATGAACATAAACAAACAAATTTTTAATCGTTCCAGATATATTGGGCTGATAAGGAGCTACTGTATAAGCTCCAAAATCTGTATTGTCCTTAAAACCCTAATTATAACATAATTGAGGTGAAAATTCAAGTTTAACAATCAAATCTCTTTTAACTTTGACTATAACGCGTTGTAAAGTCTTGTCGTATTGTATAGTTACACCATTCTCTTGCAGATTTTTGTGAACATAATCAGTTGGTAATATTGTGTCATTTAACGCTACAACTGGTGGATTGATATCGCGGCTCGAGACAAAAGCCATAGGTCTCAGCACCAGTGGGTATTTTACATCGCCGAATTGTGGGTGAGGGTTATGGCCAATCGGTTCATTTGTATACGAGGTCACATCGCCGAACGGCAGGTCTTTTTGCTTAGTGTTTTTCTGTGTTTTATTATCAGAAATAGTGTTAATGACTTTTTCAGAAGTACTTTTTTGGTTTGTGGTAGGAGTGGTAGTTTTTTGGCTTGTAGCAGAAGTTGTACTTTTTTTGGCTTGTGACAGGGGTGTTACTTTTTTGATATATTGTAGTAAAAACGCCCCAAATTCTCGTCACATTGTTTATCAAAGCAAAACTTAAAAAGTTTGTCTAAATCTTCTCAAGAAAGGTCTGGTTCTTGCAATACTAAAAAACCAATTAGTCCTTTGACAGTATTCAGAGGCGGCATCAAAAGAGAGCGCAACAAAGCACACTACCGCACAGGGGTATAACACGGCAAACGAATGGCCGTAAAATTATAAGTAGCAACTGGTGGATGATGTACCTTTGGGCGGGCTACTGGTCAGCGCTAGGTAGGGTCAGTCGGCCAGGTTATAGCTGTTGCTTTTGCCATTGCTTTTGCACTTGACTTGTGGAAAATGTGTACTCTTCAACAATACAAAGGACTTCGCTTTTATCACAATGTTCCATACAATGTGAGCGATCTAGTTTTGACGTGTGAGGAACGATAGAGCACATGGATACAACTAATGCCGTTTAACAAGTTACAATTCCGAGTTTCTGACGATGTTTCTTCTCTTTATGCTGCCTTTAACAAGAATTTGGGTTCATACTGGTAAGTTTATGCTTTTATTTTGACAAATTGTCACATTTTAACACTTTTTGTAAATAATCTTTATGTTTACCATCTTTGAACGTTAGTGCACAACAGAATGGTATTGCAAATGGTTCTCAAGACGTACAACAAAACACTGTTGATATAAGCAAACAAATACTAAAACTTTAAAAATTATTTTTTTGTTTTATTTCTTTAGCTCGAAACCTATTCGATAATTTTTAGGATCACAAGTGTTCTCCACGACTACGACGGACTTTCTAACTGTCTGACGGATTGAAGACATTATCAAGAATACGATGGAAGGTGATATTTTCCACCGTGAATTGATGGATTAAGACGATTCCAGTCCTTTCGCTACTGGCTCAATAGTGATTCAGATGACGATGTAAATTAATTAATTTTTTAATTTTATTCTACGAAGATCGTGAGAAGTATGCAAGATTCTTGGAGGAACATATGGCAAGAAGCTCAACTCCAGAAGACGACTTTAACCGAAACCCGTTCGCATGCGTAAGTCCAAAGAAGAAGACAGCTACAACGGTGGCGAAACAACAATCAGCTCAAAAAACCCACAGACATCTATGAAAAAGAAGTCGTAAAAGAATGACTATTAGTAATTTTGTAAAACATGTCATTAGATCTTGGAAAAATACCGAGTTAAGTTACTACACCTAAAAGAATAACAATAATACCAAAACTTTTTGTTTTAACATATCCAGGTACTTCAACCATGAAAGTAAGACAGTAACGTAAAGCAGGAAACGTAAAGTAGATTTTTTTAAATGAGTATTTACTGCGTGATGCTTTATAAGAATGGAGAGATTACAGCTTTAGTTATAATGACCGCATTTTTCATTGTATTGTAGAACTGTGGTATAAACAACAAAACAATTATGAATTTGGAAAAAGCGTACTTAATAAAAAAAGCCAAGTTTAAGAAAATTCAACCAAAATTAGTTATGTTTATTACCTTGCCACATAGGTAAGACTATAATAAAGGTAAGGCTTATAGATAGGACTGTAATAAAACTAAGGCTTATTGGTAAGACTGTAATAAAGCTAAGGCTTAAGTTGGGGCAAGCCTCGCATCGGTTCTATCAAGAGAATAGGGTTGGACATTTACCGGTGAATGTAAATTTACCGGTAAAAACCGGTAAATTCGCCAGTTTGCGAAAAATTTCGTAAGGTCCGATCAGGACAGTTTGGTGGCAAACGACCTATCAAAAAGGTCGTTCCAAAATCTTACTATAACTCTCTTGTATGTCTTATAGTTGACGTTACCTAACAAACTTATATAGAATATGCTGGGACAATGATTTGATTTTACTAAATATACAAAAAAACGTAATTCTTATAGATAAAACAATAATGAAGCTAAGGCTTATAGGTAAGACTAGTAGAGAAGAATAAACACTGCGCTGTAATTAAAAACGTAATTAGACAAAACGGTCAAATTGAAAAAAAATCAACCAAAATTTTGTAGTTTTGTCTTAAAATGTAGTTATATGTCAGACTGTTGAACATTGACCCATCTAAGCCTTAAAAATGTCAATTTTAATATTTTTGGTTCATCTTGATTACAACATATCCTGGTGAGTAGGAATTAAGATAATCGTCTACGCTACGGTAAAGTTCATGTTGGTCTTATAAGAAAGTATATAAACTGTTTGTTACAGTAGAACCAGCACAATTTTTTTATAAAAATATTCGTAGAAAACGACATAAGCGACCCGCTGCGATACTTTGTAAAAAATTTTGTAGCAATAACTCAGGTGGATCGTTTGGTAGTAAGATAGAGTAGCTTTTGACAAACGGTCTTTGGTAGACTTGACACGGCTAATAACAAACATACAATATTTAAAATGATCCGGGTTTAGGCGTATTCGGATATGACGTTGGAACAGATGGAACTCGACCAGACCCAAGCTGAAGAAAGATACCAGCAACTGGCTGCTTTGTACGAAGAAGTCTCAACGCGGCTCCAATTGGTCGAACCAAGAGTGTCATACGGTCTGACATCCAAACCTTGGTCATGGAGAAGTCTCAATTACAAGCGGAGAATCAACGTTTGTACCAAATGAACATGAATCTGCGTTCTCTCGTTGAACCATGGAAGGTAGTTCCGGAATAAGATTTTGACGTGTTTAAGTTAACCACGGATTCCACCATCACGGACAGAATCCAAAACCCTCGGATGCAGTTCGACGTAACGAAAGTCGACCAATTGTTTAAGGATCTCGCCAACCGGATTCCGCACACATGCTTGTCTTGGACATACGGCCGGTACACGGTCAAATCGGACGAATTGTACAAAATTTTGTACACAAACGGAATATTCTCAACCGGCATTTCCAAGAACGAAACATACGGCAGAGTGCCGGACGTAATGCAGTTAGGTCACTCTGCTTCATACGGACATGCCTTTATGTCTACTGAAACGCTAGTTCATGCCATGAGATTTGCGTGGAAAAAGGTACGGAACTACAGTTACAAATCGGCAACTGATTTCAAATTGAGAAACCAGATACTTTTGCCACAGGGTGCGGCCGTATAATTTGAAATCCGGGCAATCCCAGAAACAGTAACGGAAAAGCAAATATTACTGAGCTAGAAGTACACAAACGATTTATAAGGTTCGTAAGGTTTGTTAACAACTTTTAGAGAAGCAGGCAACCCGTAAGTCCCAAATACAATAGGGTTCTATGTTTTTTTTCATTATAGTAGGCTCTATGGATGCCCTATGCCTCGCCCTCCCAGAAACAAACCAAAGAATCAAAAGTCTCTAGCGAAACACCAACTAACACAATCTTCCGTAGCTAGACCGTTAACTCAATATTATCTTGAAGACGTATGGTGATGGAAAACATATGGACGACTAGTGATAGATCAATATGGCGTAGAGACAAAACTATGATAAGCCTTGAATTTTCGTACTTCTCTCTTATCTAGACCGTTAATTCCATCTTATTTTGAAGACGCATGGCGATATAACGTAAATTATAGGCAAAGCTATGATAAAACCTTCATTTATCTTTTAGTTATTCCAATATTGCCATTAATAGATAACCCAAACCTGACAAAAGAAGAGGTAAAAGTTAACGTAAAAGAAGAAGAAGAGGTATTGGCTGTCGAAGAAGAAAACGACAGACGTATATGGCGTAAATTTTATATATCTTAGCCAGATTTTTACTACAAAAGGAGGCTGAAATCGTAAGCCATTGGAAGGCGTATAGATCATTATTCCAAGAGAAATAAGCACAACAGCTAACACACGAAACGTACAGATAAGCTAGGACAAGTAAAACACCATCGTAATAAATAAAAACGTTTGGGTTGGAAAAAGGCGACTAAAGTCGGAAATCCGTCTTAAAAGGTAGTTATATCCAAAAAATCAATTTTGATTTCAGCAAAAGGACACATAGCGACGTAAGTACATTACTCCATTATTGTCCATGAACGAACGCTCAAGAGTCCGGGTCTAAAAGAAAAGATCCAAGGAACTTGGTTCGACTACACATTCATATGGTCTATCGCAACGTTCATATGATCTATCGCAACATTTATATGATCTATCGCAACATTTGTATAGTCTATCGCAACATTCATATGGTCTATCGCAACATTCATATCGTCTATCGCAACATTCATATGGTCTATCACAACATTTATATAGTCTATCGCTGCATCCTAGTGATGACAACGTAGGTGTGGACCGGATCTGTAACTCTTTGTTGTGCCTTCCAATCAATTATTCCTGAGAGATCCTAGGACAAGAAGAGGGGTTAAATATCACGTTCTTTACTCTAGAACGTGTGTTAAAAGCCAACTCATTTTTTTCGTAGATCTTTCAGACAACCAAGATATCAATAGCTACATGCTCATCACTGTAATAGTCATTTCTCTTTAAAAATTTTATAATTTGATATTACACCCTGTATGACGACTGTATGAGTGAAGTTAGAAAATAAATATATAAATTACAACGAACGACGCGGTCATTCAACTAATCAACGTAGACCAGCTCCACAACAGTTTTCCCTAGACACCATTACGTAAACAGCGACTGGAAGCCCTACGATAGCCGTAAGAAGAACAAGACAAACCGATAGATCATCTGAAGGCAGATTGGAACTGTTGAAATCAATCAGAGGTAACGTGAATTAACTCCACCTGCAACAATTTGAGAGTACCCGTAAAATTTCTAGTCATACTAAGAATATGAGTGCTTACTTTATCATATTTATTCTTAAAAAGTCGTTATATTATAGTTATTAATTTATGGCACAGTCTATTTTATTTTACTTTATTTTATTTTATTTTATTTCATTTTGTTTTATTTTTATTTATTTTATTTTATATTATCTTATTTTATTTTATTTAATTTTTTTTGTTTATTTCGTTTTATTTTATTTTATTTTTTTTAATTTTACTTTTTTTTAAATTTTTTACCTTACCCTACCGGCCAGGCCAGCCATAAGCTAAAATTGAAACGGGCCTAAAAGTTGGGTTTGGTTCGCGGGCTGGGTTTAAAAAAGTAGTTTAAAGGGTAAGCCCAAACCAAGTGTATTACCTAAATTTGAAAGATACAATTTTAAAAATCTTTTAAAATTTTTTGATATTTTTTGGGTGCCTTCAGGTATTTTTAATCAAGCCAGGCAAAGCCAACCTTACAAGGGAAGTGTCTCACCTCATTCCGGAGATATTAAACGGGACTATGCTCATTTGAAAGCCTACTTGAATACAAATTTAACAAAAAAAATTAGCTGCCGAATAAGCCCCTGAGGCAAGTTATGACAGTTTAAAAATTTGCAGTGCTTTCCTTGGTTTGAGTTTGAAAACGATTGAGAGCGAGAAAGAAAACAAGGGGAACCCATGATTCGGTGGTTCAGTGGTTAGGCGTTGGGCTTAGGGGTGAAAGGAGAAAGGTTCGATCCCTGCCAACCCGTTTTGCTTTAATAGCTTCCAAAAAGTTTTTTTTGTTTTTTATGCTATACAACAGTCAATAAACTAGTTTTAATCATTTGAAATCAAAAATTAAGCAATTTGACAAATTATTAAACTTTAAAATTTTTTGGAAATTTTTCATGTTCTGGAAAAACGTTGAGCAACCTATCACCTGGAATAACGGAACCAACAGCAAAAGTAATTTTATTTTCCCTACTTTCAGAAAATTTAACAGCTTCGGCGTCGTTGTAAGACAGCTGATAATCAGGGAAGTGATAAATGGGGGGGGGGGGAATAACTTTTGCGACAAAAGGGCTCGTTCAAGTGGACTAAAGCCGCGTTATTTTTGATTTGATTTTTTATAAAAATATGCTTTTTTATAATAAAAATAAACGTTTTTTGATCAATTTGGTTTTTTTTTGAATTTAATAAGGTTTTTACTCTTATATATTCAAGAAAAATTTTTTAAGTTATATATTACAATATATTACATTCAGTTTATCATAATTATATAACATAGGTTGAAACAAAAGTAGCGGGACATTTTTTAGTTGAAAAACAAATGAAAAGTGTCCCGCTAATTTTGATCGAACTTATTATATTAGGTGCCGACATAAAGAACCCGCCATTTTTTACAGGAAACTACAGGCAAAGTATGGCGGGTTCTTTATGTTGGCACTTTATACTACTTTCAATTTACTGTAAGTATACTACATAATACTTTTAGTTTAACTGAAGTGTTCTTTAAATAATTTTTTATGTATTATATATACACAGGGCCGGGCGGAAGTTTACAGTTTGGGGGGGGGGAATCTTTGTCCGGACTCTCATCCTATATCAAAATTGTTTTTCAAATATCCACAGGGGAAACCATTCAACTTTTTTCAAACTTTTATTTCTGGTCAGGGGGGGGGGAGTATCCTCTCTGTCCCCTCTTCCCCCCCCCCCCCCCCTCCTCGAGTCCGGCCTTGGATATACATATATGTATATATTACAAATATACTCTGTTGATATAATAAATAACTTTTTACATAAAATTTTTTTTGTTTTTTACTGTAGTAAGAAGAGACAGATCATCAGCTCAATCGCGAGGGCAACCTATCCAAATTCTTGACAGGGAGTGTGGTGCATGATGCACCTAAAACATTTTTGAAAGATTTGTTGTGTCTGGATGAGGGTAGAATCGTATCGAACTCCATCACTGTGCTGGGGTCTTTTAAACAGGTTCACAACGTTGTGGTTTGCGAATATAGGAAACAAATTCGTAGTTGTTCGGACAGAAACTTGGAAATGATCCGCCGCTTTGATAAACTCTCATTGCTGACGCATCTCGAAATCGCATTTCCATAACCGAACTCAAATTTACATACAGATTCTCCGTAAATGTCAATCTTGATACATTGACTGAGAGAATTGCGCACAAACTGGCCCCAAATAGGTAAATATTGGGTTCATTAATGCCCTAACCCGTGGCGTAGGCAAAATGCTGGGGCTAACAGCGCCTCGGTACTTCCGCTATCGACTAGACGGGTCTGGGGAGGGGAGGGGGAGGGCGGTGCAGCACGTCTAAACCAATGCTTACACAACATGTGCTGTTTTCTTACGGATAATTTCTCTATGGGCAATTTGTTGCCTGCATCGTAAGTGGAAGTGTTCGTATTACAGAATCAGTGCCGGGACCCAAACGTTAGAATAAGATTCGGAATAACGGTTTCTAGGGTTTTGGTTCCTAATTGACTGGTTATATAAGGATTTAGCCACTGTGACGTAGGGTAAAGTATGAGATTAAGCGCGAGCAGGCCTATTTGAAGACCTAGACGTAAAGAAACTGCAAATCATGTAAGATTCTCAACAATCTTATCGACGGCCGTTAGGGCCTCTACCAGAATCTACATTATTTCAACAAGTGTCCGATGACGCTACTGGTCCTCAAAAAAGTCCGTTTGAGGAGGCCAAGGAACATTTGAAATTGGGTAAAGAAGAACAAGTGGTGATTCCTAAAAAAAGCTGATGAAAAAAATTTTAGTTCAAAGTACCATAATGAATTACTGCTGTAAGCAATGGCAAGAGAATGGAGAATAAGAAAATTGGTCAGGGAGGTTTTTATGCACCAGCACAATACTCAGGGAGGTTTTAGCGCTAGCACAATACTCAGGGAGGTTTAGCACCAGCACTATTTCGTAAGCTCTCATTGCTGACATATCTCGAACGGGATGAGCGAATTTCCAAAGTTTACATACAGATTCTCGCGACCACTGTCAATCTTGAAAGCTTACAACGGCGTAATCGGATATCGCGGAGACCCGGTGCCAAACCCAGCTGTTTAAAAAGCAATGCGAACTGATCGATTAGTCGTAGAATTAAGTAAGTTGAGCAAGCGGACCTTAAAAAACCATATTTTGGACTTAATTGCCCTCATCCTCTCCAACCCCACCAAAGACAACATTACATTTTTGGTGAACTGGACCTAAAAGTCTTTGCCAGAGCATCTCTGGAGTACAAATTGGCACGGCAACAGTTTTCTTATAAAAGCATTCCTAGGAAACGATATTTACTACAGTCTTTTGTAAAACGGTCAATTAGATTCAACATCAGCCCTGGCAGAAACTCAAACCATTAAAAGCCTAAAAATCAACCTAATTGAAAAGGATATGACGTTTGAACAGTTGGAACTCGACCAGACCCAAGCTGAAGAAAGATACCAGCAACTGGCTGCTTTGTAAAAATAAGACTCAACGCGGCTTCAATTGGTGGAACCAAGAGTGACAAGTCTACTGTCTGACATTCAAACCTTGGTCATGGAAAAGTCGCAATTACAAGCGGAAAACCAACGATTGTACCAAACGAACATGACTCAGCGTTCTCTCGCCGAACCTCGGAACGTAGCAACGGAATTAGATTTGGACGTGTTTAAGTTAATCACGGATTCCAGCATCACGGACAAAATCCAAAACCGTCGGATGCAGTTTGGCGTAACGGAAGTCGATCAATTGTATAAGGATCTCGTGAATCCCCTAAGGGATATCCCATAAAACCTCTTTTTTCAATCTAAAAATCGAAAGATTAGTATTCCATGACGTAAAGATTGTTAACAACATTCAGAGAAGCAGGTAATCCGTAAGGCTCAATTACAGTAGGTTCTATGGTTGTTCTTTACAGTAGGTTTAATGTTTGTTCTTTATAGTAAGTTATATGTTTTTCTATTACAGTAGGTTCAGTGTTTGTCTTTTACAGTAAGTTTCATGCTTTTCGCTTTAAAAAAGATTCCACGGCTGCCGTATGTTTCACCCTTTTAGCTACAAACCAATGGACCTAAAGTGTCTGGCGAAACATTAACTAGCCAACACCAGCCAAGACCAGCCCACGTAGCTAGACCGTTAACTCCATATTATTTTAAAACTGCAGGATTCTTGAGATTTCGCTGAAAACCGGAACAGAGTAGAGGTCATCAATACAGGAGCCCACGTAAGTAACTGCCAATATTAGCACATTTTTGAATTTAAGAGCCTAAAAGACCCCAAAAGGACGTTACAGTATCTGCAGGACGTGTCCTGGTACCATACCATAAGTTAAGTATAGCGTAAGATGGTTAGGCCCTGTACTGCGACGGGTGCCAGGACGGGCAGGGTCACCAAACCCTCCCCCTCTACTAAGACCACAAATGAACTGTGATACTGAAGAAGGAATAAGACATAGTGAAAAACCTGGACGTAGAGCAATTGTTACTAAATTGCCTGTTGACGACGTTGCCGATCACCAATTTTCAGCGGGACTTAAGGCCACGGTCAGATTGGAGCGAAAAGCTAGTGTGTGCGGCGAAACAAAAAATAGCTAGCCGTCAGTGCTAGCTATTTTTCGCCGCACTCACTAGCTTTTTCTTTGCCACACGGGGGGACACAAATACTCTCTGAGATAATTGGGGTTTCTATAATAATTAGTGAGACAGGTACAGTGATATGGGGCGATATTGGCACCATAAAAAGGCCAGCCGAGCGTTGTAAGCCATCATTTTGAACATATTTGAATCGCAATGAGACCCTGAAAGAAGAAGGTTGGTCAAAAGACGAACGATGTGAGGGACGGTGAGAGATTGAAGAGGCAACTCAGGGTACAAGAAGTAAAAGAATGACTATTAGTACTTCTATAAAATATGTGATTATTCCTACTTTCCAAAAGATGAGTTCCAGAACGTAAAAGAATGACAATTAGAATGTTTGTAAAACATGTCATTAGATCTAAGCAAACACCGTGACATGAGAGGCAAGGCGTAAAAGAATGACTATTAGTATTTTTATAAAACATGTCAATGTCATTGATATACGTCAGACGATAGATGCAAGCCAGGGCGTAAAGGAATGACATTTAATATTTTTTGTAAAACATGTCTTTGGATCTATGCAAATGCCTTACATAAGCAGTACAGGCGTAAAAGAATGACTATTAGTACTTCTATAAAACATGTCTTTAGATCTAAGCAAACACCGTACATGAGAGACAAGGCGTAAAAGAATGATTATTAGTATTTTTATAAAACATGTCATTGATATACGCCAAACGATAGATGCAAGCCAGGGCGTAAAAGAATGACATTTAATATTTTTTGTAAAACATGTCTTTAGATCTATGCAAATGCCTTACATAAGCAGAACTGGCGTAAAAGAATGACTATTAGTACTTTTGTAAAACATTTTATTAGATCTAAGCAAATACCATACATGAGATACAAGGCGTAAAAGAATGACTATTAGTATTTTTGTAAAACATGTCTTTAGATCTAAGCACAATTAAATATGATATACGAGGCGTAAAAGAATGACAATTAGTACTTTTATAAAACTTGTCATTATTCCTACCTCCATAATGATGGATGAGTTCCACGCCGTAAAAATGACTATTAGTACTTTTATAAAACATGTCATTAGATCTAAGCAAACACCGTGCATGAGTTACAAGGCGTAAAAGAATAACTATTAGTAGTTTTGTAAAACATGTCATTAGATCTATGCGAAACCTTACATGAGAGACAAAGCGTAAAAGAATGACATTTAATATTTTTTGTAAAACATGTCTTTAGATCTATGCAAATGCCTTACATAAGCAGAACTGGCGTAAAAGAATGACTATTAGTACTTCTATAAAACATGTCATTAGATCTAAGTCTAAACAGTCCATGAGTTTCAGGACGTAAAAGTATGTCCATTAGCACTTCCGCTTTATCATCATTATTTTGTAGGCAGAGCGAGCCAGAATTAAAAGGCTACAATAAGCCTACAGTAGGATAAAGCAAATCAAGAGCAAGGGCATGGGCATGGGCATGGTATTATATTAAGATAAGTACTATATATTTAATCATCCAAAATAAAAATTTTTATAAAGTAGGGCTAGCCTTCTCCACCTCATCATCAATATTCTCTTCTTTCTTCTGAATCCAGTTGTCAATCGGCAACGTCGTCAAACAAAAGCCCACAGTAATCAACGTCGCCCCAATGTAGAACCAGAAGCTAGCCTGAAGACCTCGAATGACAATGTCGCATAGACCATTCATGGGTACACCCAAAATGACTCCAATTGATATTACCAATGGACTCAGCAGTGATATACCAAAATTCATTGTTACACTGTATACTGTAAATAAAGTTTTTGTAATATTGTAAACTGTAAAGAAAGTTCTTGCCATTTTTAGATTTGTAAAGAAAGTTCTTTCCGTTTTGTATTAAAACAGACTATTTCTTTCCGCAGTCTGCGAGTGACATGTTATACGAACAAACCTGTACTTTTCTCTCCAAAGTCAATAAGCCTAAACCTACATAAAATACTGAAGCAGTATAACAATAGCGGAGTCCATGGTATTTTGCTAAACACAAAATGTTCAACTTCAGTCCATACGAGTAGTCCGACCGGTATGGTAAGGTAGACCACATTGGCCAGACCCATTAGGCTTTGGAAGAACAAAACTTGGCATAAGGACGGCTCTCCGAAGACTCGTTTTATCAAGACCTAAAGCAATTCTAACTTTACAATTTCAAATAGTTAGGTTTAGCCTAACACTTAAACTTAGTTTTAAGCTTAACGTTAAGCTAGTTTTAAGTTTAGCTTAAGCTTAGCTTAGGGTTAGGCTTAAGCTTGAGCTTAAGCGTCGGCTTAAGCTTAGGCTTAGCTTAAGCTTAGGCTTAGGCTTAGGCTTAAGCTTAGCTTAGCTTAGATTTAGATTTAGGCTTAGGCTTAGCTTAGGCTTAGCTTAGGCTTAGCTTAGGCTTGGCTTTGGCTTAGGCTTAGGTTAAGGCTTAGACTTAGGCTTAGGCTTAGATTAGGCTTAGCTCAGGCTTAGCTTAGGCTTGGCTTAGGCTTAGCTTAGATTAGATTTAGACTTAGGCTTAAGCTTCGGGTTAGGCTTAAACTTGGCTAAGCTTAGGCTTAGCTTAGGCTTAGCTTAAGCTTAGCTCGAGTGTAGCTTAGGCTTAGCTTTAGGCTTACTTTAGACTTAGCTTAGGCTAGAGTACAATAACTATACAGTACAAAAATAACTTTTGAGTTAATTACAGTAAACTTACATTATAGATAGTAACCGATATTGTAGCGACCAAAATTATAAGAACTCCCCATAAATTACCGGTAAATTCTTTGTCCATTGACAAGGATACCACGCCTGTTACTGATAGTACTACTCCAAGTGCCTGCAAATGGCGAGAACTTTCTTTACAAAGCAAAAAACGGCAAGAACTTCCTTTACAAACCAAAAATGGTAAAAACTTTCTTTACAAAACAAAAAATGGCAAGAACTTTCTTTACAAACCAAAAATGGCAAAAACTTTCTTTACAAAACAAAAAATAGCAAGAACTTACCTTAAACCAACTGAATTTAGCCCCAAGTAATGTAATACTCAAAATGAATACAAATGCCGCATTCAAACTCATGACTGACATTGCCACTGAAACTGATATGTACTTGATGGCAAAGCCAAATAAATATGTTGGATTGACCCATAGGCACAATGATATTAACAATGCTAGCATTAGAATTGGGATTGAGTGGAACTTTTCCTGAAATAAAATTTGAGTAGGGTGGGGTATGGTAGAGCAGGATAGGACTGCAAATGAATTTCTTAGGCGGGTAGATTTTAAATTCAAGGTAGAGGATAAATTTAGGTAGGTCAGGGCAAAACAGGGCTGGGCAATCGGAAAAGAGTAGAGCAAGACATGCTTTAGGATAGAACTAGGGCGGGGCGGGGCGGGGCGGGGCGGGGCGGGGCAGGGCGGGGCAGGGCGGGGTGGGGCAGGGCGGGGCGGTGCGGTGCGGGGCAGGGCAGGGCAAAGCAGGGCAGGGCAGGGCAGGGCAGGGCAGGGCAGGGCAAGGCAGGGCAGGTCAGGGCAGGGCAGGGCAGGGCAGGGCAGGGCAGGGCAGGGCAGGGCAGGGCAGGGTAGGGCAGGGCAGGGCAGGATATGACTTACCTTTCTCATCAAAATTTGTACCGCCTCTTGATTAATATCGCTAGCCTTTGCTCCAGTCCCAATAACTCTGTACAGTAGATATGACGGATATAAAGGTAACATGAACAACACTCCAAAGTAAGCCACTCCCAATGGTGCGTTGAAGTTCTTGGCGTCAACTACTAATGTCTCTTTATGGAATTGAGCTGCCATCGTTGAGAAAATGGCCACTAGTAGAGATACAATGATGGATAATATCGTCTGTAAAGAAAGTTCTTGCCAATTGTAGTTTTGGAAACAAAGTTTTTGTCAAGTTAAAGTGAACTTACATTACCAACGTTCATTTTGACCAAGTGATATAACAGTAATACTTGTAGTAGTAAAAGTTGATATTATACGTATAGTAGTAGAAATTCCACAGTAAAAAGACAAAAAGTGTACCAAAGTAATGAAGATCGGACTGAAATAGTACTATAATTTTTGAAAACTAAGGGAGGGTAGAGTATAAAAAAGATACAGAATCAGGTAGAGCTTACTAACATTTAAACTAAGGTAGGGCAAGGCAAGATCGGGTAGGGTAGGGTAAACGAAGCTCCAAGGTACGGTAAGACCCGAGATAGGTACGGTAAGGCCGAAATTACTGTAGGGCCTAGGGTAGGGTAGGGTAGAGTACGGTAAGGCAGGGTAGGGTAGAGTAGGGTAGGGTAGGGTAGGATAGCGTAGGGTAGGGTAGGGTAGGGTAGGGTAGGATAGGGTAGGGTAGGGTAGGTAGGGTAGGGTAGGGTAGGGTAGGGTAGGGTAGGGTAGGGTAGGGTAGGGTAGGGTAGGGTAGGGTAGGGTAGGGTAGGGTAGGGTAGGGTAGGGTAGGGTAGGGTAGGGTAGGGTAGGGTAAGCTACCACAAAATAAAAATTGGCTCAAAAGGGTTACTATAAATCTCAAAAACAGTACCAAAACGTACCGAAAAATCCAAAAAACGGCCAAAAAGTCGACCAAAGTTCAAGTAAACAAACGTTCCCTCAATCTTTTTACTCTTATTTGCACAGTAAAATGACTTACTACACAGTTAAGTAACTTAATATCAAACCAAACAATGTTTCAACTCTAATACAATAACATAAGTGATGCAATTACAGCCAAAGTTTACTGAGTAATCGAATTACAAACGAACATGGCGTTCATCGGCCTTGTTTTAAGTAGTACTTTGCATAGCAAACAAATCGTAATTCCGAAAAAAAAGTTTTTATTCCGCTTTCACTGATAAAGGTTTTCAGATGATATTATGTTAACATAGACAGCAGACGCTGTTTTGTTGCACTTTTGAATGCAAAAGAGTAGGAACACCGGTGTTAGGCTTTTTAGGCTTTAAAAAACATAAAGGTGCTTCTAAGACTAGACTCCATAGACTTACGTGTAGTAGGCTTTAGCTGAGAAGTACAAGATTAGTAAGTTTAGGCTTAGTAGTCTTAAGCTTAGTAGGCTTAGGGTTAGTAAGCTTAGGCTTAGTAGTTTTAGGCTTAGTATACTGAGGCTTAATAAGCTTAGGTTTACTAGGTTTAGGTTCTATAGGCCTAGGGTTAGTATGCTTTGGCTTAGTGAGCTTTGGCCTAGTAGGCTTAGACATAGTAGGCTTAGGCTTAGTAGCGTCAAACTTTGCAGGTTTAATTTTAGGTATACCTTAGGCTTAGTTTAACTTAGCTATAGGCTTATCTTTAAGCTTAGTTTTCAACTTAACTATGGACATGAGTTAGGCTTACCTTAAATTTAATTTAAGACTTAACATTAAGCTTATCTTAGGCTTAACTACAAATCACTTTTGGCTTAACTTGTTTTTAGCTTTGACTTCCTTTAAGCTTATCTTAGGCTTACTTTTGGCATGGGTTCAGGCTTGGCTTACAATCGTATAATCAGCTTGAAATTGTATTTTGTAAACAAAGTTCTTCCTATTATTGGTTTTCTAAAGAAAAATTCTTGCCATTTTTTGTGTTGTAAAGAAAGTTCTTGCCATTTTGTGTTTTGTAAAGAAAGTTCTTGCCATTTTTATCATTATCAACCGAAAATTCCCCCCAAATTTCCGCTTTATAAGCCTATAAATTAAAAAATGAAACTATACTTTAGCTAATATTTATTGTCCAACCAAAGAGAAAAGAAACAAAATTAATAAAGAAGACAGGTTTATATTAATAATAGTTGATATTGTAGTCGGAATAACCAAAGGAAAGGGATAATAAAGTAAGGTCGAGACCCGCTTTCATTGACTAGAGATGGATGATCGGAAAGAAATGGCATTTCGGGTATTTCAATTTTTTTTTCGTTTCAATTTTTCAAAAATTAAAAAAAAATCAAAATTTCCAAACTTCAAAAAAAAATTTTTTTTTAAATTAAAATTTTAAAATTGAAAAATACCCTGCCAAAACAAATCCGATGCCATTTTCAAACAAACTGATAAGAAATAATGTCCAAATTACAATTTTTGAGATCAAAAAAATATTTTAAAATAGTAATATATAAGTTACAGTAATCTACAAATACTATATTATGCTACAGTAAAAATACGGTAAACAAAACGGAAAAAAACTACAGTATGCAAAAATTCAAAAATGATAAACTACAGTATGCATGCACTAAAATACTACAGTATCCAGGAAATGAAATTCAGAAACTACAATATCCAAAACCATAAAGAAGCAAAAACTACAGTATCTATACTAAAAATGTACAGTATGCTACAAAAAATATAAAAAATGTAAAAATGTGAACTAGTCCTTAATGAGTCTTATCAAAATTTGTAGCTTATGAAGCCTGAAGTTTCCTTTTCGATCGTGTAGTCATTGTGGGAGTGGCCATTGCAGCTTCGGCCGCCTTTCGTCTTGTTACCATTGTACCTGGAAGCAATGTAATTTTACCGTAATTTCTCGTTTCAAATGTAAAATTTAAAAAAAATTTAGACTCATACATTTTTTAACCCTGCCGCTTTATCAGCACAGAATTTTTTTGCTACTCATAAAATTTTAACCCCCCCCCTCCCCACCAAAAAAAAATTTTACCACCCCCAAAAATATAATTTTAAAAAGAATTTTTTACCATACCCAAAAAAAATTTTCACCACCCCAAAAAAAAATTTAATCACCCCCATTTTTCACCACACCCGTAAAATTTTTTTACCCGCCCCTAAAAAAATTTATCACCCCAACTCCTACCCTTATCCCGGACCTGTATTCCTACCTCTACCCCTACTCATACCCCTATCTCTATCCCTACCCACGTGTAGTGTAAAGAAAGTTCTAGCCAACACTCACCTTCTCCCACCGGAATTGGTGACGTGCAGCTGGAAGTGCTTGGACTCTCGGTCAGACTGTTTGGTGTGTTCGACTGTCGTGTGGTTCGCCTCGACTGTCTCGACGAGGTTCTTCTTTTAGGCTCGGGGAAAGGGACTGGGCTCTCGACCTGAGTTGGGGTTGACTTGTACGAGCGATCCTCATCGTACTTATCCAGTGTTGACTCGGTTGGTTCTTGAGCATCAAAGCGAGTATCCTTTAGTTCGTCCGGACATGGGTAGAGCTTGATTGGAGAAGGGATTGGTCGATCTTTCGGCTGGTACTGAGTTGGTTCTTTTGGTACTGATTGGATAGCTATAGGACCATTTTTCCTTGATTTCGGCTGACTTGGCATCGGTTTTGATACGTCATTTTCAAGCTTCAGTTTTTCAGTACCAGTCGAATCAATTTTAAGTCCAGTAGCTACAGATGGTCCAGAATAATCGGTGCTAGTACTAGAAAGTCCACTTATGTTGCCACTAGTACCAGATTGTCCTGATTTTCCACTAATAGTACCGAGATGCCCAACATTTGCTCCAGAGGTACCAGAAATCCCAGATTTTGCTCCGGCATTACCAGAAAGCCCAGCTTTCGATCCACCAGTACCAGAGTGTGATGTTTTTCCCGTAGTACCAGATTGTCCAATTTTTCCTGCACTAGTGATAGGAGGTCCAGCTTTAGCGTTGCCAGTACTAGACTGTACACTCATAGTACCAATAGTACCACCTTGTGACATTTTTGCCTGATTTCCAATGCTTCCACGTCTAACTTTACCTTCCTGAGCTTCTGAAGGTGTCTTGGTACCAGTTGTACCCATATTAGGCCCAGTTGTACCAGTACTACCACTTTTAGTACCAGTAGTACCACTCATCAAAATTGTTCCAATTGCATCAATTTTAGTGCCAACAGTAGTAATAGCACCTGTTTTAGTACCAACAGTACCACTTGTCAAGATAGTACCAGTAGTACCACTTGGCAAAATTGTTCCAGTAGTACCACTTAATATACCAGTACCAGTAGCAGCACCACTTTTGAGTTCAGTGCCTTTTTGGGTTGCCTTCCCTTCAGATTTCACTAGTTGTTGTTGCTTGTTGCCGACAACTTGAGCAACTTCGGTTTTTGATACTTCAATTTTGCACTCTTTCACTTGTAATGAAGCTGGATTGATAACATTCGAGGTATGTGAAGACGAGGCTTCTCGTGGTGAGACCTGGGAGCGGCTGCCGGCTCGAGATCGAGGCGATATTGAGGGCTGAAATACGATTTTTAATAAAAAATTAAAATTTTTTTTTCATTTTTTGTCTTGTAAAGAAAGATCTTGCCATTTCTCACTTTGTAAAGAAATTTATTGCCATTTTTCCTAAAACCCCCAAAACCATAACCCCCCCCCCCTGTCCACAAAAAATTCAACACATGCCCTAACTACCACCCCTTGCTAACATATAAGTCAACCATCGCCCCCCCCCCCAAAAAATTCCACCCATACCCTAAAACCACCCCCTGTTAACAAAAAATTCATTTACCATCCCTTCCACCCAAAAAATAAAAAAATTCTCTTACCTCCCCCCTGATGCTGCCGCTGTAGCCTAGCCGAGAACCTTGTCCTCCCGCCTTCGGGCGTGATTTTCTCTGTGTCGTCTCGCTTTTCCGCGTTCTCTCGCTCTTTCTCTGCCGTCTCCGCCTTTTCCCTGCTCTTTCCGTCCATGGGAATGAAGTTCTGGAGTACTTTCTCATCGGGGCTTGGCTCCAGTTCGGTTGGGGACAAGAATATCTGATCAGTCGGCCAATTATTCAAATTTTGTGGACTGTCTGGATCGACTGGTCGATTTCGGTGTGGAGAGACGAAGATTTGGTCGTGTGGTGACATGAGACTTTTTGAGGTGTATGTTGGTGTTAGCGTGGTGTCCACCTTCAGAGGCTGAAGTTTTTTGAGTTTCTTTTTCGGTTGAGGCGGTAAATCGACCGGTTGATCTTGGTTCGGGCGTTTCCTTGGCTGGGGCTTCTTCTTCAGCTTCTTGGCTGGTTCTTGCTTCTTATCATCTTGAAAGCCTTTATCTTTGGTTGCCTTCGATTTGACTTGAGGTTGTCTATCAAATCTGTCATAACGTCCATAAATTGCGTCATCCATAAATTCGTTTCTTGGATATTGATAGTCGTACTCGTCGTACTGAAAGTTGAAACCGTTTCCAGTAGATCCGCGACGGAAAGCTTCATTATGATAAGGTTCTGATGCTCTATGATAACCTTCACCACCTCTATGATATCCTTCATTGGCACGTTGATACCCTTCACGATATTGATCATGCTGCTTGAAGTTGCCTCCAGGACTTATCATTTCCTGTTTATAGCCTTGGTATTTCGTGTCCAAATAAGATGCATACGAGTTGTTGGTCGATGAATCCGCTTCCATTTGGTACGGTGTATTGTGGAGACCGGACACTTCGGCTGCTACCAGCTTTGCCTTCAGGGCTTTGGCCTTCCGTTCGTGCGTTTGCATTCGGCGAATGCGTTTTCGTTCGCAGTGGCGAACTTCTTTCGCTATTACTCTGAAAATAGTACATAATTTTAAAAAAGCTTTTAAAGGATTTTAAAAAATGAAAAAATAAAAAAGTTACCGTGAGTCTTCCATTAACAAAGTCCACTTTTTTCAAAAAAATAGAATTTTTGACATTTTTAATCATAACTTTTTTTTAAAAACCAGCTAAAAAATTGAAATTTTGTACTGTCATAGCCTGTAATACTGTCAACAATACTGTTAAAAGAAATTTAAAAATATAGTCAAATCAAAAAGTTACAGAGAGTTTTTCGCCATTACCAAAGTCCATTTTTTTCAAAAAAATCGAATTTTCGCCATTTTTAACCCATAACTTTTTTTAAAACCCAGCTAAAGTCTTTAAAGTTTTTACTTTCGTAGCTTGTGATACTGTCAACACTGCTGTAAAACAAAATTTTAAAATATCAAAAAAACAAAAAGTTACAGTAGTTTTACCATAACCTAATTTTTTCAAAAAAAAAATAATTTTTTTTTCATTTTATGCTAATTTTAAACACTTTTTCAGCCATTTTTTAATTTTAGCTCTATCAACCCTTTATTCCGTTTTCTATCACAAGCAAACAATTTTTTTTCAAATTTTTAAAAATTCAAAAAAAACTTATATTTTAAAAAATTTAAAAACTTTTTTTTCAAATCCCAAAACTCATCAAAAACGTCCTTACTTCCTCTGTTCCGTGACCACATCAATCTGCGTTTTTACTCTTGACACCTCATCCGATAAGGCTGTATTCGTGAAGACCAACGCTCTGACCATCTTCCTCAGCTGCATATACCGGACCAGGTATTGGTGGTTCTCCCGGGCTTGTTTCATTTCGAATTCTCTTTGCTTTAGGTACTTTTGACGTTGAACTTCGGCACGATGAGCGGCGGTGCGAATTCGCTTGGGTGGGGGTTTCTTCTCGGGTTCGGTGAAGAATTCGTCGTTGAGGTGGGCTTCGTCTCGGGCTGAGGATGGGGTTATGGAGCCGGGAGTGCCGGTGGATTGGGAGTTGCGGCCTTCCGAGCCGTACTCGCGAGCTTCGAACTTTTGGATCATGTAGTCTTTGGAGTCGGGCTTCTGGATGATATATTCTCTGCCATCGGGCTTCTGGATCACATACTCTCTGCCATCAGCCTTCTGAACCAGATACTCTCTACCGTCGGCCTTCTGTACTATATACTCTCTGGGATCAGCCTTCGTGTTGTCCCTTGAATCCTTCTGAATCATAAATTCTCGACCGTCTGACTTCTGAACCACGTACTCCCTACCGTCTGCCTTCTGAATCACGTACGGTCTTCTATCGTTTCTAATGTTACCATACTCTCTGACTTCGGCTCGCTGATTACTGTAGTTACCGTAGTCTTGTGAGGCTGACCTTTCTCTATCGTATGCTCTGTTGTCTCCTGGTTCTCTACCGTACTCTCTGGCTTCTGATACCTCTCTATTGTACTCTCTGGCTTCTCTTTCGTCTCTGCCGTACTCTCTACGGTCATTGCCTTCTCTACCGTACTCTCTGACTTCTACTCCTTCTCTACCGTAATCTTGTGAGCCTGATCGTTCTCTATCGTAATCCCTACCTTCTACTTCTTCTCTACCGTACTCTTTTTGCTCCTTTTCATCTCTACCGTACTCTTTATCACCAAATTCCCTCTTCTCAGTACCATACTGTCCCTCTTCAGTTTTCTGAATCCCTTTCTCTTCCTTCTGCTCGTACTCTCCACTACCGTAGTCTGCTTCGGTGTACTGAGTACCGTATTCATCGTAGTCTTCGAGGAAATTGTCGTTTTCTGGATCGAAATCATCGTAGGGATCTTGTAGATGAATCGATGGCCTTCTCATCTCCAGGTATTGCCCATTTACTGATGGTATCGTATGTTCGTGTGGTATGTCTCTGGCTATTCTATAATCATTCTCTTCTTCTCTTGCTGCTTTTTGATCTGGTACATATCTTGGTACTGCTGGTGCACCATTAGCTTCTCTGTCATCTCTACCTTCTCTATCGTCTCTAAGGCTTCTAGGTGCTCCAGAATTCTCTCTAACATTTCTACCTTCCCCATTATAACTTCCCTGACTTCTGGCTGGGTTCTGAATCCTCACGCTGCCATTACCGTCTCTATCTTGGATCATTCTGCTTTCCTGACCTCTGGCTACACGATATTCACCGTGACGGTCCACATCGTACTCCAAGACGCGTCGTTCTGAGCCTTTTTGTTGTACTAGTACTCGTCGCACCAATGGTTTATATGATTCTTTGTAGTCTTCTGAAGCTCTGTAGCCTTCATCTGTATTTCCATAGGCACCACCTTCACCTCGGTATCCTCCCTCTTCACCTTGAGCTCTGTATCCTCTCTCTTCATCCTGACCTCTGTAGCCTCGTTTTTCACCATGAGCTCCATAATCCTCGGCCGACGATACAGTATGATACCCCGAGCCATGTGGTCCAGTAACTTGAGCCGAGCCAGCCGTTGGTGCGTTATGCCCTCCGGCGTAGGTTGGTCCAGTTTGTACTGATCCGGCGGGTACACTGTAGGCTACTGGTACTACCGAGTACGTGTCTTGAGTTTGTCGGCCTAGACGTACTGTACTGGTGAGTGGGGCTGTGTTTCGTGCTGGTAGGGCTGATACTGAGCCTGGCGGTCCATAATTTTGTAGAACTTTGGTGTCGTGCCCTTGGCTTCTGATATCTTGAGCTTGATTTAGGCTTCTGGGTTCTTGACCTTGACTTCTAACTTCATGACCTTGACTTCTAGCTTCCTGAGCTTGATTCTGAGCATTTGTCCTAACATTACCGTCACCTCTAGCTCCAGAAGTCGATCGTACAGCCTCAGAAGCCTGGTTTACATAGTTTCCAGGCGTGCCTGGATCAGAGCCTGGCGTAGTTGGACCAGCTGAGCCTGGACCAGCATAGCCAGCCGAGTGTGGTCCATTATGACCTACTCTTACTCCCTCTCGACCATCACCATTTGGGCCGTTGTAGCCAGCCGAATGAGGTCCGGAAAAGTTGGGAGTACCTGGATTGGAAGCGTAGCTGAGTGACGGTGTAGCCGGTCCACTTGATGATCCGTGATAAGATTGTTGACCTGCTCCATAGACTTTTTGACCTTCGTGGCTTCTGTTGGAGGCAATATCTCTTTGTGTTTCCAAACTTCTTTGACCTCCATGACCTTGACCACCATGACCTTGTTGACCAAAGCTAGCCACTTGACCACTTCTATAAACTTGTTGACCATCAGCGCTCCTAGCCAGCCCTAGCCCGCCACTTTGACCATTCCCATGAACTTGTTGACCACTGTATCCTTGACCTTCTTTACCATAAACCTGACCTTTTGAACTCCTACTTTGGGCCGCATTTCCTAGCTTTTCACTTCCATAAACTTGTTGACCCTGACCTCCTTGACCATAGCCTGGACTACCAGTTGAGCTTGGCCCAGCAGCCGCTGCTTTCGCGGCCAAAACACTTGGAGCGGTGTCGACTTTTGGCGGTGGCATTAGACTAGCCGAATCATCGAGGTTTTCGGCTTCCAGCTCTTGTGTTCCATACACTTCTTGACCTTCCGGTTGGAGTGGCATGTGGCGAGTGATTTGGCCATTATGAATTTGAATTCGTTCGCCTGGAGCTGACAGTAACTGACTTGTTGGGTTAGGGGCTTGAGCTTGTTGTTCCTTTGCCGCTGCTTCTTTCGCCGCTTTTTCGGCCTGAAATTTGTTAAAAATTAACGTTTAAGTATCAAAAATTCTACAAATTGTAAAAAAAACAAAATATATTACCTAGAACACAGTAATATTGTATGAAAATCTAAAATATTACCTAAAAAGCAAAATGTTGCCTAAAATACCAAAAAGCTACCTAAAATATCAAAATGCTACCTAAAAAACCAAAATGTTACCTAAAATACCAACTTGTTACCTAAAATAATAAAATGTTACCTAAAATATCAAAATGTTAACTAAAATCCCAAAATTTTATCTAAAATCGTAAAATGTTACCTCTATTATCAAAAAGTTATCTAAAATGCCAAAATATCAAATAAAATACTAAATTGTTACCCAGAATCTCCGAATGTTACCTAAAATCACAAAATAATACCTAAAATACCAAAATGTTAACTAAAATCCCAAAATAATACCTAAATTGCCAAAGTGTTACCTAAAATCCCAAAATGTTACCTAAAATCTTAAAAAATGACATAAAAACCTCAAATATTACCTAAAACCAAAAAAAGATCTAAACCCACCCTAAGCTGTGCAGCACTCTTCCTGACCCTCTTGGGCTTGGGTTTTGGCTCTCCATTCGGTGGTTCAGTCTTCTTTTTGCTCTTTTTTGGTGCTGGCTTTGGTTCGGGTGGCTTTTCATAGTTTTGTGGATCCACCATGGTGTGCACTACAGTATGAGGTTGACCATTTGGGCCGGTCGAGTGGTATATCACCTGTTGTGGTCCTCTGGGGTAGGTGGGGTCGTATGGAGGGGCTGGAATTGGGGAAATGAGGCTGAGTTAACATAATTTAAAATTTTTTTGAAAATTTCAATTTTTTATTCAAAATTTCAAAAATTTTCAAAACACCCACCCGAATTGACATAGCCCATTTCACTACCAATATAATTGCCCTGAGGGTCGTAGAACTGGTCTTGTGGGTAGTCCTGGTACTCGCTATAACCTTCAGCCGGGTATGTCTCCAGCTGTTGATAACTGCCCTCAGGCATGGGTGATTCTGGATAGAATGGTGCTGGTGATAAATACTGATCAAATTCATTCTGACCTTCGTACTCGTCAGCAAATTCTTGTCGGAATTCCGGTTGATCTGGGTCGAAATTGTTTGGTACTGACTTTGGTCCACCTGATGGGTAATATGGTTGATGGTCGGTTGGGGGTGGGACAGATTGGGGTTGAGCTAGAGGTGGTAATGGGCGTTGGGTTGAGCTGAAAAAAAGTATTTTTATATAAAAATATCCGAGAATTTGCTAAAATACCGCTTTTCCTTTAAAAACGCGCAATTTGTTACCTAAAATAACATATTTCCCACAAATCCCCTTTACCCTAAAAAAATAGCGATTTAAAGCACCTACATCGTATGTCTCCGTTTATCAATAGGTTTAATCACTGGTCTTGACAATTGTTGTCTTAATGTGCTGTCATTTCCCCTAAAAGTACAATAATATAACAGATATTACACTTACGGCTTCTTTTGATAATTCAGCTGCCTTGGAGGATAATTCGAAGCCGGAGGCAATGATTCAGCTGGTGGTAGTCGCCCTGATGAGTATTGCGGCTGAAATAAAAAGATTTAGCTATATAGACAGTTAAAATTTAGATATTAAGATGTTATACCAGGTATTAACCTTATACCGATCATAATATCAAGTATTTGGCTAAACTAAGGTTCAAGATAGAACCTTATATAAAATAAAAGCTTCATATACCCTATCAGCATCTGAAACCAACTTACTGGATAGTACTGAACATTCGGATATTGATTATACGGCGCTGGACTAGCTTCACTACCCATAGGAGTCGATGGCTTCGTCGAACCCCCGGAATGATTGTTAAAACTCGCCGGACTCATCGATTCATAACTCGGTGAAGCCGCCTGTTCTCCCACAGAAGCCGGATTCAAAAACGCCGGCGTTCCCGGCTCAGTCAAGCTATGATACGGTCCAGGTGTACCAATGTACGGCGATGGTGGCGCCATTTGTGGAGATGTTGGTGCCGCATTTCGATTGAATGAGCTTCCGTTTGTTGGTGGTGAAAGAAGCTCAGATGCTGGCGGTAAACCACCTGTACTGCTTGATGCTGTGGAACTTGAGCCAAACATTTAATTTTAGTTTGACTTATAGACAGATGGTTGGACTGGAAAAAGTTAATGTTTGTAGCGAATATTGATGTTGCTTGCTAGTAAGACTAAAAAATATTGTTTAGAAAACAAGTCTTTATCTTTTAGTCATGTATTTATAGCTATTTTACAAAAAACCGCTGCAAAAACAACCATCTTTGACAATTGTACCTAAATTATTCATAACTTTAGTTTCATCTAAATTTGTGTGTATTCCGCTGACATAAACGTGACAAAATGTGTGGAAAGCATATTAACATCAACTTCTAACATTTTCAGTTATAAAACGGCAATTTTCGATCAATTTTATAACATTATCCATGTCTCTAAACTAATATCTTTACTTCGACGTCTTCTGCCTTGAAATGTTCTCCTAAAATTCAAGAAACTAACAAAAACACTTACCACAATCTTGATAAATACTTAAACGTTTGTAGATAAATGTAAATTGGTCAAATATATACATGAACACAATCTATATGTTCATACCTGAAAAAGCATTCATTATAATATTTCTTTCGTGTGAATAATAATTTCTGACAACAAAAAGCGTTTTATAATTTCAAATTGTTTGTCTCGCAAGAATAAATGTATAAAAAACAACAATTAAAACACAAAAATTCAAAGAATATTGTTATAGCTTATGTACATTAATAAACAGTTGATTTTCCATTGGAAACCAATAAAAATTCCCAAAAATTTTAAAGAAACATTTAACAAAGATTATCAGGAACGCTGTGATAACAATATTGGCTTTGTTTTCTAGTTAGAACAAGCTTGTCAATTGCCCAACAACAAGATAGTGCCAAATTCGGCGCCACTCGCTCTGGCATGCAAAACGCGCGCGCAATTCAAAAACAGGAAAACAAAATTTTGATATTTTAAAACTAAATAAAATATAAAACAATATCAGTAAAACGGAGCAGATTATAACGCATATTAAAGCCATAAATAATCCATCAAGTATGGTTGGTGCACAATTTTGCGGCCGAAAAATCGTAAAAAAAGCCATTCGGAAAACCCAATTAAGAAACGACGAAATGTCCACAAAATGTGACACTCCGCAACGTTGATGGAAATTGGCCGAATTGAAGGGATCGGCTGGGAATATTGCTTGAACTAGCTTCTGGTTGACTTCTAAATTTGTGATAATGGTAAGAACTTATTTTACAGACAATATTTTTGTCTTTTTTGTTTAAATTTTAGAATTTTAAGTTTTTTAGAAGCACTAAAACAGGCCTAAAATAAAAGACAAGGTTTTCTTTACATAAACATTAATCTTAAATTCTTCTGAACCATTTCATATCAGTCCAAAAACTTTTAAGATTGTTAAAAGATTATATTTTCAGCCAATCTACGAGTTACAACTGAAAGCAACGTTCGAAAATGTCACAAACTTGTCTGTCGACGATCCCCAATCTTATGATTGGGCATTGAAGTTGAAATGCGGTGGATGTCGTGAAGTTTCAGACAAATTTAGATCATTCAGTGCTCAGGATGAAGTTGAGATACCGCATTCTAGAGGGACGGCAAATTACGTTGAGAAATGTGGATTCTGCGGCAAACATGCTACTATAAGTAAGTGTTATATCGTTCTTGTTCTGTATTTAGTTTTTAGCTGGTGTGAGGAATATTGAGGCCGTTTTGATTCTTTTCTGATTTAAAAACGATCGTTACTCATACGTTGTTCATACATTGTGTTTTTTTGAAGTTAAAATTAAATCTATATCTTTGAAGTTCTAAGCAGACTTTAACTATAGCTATCTTAAGCTTGTGTAAAAATTTCAAAGAGTTTGAGTTAGTCTATCATGTTTTATTATCAAAGAACGCTGATACCTATGTATTACACTAGAAATAATTGATGTTTTTAACGAAAAAAGTTGATTCCAGACATTGTACCAGATTCGTTTGGCGTAGTAAAAGAGTCTGAGAAGTTTACAACAATATGCAAGTTCGAAACTCGTGGAACGGAGCCTGTGGAATTTGCTTTATGGGGTAAATGGAGATGTGAAGGTGAAGAATCAGGGACTCCTTTTGAAGATATCGAACTTAATGAGGTAAAATACATCATCGTAATCTGTAAACTTGGTTATAAGCTTACAGAGATTTTTATTTTGATTTAATTTAATGATTTATTATGATTTTCATAGTCTTGAGACAATTATATTAACCATGATAACTTCTTTCAGTGGGCCGACTACGATGAAAAGTCAGATGTTCCAGTGACGATAAATGATGTAGAAGCTAAATTCAAGTAGATAAAGATCTATTTATTTGCCATTTTACTCAAACTTTTATTTTTTTGGGTATTTAAAAAAGGTCAAGACGAATGTTATTGGGTATATCAACATTACCTACATTGTTTATGCTTATTTTTGTATTTTAACAGAGATATGTAATTATTTTTTTTTTGTTTATGGAATAAATATACTTATAAGACTTGACTTTATGAAGTTAGGAACAACTTGGGTTGATAAGTCGTTTGACTATGTTAATATCTATTGTCTTGTTGTCAATTTTACTCGTTCTTATGATTATTTGATATTATTTTGTCGCGTTTGTCTATAGAAGTTCTTTATTGGCAGTACATTTGGTATTTCAAATAAAAATGGCAATAAGTTTTAGAAAACCTAAAAAGTGGTATTTATCGTGTAAATTGTCACCCGCAGGCTGTAGGAGGCAAAGTTTGATATTTTTTTAGTATATACAACTAGTTGAAACTTTTTTTACAAAACGGAAAATGGCAACAACTTTCTTTACAAAACAAAAAATGGCAAGAACTTTCTTTACAGTACAAAAAATGGCAAGAACTTTCTTTACAAAACAAAAAAGGCAAAAAATTTCTTTAAAAAGCTTAAAAAGACGATACTATGTTATAAAATGGCATTTTTCAGACAAATTCTGACCATGGCACCAGGAAGAAAGAGCAATCTACCACCACCAAAAGCCACCCCTCCAAAAAAGTCCACCCCGCCGAACAAAAGGACAGTTAAAAAGGAAAAGACGGTCGATGGACGAAAACAGTTGATTTTCGAGAATTTCAAAGTGAATGATAAGATTTTATGTCTTCACGTATCGACCGGCCTCTACTACGAAGCTAAAATCATGGACGAGATGGATGATGACGATGGCAGGAGTTATGTGGTGCATTATCAGGTACGTTATTGATGTATGATGATGGACATTGGGACGGGGGTAGGGCAGGGTAAATTAGGGTAGAGTAGGATTGGTTAATTTAAGGTATAATTAGATGTAAAATACGTTGTTTTCACTCCTGTTTACTTTAAATTTTAGGGCTGGAACAAAAGGTACGATGAGAATGTGTACGAAGAAGATATTCCATCAAGATTCAAGTTTTACACCGATGAATCAGCGGCCGAAGCAAAGGTATAGTATGACAAGGGATTTCTTTAAAAAACAAAAAATGGAAATAACTGTTTACATAAAAAATTTTTAACTTTGGGTCCATTAAAATTCATTTTCCAGGACGCCCAACAGTCAGCGATTCGCAGCTCCAGCAAGCGCAAGTCCTCGTCCAGACGTGATCGAACTCGTACACCCACCACCCCTACCCTGCTTGAAGGGTTTCCAGGAACTGCCGGCTCGTCTAGATCTACCACGCCAGACCTTAGACAAAGAACCAAGCCAGGAAGCTTGACGTCGGAAGTGAAGAAAGGCCAAAAGACGAGGAGGTCCGATTCACAAGGTTGGTTAACTTTTTTTGAATTGGAAAGAAATTTCGTGCTATTTTTTGTTTTGTAAGAAAGTTCTTGCCATTTTTTGTTTTGGAAAGAAAGTTTTTGCAATTTTTTGTTTTGGAAAGAAAGTTCTTGCAATTTTTTGTTTTGTAAAGGAAGTTCTTGTTATTTTTTGATTTGTAAAGAAAGTTCTTGTTATTTTCAGTCAAAGTCGAGCCAGAACTCGTGACAGTTTTCTCTCACCCACCCAAGAGCCTGGTCGAAGTCCTAGTCCAAGACAAAAAGAAGGTCCTAGAAGGACTAATGCAAAAACAACCGACCGAGTTCACCGTGGACAAGATTATCGACCTGTATATTCAAAAACTCGGCGATGAAGAGCAGCACGAGAACGCTGACATGTTCATTGAGTACGATCAGGTTGCGACCTTGGGCAATACAACCTCGGAATTGCAAAAACATATTGGACTCTTCATTAAGGACTTATTTAACCATGCCTTGGCTACTAGGTTACTGTATGGTCCGGAAAAGAAGGTAGGGTGGGGTAGGGGATGGTAGGGTAGGATAGGGAGGGATAGGGTAGGGGAGGGTAGAGTAGGTTACGGTAGAAGAGGGTAGGATAAGGTAGGATAGAGCATTACGGAGTAACATAGGGCATGGTAAAGTAAGGTATGATCTAAAATGACACTTTTAGGCTCACGAAAAGCGAATGCGGGACAGACTGGAAGAGATCAGAGACAGCCAGCCCAAGAAACGACATACCCGTACTATCAGTGACTCATCTCAATCACAGTCAAGTGAACCTGTCGAGGTAAGAACACTTCAATCCCCTACCCATACCCTCTATCCTCAACTCCCTGCCCGCAACCCCCTATCCTCTATCCTAACCCCTACTTCTACAATAACCTCTAATCCTATTCCAACCCTAAAATTACAGTAAGCCGTACAATTTGCCTACATTACCGTAGGTTCTACCGTAGTATAGTATACAGAAGTCAATTTCAGGAAGAAGTGAAGCCGAGTTCAGTGTACGGTGTAGTACATTTGCTTCGAATGATGGTCCGTCTCGCTGATTACCTACCTCTTCTGGGTACATCACCAACTAGTGCCGAACAGGGCCTGGCCGCAGCACAAGATTTTATGGTTTTCTTGTCGAAAAACGTTCAAGACTTTGTCAACATGGACACTGATTATGTTGAATCCAAGACGAGGAAGAGCTACATTTGAGTTTTTGAAATTTAAAAAAATTTTTTGAAATTTCGAAATTTTTTTTTTAAATTTAAAATTTTTTTAAATTTTTTGTATGTCAAAGATTGATTTACTACCTTTTGCCATATTTAAACACGGTTTTTCTTATAATTTTGGCCGGTTTCAAGATGATTTTTACTTATTTTCTCCAATTTCAGGTGATTTTCCCTTGATTTCTCACTAATTTTACGGTTATTTTTTTTATTTTTAACTCATTTTGGATATTAACCTTGATTGTATTGGTCTTATAATCTTTTGGTGTTTATTATAATTCTTCAATGTTAATATACAGCCTTTTTATCATGGAATAAAGTAACTTATTTTAGGTTTAAATTTTATTTTTTGGGCTTTTTTCCGTTTTTCGGTAAATATTTGAATATTTTTTTTGTTTTTTAGTGAAGATTGGGTTATTTTTTCTGTTTTCAGCGAAGATTGGATTTTTTTTCTGTTTGTCAACCAAAATTTTGACTTTTTTGCCATTTTTAATGTGAATGAAGGATGAAATTATGACTTTTGAGATCAAAAATATGTTTTCCTATCTTTTATTGATGTTTACCTAAAATTTTGTACAAGAATTCTTATTTTTACAAAAGATATACCTCTTTAAAGACGCCCATGATCAATAGTTCGGCCTTCGAAAAGCCCCCACAATCAGGTCTACGAAAAGGAAAGAGAAAAGCGCGTGCGGTTTCATGGTGTAGCGGTTAGCACTCAGGACTTTGAATCCTGCGACCCGAGTTCGAATCTCGGTGAGACCTAACATTCTTTTTGCGCGTTTTGGCTGTAATTTTGGTTTTTTATGGGAATGTAATTGTGTGGAAATGATTGGGAATTTATTTTATGGTTGTTTTAAATTCATTTTTATTCAATTTGATCTTAATTTTGGTCTAAAAAGGGGGAAAAAGATGATTTTTTGCAAAAAAAGCCGGTTTTTCATGAGTTTTTGATGAAAAATGCCATTATAAATAAGACTAATGTTCGAAATTGCTCTTTATTTTATTGGGTTTGATATTGTGATTGTTTTTGTCATCAGAAAATATCAAAAAAGCTTTATATTGAGGAAGAACCGGGGATTTATACCAAAAAAATTGGCCGAAACTGCCATTTTTATTGATATTTCTTTCATTTTTGCTCAAATTTTTTACATTTTTTAAGTTTTTAGTCCTAACTTAACATTTTTTAAAATTTTTATCCCTAATTTCACATTTTTTTTAAATTCTGACATAATATTAAGTGCCGACATAAAGAACCCGCCATTTGCCTGTAATTTCCTGTAAAAAGTGGCGGGTTCTTTATGTCGGCACCTATAATAATAGTAGCTAGCCTTACTATTGATAACAACAACCATCTAATATGTATAACTATTTATTCAAATATCCGCGAAAATATTTGTCAAACTGGACTATAAATAAAGTAGTCGAAATGGCAAAATTTTTAAAAATTTCCACTGAATTCGACTTGTCAGTCTGTGCTTATTATGGTAAAATAGTATAAATAACAAGGGGTGTAACAACAAAAAATGACAGTAAATGTTAATATTAAGCTGTATAAAAAATAATGAGCTACATAACTGCATATCGGTATTACAATCTCTAATACCGGTCGATATTACAATATCTGATAGCGATATAAATGTCAGTGGCTCATTACTTTTTATACAACCAAATAGCACGGAATCAAAATGTTAAGAGGGGTTGTTTCGCCTCATAAGGGGGTGGAACAACCATATTTTAGGAGAAAAGATCATCAGAGTTAGAAGCAGTTTTTACACGTTTACAGGATTAAAGTCATATATAAGAGTATTACCGTACAATAAGGAGAGAAACCTCGTTTTATGTTACAAGAATTTGTACACTATGATAAGTCCTATCATTGATAGAGAGTGGTACTAATGGTACCGATTGAGAATGTGGTACTAATGGTACCACTTGATAATATAGTACTAATAGTACCTGTTGGGAAGATATTACTAATGGTACCTCTTAAAATATGGTACTAGTATCAAATAATAGTACATCTTGACAGTATTTCTAATAGTATATCTTGACAGTGTGCCACTAACAGTACCCCTAAAACAGGTACTAATAGTACCTCTAAAGCAAGAATTACATCCTATGTACACTACTGACCCATGGTTAAAATCAAAAACGGTTCAAATTTTAAAAATTGACTATTACCTAAAAATCAACCGATAAATGCTTAGAATACCCTTTGTACCACTAAATCTTAACCTGAACTTATGTTTTTTCTAGATTTTTACTAATTTTAACTATCTTTTAGGTATATTTTTCAAAATTTTTTGAAATTTAAAAAAAAATTTTAATTTAAAAAAACTACAGTATGACACTACTACTAAACATGCCCTCACCATCTAAAATCCTTCCATAATATCTATAATCGTCTTTCTAATCCATTGTTCCATCAAAAAATGGCATTTCCTCACTTATCAGCCTGTTCAAAAAATCCTGAGCCGCTTAACCCCACAAATTGGCTTAGAAATTAGCTCAACATTATTTGAACAACCTAATATTCCCTAAAACCTCAAAAAATGCCATTTTTAACCAACCCTACGTCCAAATTTGCTCATTTTCTCAAAAGACATTACAGATGAGACGTTTATTGACTTACAATATCAATTAACGTCGAATTACAAATACTACAAGCCTATTAGAATCTACAATAAGATAACCTACAACAATATAAATTTACATTAACAATAGAACCGTTTCGTGGTGATTTCAACCGTTTTACAAGATCAATTCGAGAAGTAGGGCGGGTATTTCAAAAGGTTTTGGGGTATTCTTCAATTTTCAAAAAAATTTCAAAAATTTTTTTTTCAAACTTTTTAAAACATATTACCTAAAATATCAAAATAACAAAAATTTTGTACCTCTTATTCATTTTTAGTCCAAAAAACTACATTTCCAGAAAAAAATTCAAAACCATCCCCCAAAAAATTTTTAAAAAATTTACCCCGCCCATCCAAAAATATCCGCCTTATACCCTCTACCGTAATAATAAGACAAATAAAATACGAAATAGGTCAAAACTAACATCAAAATTAAGAAAAAAAAGGTAAAAAAGTAACCTCAAAAGAGCAAACAAGTAGAAAAAATAGAATTATGTACAGAATTAACAGCTTAAATTACTATATACAACAAATTGCGATTCGTCTTGGCCTTGAAACAAATTGGCAAAACAAGGTTTCGAATTCGAAATGAATTTCAAAATTTTAAAAAATCAACAACTTTTTTTTGTCCTATTCCTCGTCGCCCAACGCCGAGTCGCGCGACAAAAAGCGATGGAGTTGTTTCGGCGGAGCGGTGAGGGTCTTGTCCTGATCCTCCTCCTCGTCGATTCCACTGTCGCGGCGGCGTGAGAGGTCGGCCGCTGAAATTGGAGGGGGTTACCAATTAAAAAAATGCCGTTTTCTACCCTATCCTGCTCTACCCAAGCCTATCATATCCTGTCCTACCATATCCTTCGATACCAACCTCAAATTTTCCAAAATCCCCCCTTCCCCTCCTCCGAAAAAAAATTAAAACCCCCCCCCCCCTCAAAAAACAAAAAACCCTTACCTTCATCAGATCCAGCCAATGGAGCAACGAACTCTTCGTCGTTCTTCCTCTGCTTCGGTGCCTTCTGTTCTTCCTCACTGGCTTCTGAATCCGTGCGTCTTCGTTGGCCGCTTTGCCTCTTCTGTTGTCGCCGCTCCTGCCGATTCTTCGACGCCAAAATGGACGAGCTGGACCGATAAACTCGGGCCTGAACCAGCTCGTTGAAGCTGACCCTCTTGGTCCGTTGATGCTTTTCATCATCGTTCTCTTCTTCATCATCTTCTTCCTGACCATTCGCTTCATCACCATCCTTCTCGAACTCTTCGCTTTCGTCGCACACGCTTAATGGTGAGTTTGGTGCACTTAGGTCGTCCATTGAGACCAAATCGTCCAGACTGATTTGATCAAAGGACACATTCAAGCGGAACGAATCGTCTTGGCATTCCGATACAGATCGTGCCAGGACGAAGCGCTTGCTTCGTTTTAGACTGGACTGGCCTAAGACCAGGGTGTGGCCCATGCCGGGCGGCAGAACTTTGGGTTTCTTGAGGATTGAGCGGAGTGGAGTACCATTTGGAGTGTAAATGCTTGAATCTGAAATGTTTTTTGGTTATTTTTGAGGCTTTGCTGATGTTAATATAAAGTTTTTTAATGTTTTGGGGCCTTATTGGTACTTATGTTTTAAAATTTGAGCTTGTTCTGACGTTTATTATCAATTTGTACGACCCATATTATCGACTTCCAATGACGAAAGAGCCATAAATTTACGTTTTTTCTACTTTAACCCCAATATTACCCAACTTTTCAACCTTTTTTCGACTTTTTTGAACCAAGATCAATAGGAAAATTATTTTTCAAAACATTTTCAACAATATCAAAGTTTTCAAAGCGGAAAAAAACAATTTTTCGAACAAAAATCAACACAAAAATAATTTTTAAGGACAAAAATAAATAGACAAACATGTGAACAAACTCGGAAAAGATAACATTGCTCTCACATGAGGCTATTAAACGATAATTTTTGTTTTTTATTAAAAAAATTTTCAAAAATATCAAGAGAATTTAAAAAATTTTAACAGTGAGTACTATTCAAAAATAAAGGTTTCAGAAATTAACCAAATTTGTAGTTAAATCAACCGGAAATCAACCTATTTATATGCAAAACAACTAAGCACAAGCTATTTTTCTATAACAAAGATCTTTGTTACTAGATAATCCATTAGTAAATACCCAAATTAGTTTGGTCCAAAGATGGCACCTAATAGATTATACATATCGTGACTCGTTAAGCATGTATACCATTACTGTTGGTGTTGAAAGTAATGTCAAAAATAACAAAATCTAATTGAGTTTGCGTGTGATGCAAATTGTTTTCTATAGTAATGTGACAAGGTTGAAAATGTGTTTGTAGTTGTTTACGTTGGAAACGTACTCAAATGTTTATATTTGAACGAACAAAGGCTGAGATATACGGTGAGAAATATAGTAATTTGTGTTTATAATGAAATGGTAATGGGTAAGGACTCTTGATAATAGGTGAAATGCGGGATGACAAATTTGAAACACATAACAATAGCCATACCGGACTTTTGTCACATTCTTTCTATGACAAAATAAATAGAACCTACGATAAGGTTTCCCTCTACCACAATTTTATCATTACTACTACAACACTTACATAAACATTTACTGGTCGTATATCCTGAATGAACTAGCATACTATGGCACCACTACAATATTCACCAGCTTTTCCTTTATAAATAGTCTTCTAATCAGTAAGAATAACTTTGATTGTAAATGTGATAGTAAAATCACACTTTTGGACGTAAATTCTCTTTTATTAGTCTTATCGTTATCAGTACTGACAATGTGAATGAAGACTTGTTGACTGATAACTTATACCGTTTCACATGTAATTCATTTGTACAAAAAGTTAAGTTTTCAGCCTAAAATAGCGTTTTTGCCTACTGTCAAATAAAAAACAAAAAAAAATTTTACCCACCCCCAAAATTTTTTTTATTTTTTACCCCGCCCTCAAAAAAATTTTTATTGTCACGCCATCCTACGTATAAGAGAATGAAAGGCCGTAAGTTTTCTTAACCCCCCCTCCTTCAACCCCTATAGAGCAACAGAATAACCTGCCAATTAGGGTAGTACTAACAGTTGTTACTGCCATAATTGGAAAGTTATTTACAGTACAAACTCATTTAGTAGGCAAAATGCTTTGAAAAACAACAGTACATTAAGTGTTATATGGTCAACAGTAAACAGTACTGTCAACACCCAAAAATAACCATAAGCACGTATAGCTATAGCCCAAATTAATGTAATTTTGTTGTGGTATGATAGCTAGGTATTTATTCATATTGTCAGTACTGATAACGATAAGACTAATAAAAGAGCATTTACGTTCAAAAGTGTAATTTTACTATCACATTTACAATCAAAGTTATTCTTACTGATTAAAATGCTAGTTAGAAAGCAACATTTGGTTATTGTAGTGCTGTCATAGAATGCTAGTTCATTCAGGATATACAACAAGTAAATGTTTATGTAAGTGTTGTAGTAGTAATGATAAAATTGTGGTAGAAGGAAACCTTATTATAGTTTCTAATTTTTTTGCCATATAAAACATATGACAAAGGTCCGACATGACTATCGTTATGTGTTTCAAATTTGTCATCCCACATTTAACCTATTATCAAAAGTTCTTACCCATTGGCATTTCATTATAAACCCAAATTACTATATTTCCCACCGTATATCACAGCTTTTGTTCGTTCACATATAAACATGTGAGTACGTTTCCAACGTAAACAACTACAAATACTTTTTTAACATGGTTATATTACTATAGAAAACAATTTGCATCACACGCAAACCCAATTAGATTTTGTTATTTTTGACATTACTTCCAACACCAACAGTAATGGTATACATGCTTAACGAGTCACGATATGTATAATCTATTAGGTGCCATCTTTGGACCAAACTAATTTGGGTATTTACTAATGGATTATCTAGTAACAAAGATCTTTGTTATAGAAAAATAGCTTGTGCTTAGTTGTTTTGCATATAAATAGGTTGATTTCCGGTTGTTTTAACGGCAAATTCGGTTAATTTCTGAAAGCTTTATTTTTGAATAGTATTCACTGTTTAAAATTTTAAAAATTCTGTTGATAGTTTTAAAAACTACTCTAGTAAAAGACGAAAATTATCTTTTAATAGCCTCATGTGACAGCAATGTTATCTTTTCCAAGTTTGTTCACATGTTTGTCTATTTATTTTTGTCCTTAAAAATTATTTTTGTGTTTATTTTTGTTCAAAAAGATTATTTTTTTCCGCTTCAACAACTTTGAAATTGTTGAAAACATTGGCAAAACAAAGTTCGCATCATAATTTTAAAACCTTTTTTTCTTGCTTTAAAATTCACGTGTTTTACACTCAAATTGAATTGTAAATCAAGCGGAAAAAAGTGAAAAAATTCGCTCAATTTCTGATGTCAACTTTGTTTTTACAATGTGTACAACAAGATAATTTATCTTTCTCATAGACCTGGAAGGGAGCCCACTAGGCCCTCTCCTTTGAAAGGAGCCGGGCCAAAAAAATGAACATGGCACGGCTCAAGCCTAGTCTCGCTTGCTTTTTTATTCTTTTTATCTTGTTAGGCCATTGTTTTATAGTTTTTGGGTTATTTTTCAAAATTTGTTGTTTATTTTTATCTTGTTTTGCTATTGTGCTGGTTCTTTTTGACCTATTTTTTAATTTGTACACCTTCTAAAAGATTCAAAATCATTACACAAACCAAAAAATCTTTAAACTTTTCTCCAGAAAATTGAAAAACAACTCAATTTTAAGCCACACGCTCTATAAATCACTCAAAACCTGGGCCATATATAAATCACTCAAAACTTGGCCATATTTTTAGAAATTGAACGTTTGACTTTTATATTTTTGGCCATCACAAAGCGCTTCTTTTTCTTAAAAACATTGGTGATCTTTTTAGAGCTCTCTCCTCATCAATTTAACAAGGGAGTTGCACCGACTGTTCTGCAACTCTCTTGTTATATTGATGAGAAGAGCTGTAAAATGATCAGCAATGTTTTTAGAAAAAGAAAGTCTTTATGATGGCCAAAAAAATATAAGTCAAATGCTCAATTTCTAAAAATATGGCCAAGTTTTGAGTGATTTATGTATGGCCAAGTTTTTCAGTGAATTCTTTCATTCTATATAAGCCTTGAAAACCCGAGGGATATCTAGTGCAACTCTCTTGTAAGCCTTTTACTTGCTCCTTTACTCTACAATACTATCTTTTTGCAACTAATCCTTTCTATTAATCAATTTTCCGCCAAAAAAACGTTTCTAAACTCAATTTTAGCCTCGTGCCTTGCAGCTGCCGTTCGAAATTAGGTTAAAAAGTTTCTTGTTTGTTAGCTATATTCGGCCGCCACATGAATAATTTATTGCTTCGTACTATAAACAGCATTATAAAGGTAGAGCGGATATTACTCGTTCCGGCGAAACAATAAGTGGTTCGAAAATATTGCATTATTCATGAGATTTTTGGGTTGAAATTGGATTATTAGTGGTTTATAAGTATTGCAATTGGATTATTATATGTTTTTATTACTTTTTTGGAACGTAAAATTAGTGTTGCTTATAGGTATAGGGCTAAAAAAGTCATTAGATTTATATTATTCATGATATTGGAGGTAGAAAAAATATAGCTACCCCCAAAACCATGAATAATATAAAGCACTAAACCCGATACCTTACATCATAAATGTTTTTGGGATAGTACGTTCACACCCCATAACACAAACAAGCATTATATTGTTTTTGGGCTCGTATTTCGCTGGGTACGAACGTTTTAATGGCTGTTCAAACAATGGTCCCCACCAAAGAACGGCTCAAATATTACACACAAAAGCCGGGATTTTGAAATTTATGAAAAATTTTCAAATTTTTTGTGTAAATATCAACATGTGTGAGGCCAAAAATTGCTGCTTAAGGGTTTGTTTATTCTTTTTTCGAATATTTTTTGGAATCCCTGAGTTTGCAATTTAATGTAAGGCAAAAAACAATCGAGATTTGATGTTTCAAAGCAAAAAAATCAAAAATCACAAAAAAGAATGACATGCAAGCGTCAAAATTCAAAATTTTACAAAAAGAATTTACCTACCTCCAAAAATTTCTTTTACCCCGCCCAGAACTTTTTTACCCCTCCCAAAAAAACTTATGAAATTCAATTAAAAAAAAATCATTTTCAAAGCCATAAAAACACCAAAAAATTTTTTCGCCGCTTTTCAAAAAAATCTACCCCCAAAAAAAATTTACCCCGCCCAAAAAAACTTACAAAATTTAAAAAAAAAAAAATTTTTAAGTAACAATACACCCAAAAAATTTTTTGCCAGCCCATCAAAAATAAATCGCCCCCGCCTCCTCCCATCCCCAAAAAAAATTTACCCCGCCCAATTTTTTTTCATAAATTTTTTGAAAAACCCACCATTTGAGGAATTGACCGAGTTTTGTCGCGCCAACGGTTGGCTGGTATTGAAACCGCGCGAGTCCAAACATTCGCTGGCTGATCGTGCCCTAAACTTTGGGGCCCGGACCGGCCCGGAATGGCCGGTGGCTTTGAAGTCGAATCGAGTTAGAGTGCCGGGCAGTGGGCTCAGGACGTCCTCTTCCAGGGCGTGGGGCGAGGGTGGGACACCGGAATCGGTGGAATCGGCCGGTGATACCGTGAGTAGGGTGCGTTTTTCGGCCGATGAACCGTTGCATTCCACCGACAAGTGGTCGTAGGCTTCGCTTGGCTCTTTGACCGGGGTCACGGTGAAGCGGCCTAGCTCGGCGGAGCGGCGTTGGGCTGCCTGAAAGGGGAAGGGCATCAAAAACTTGATTTTTAGGCCAAAAAAACATATTTTTTTAAAAATAATTTTTAAAAATATTCCTCCCTCTATTACAACATTCTGTATTACAATATCACACCTAATTCTACATTACACACTCTAATATTTCAAAAAAACCAATTATAATGTTCAAAAATGAAATTACACATGACCAAAGCTATGTTACACTTGCTAAACGTGTGAAAACTAGCCCAAAAACTGTTATAAACAACATTGTGACGTCAAAATGTGCTCGTTAGCTAACAAAATAACTTTGCAAAACGTTCCTCTAACTATATGTAAACAACTTTTTCAAAAAATTCAAAAACCTTTCTCCAATCCCCTATCAACCTCACATTACCCACATATTCACCATTACCTTCATTAATGTTCCACTACCGTACCACTCGTAATACAATTGAAAGGACAAAAAGTGTGGTCTCCGGCTCCTTTCATCCCCACTTTATAAACCCATCCGAACACAAGAGTGTTGCCCAAAATAGCTCGCGAAAGAAAAAAAAACATTCAGTTTGATAGATAAAGGGGGCAAAATTTAATAAATTCCGCTATTTTTAAATGCGGAATTCTTTAAATTTTATGGCCAAACACGCAGTAAACTTTGTTCTTCGTTTTTAATACGAATGGGAGTTGTAATATACCAAAATGAGTGAGTAGGACAGCAAGAAAGTTGACTTACGATACGAGATGGCCTAGTGTAATATAAAATGAATTTTAGCAACATAAATCATAATTTTTGGCCCTATTATTCAATGTTAAAGCGCAAAAATGAAACATTAACGTATTTTACACTAAATTTTTAAACAATAAAATCTATTCATTGAGCTTTAACTGTTATTAACATTAGGTAACCTACTATAATATAAAATTTATTTTTTTAACAAATCAGTGTTCCATCTTACATTTTTTTGCTAAAATAAGAAAAAATAAACCACATGCTTCGTATTTTACTCAGTGTAATCCATTAAAGCTCTCTCTTACTCAACCTACATCAACATGCAAAATCAGGTCACCTAGTGTAACATAATATAACCTTTCCATAACTATCCGCCAACCCATATTCCTCAAACTTCTCACACATCCCAATCAGTCCATGAACATCATCTACAACACAAAACAACACGAATAGCACCAAACTCACCTGCAGCGACACGACCGCGCATCCATTCTCGAAATGGGTATCGACCGGTTGAGCCAGCGGCTCAATTGGCTCGGAATGGTTGTTGAAGGGCGCCCTGACATATGTTCTCAGGGTTTCCAGGCGAATTTGGGCACAATCGATCATCTGCAATTTGATATGATTAACTTTGTATAGCTTATATTATCCTAGACAAGACCTCAAAAAATCCGTAAGATTACGCGTAAGAATAAAGAAAATCACGTAAATATAAAAACAAAAGTATTTTGAATAAAAGATACAATTTTAGGTATGTATAAAACAAAAAACAAATTGATATACCTTTTTATAGCAAGTACGATTCATTACAACAATGTTAACAACACTTTTCTTCGTAAAATACAATGAATTCAAAGAAAGTAGTAAAATTGTAACTGAATATTAAAGATACGATTAAAATGCAATAGAAAAACCGCAAATCGACTTGATATTCATGAAGATATTCGAGATATTTCGAGTTTCGACTAGACATGAGAAACGGGCCGGGCCGGCCTTGAGCAAAATTTAGATCGGGCCGGGCCTTGGATAGTCGGGCCGGGTCGGAAAAAAATTTCTAAATTTTTGAAAATTTTTTATTTCAATCCCCGTTTATGTTTTTAGACTTTATTGGGTTCTATGATCCATAAATGATCTAAAAAAACAATTTAAAACCAATTTTCCGTTTAGTTTTTAAGTTTCAAAATTTTTAAAATTTTTTAAAACGGGCTGGGCCGGGCCTAGAAATTTTCTGATCGGGCCGGGCCGGGCCTGACCAAAATCAAAAACGGGCCGGGCCTAAAAGTTAGGCCCGGCTCGCGGGCCGGGCTTGAAAATTGGGCCCGGCCCGGCCCGTTTCTCATGTCTAGTTTCGACCGGTTTTCGAGAAAAATCAAGAAATTGGAAATGCATATAATTTCTCGTTTTTCACCTAAAATTTACGTTTTTAAATTAAAGTAGGCCCTCGACGTATTTTACAATTTTTCTTACATTTCGCGGTAAAATTAAAACATATTATTGTTTTAAAACGTTGAAAAAACCTTTAAAATTTGTTTTCTATTTGAAAAAAGTTTAAAGATATATTATTCCTATCAATAATTTCAGTTGAAGCCCCGCCCCTCAGCTTCCAACTCATTTTAACCCTTCAAAACGGCTTCAAATTGGTAGAAATTGACATAAGTTGGGACCACAATGTAACAAAACCTGATTGACAATGCTTTGCATCGCATACTAAAGTAAACTTGCAGCAGATGCAATCCATAATGTGTTTTTCGTACGCGAGAAGAAGGTCGAAAACACGAGAATTATCTCGAAAATCGTAAAAAAGCTCCGTTTTGTTTATCGCACTCTAATTTCAATGGTGTGTTTTGACGTAAAAATCTTGTTACAATACTTGACAAGGTGTTGACAAGGAGTACAGTGAGATTTGTTACTTTTTGGTGGTGGTTTTAGGGGTTTAAATTGGGTTGGGAGGGGGTAAAGCAAGTAAAGAAGAGGCCGGAGAATGAGGTTGGTGCTGCTTTTTGCTGCCATTTTGGGTTGAAACTGAATAGTATATGGTCGATATATGTTGTTTTAAGTACAAAAATGTCCTAAGCACGTTGACTTAAAATTTTTTTGAAATTGGAACAGCGGTTCAAAAGTTATAAAACTTTTTCACAAATTTTTCTCAATTTTTGCCTTTTTTAAGCCTAAAATCAATTCCAAACCCCACAAACCCTAAATATATATGCTTTTCAGCCCGATTTAGAAGCCTATATCTCATGTAGGTTTATATATATGTAACAAGTCCAAAGTCCACTTCACCACCCTTCCAGTCTACTGCGCAATGGGATCAATCATAAGAGTGCGTAAGAACAAAGATCACATCGTGTTTGGCAAAAGAAGAAAAAGCAAATTAAATATTAAATTGACGTGCAATTCGAGCTTCCGTGTTCGCCATGGCACAGTAAATTAGCAAATAGCTTTTTTTCGTTATTAAAAAAGGGCATTTGTTGAGAGTTGGCCAAATGTAATAACATATTATTAGGTACTGTAGTGGTAAGTAGGTAGGGGTTGAGGAGGGGGATGTAGGGTAAGATATGGTAGGGTAGAGTGAAATAGGGTGTGGTAGAGTAGGGTAATGTTGAGTAAGATAAGGTGAGGTAGGCTGGGGTAGAATAGTATATGATAGGGTACGGTAGGGTAAGGTAAGGGAGAAGACTTGAGCTTAAAATACCTTTAGAAAACCCGTTTTTAGTTCAAAAAACATAAAATTAAAATTTTTTTAAAAAACATTAATTTTACCCCCGCCCGAAGTCTGAAATCTCATTTTACCCCTCCCATACCAAAAAATTCCAGAAAACCCTCTAGACTTAAAATTTTTGAAAAAAATGTTAGGTTTTTTCGAAACCTACCCCCGCCCAAACCCTAAAGTAAAATTTTGCTCCGCCCAAACCTTAAAATTCCATTTTACACCGCCTATACCAAAAAATCAAAAAAAATTTTTTTTTTACCCCGCCCTACTCCTAAAATCGCATTTTACCCTGCCTATACCAAAAAAATCCAGAAATTCCTGCACATTTAAAATTTTAAAATAAAAAAAAATTTAAAATTTACCCCTCCCAGCACCTACAACCTCATTTTACCCTGCTCTAATCGGACTACATCCTTTTACCCCGCCCAAGTACAATTTTACCCTACCCAAATACAACAACCTCCCAAAATAGCCCTTAAGCTTCTTTAAAAAACCCCCCCCCCTCTTTCACTTGAAGGTGCAATCCGCACCGTACCCAAACGAAATCAATCAGGCACACTCACGGTTGAGAACGTTGGGAGAAAACAAGCGTTCCGTTCTTTCTGCGTGAGCTCTCGACGACTTTTGGCCAAACTTCTTGGCCAGGTCGGATGTTGTCCCCCCCCTTTCTTGTTGCGTTTGCGGTGGGGTGAAGAATGCCCCCCTTTTGCGCTGGGGCATAGCAAAAAGGGGACTCATATGTTGTTGGTAGGGTTAAAATTACCAACTACCACAGGGTAGGGTAGGGTAGGGTACTTTGGTGTAGGGTAGGGTTGAATAGGCTATTTAAAAAATTAAAAAATGCTCATGTTCCACCTTCAAAAAAAACCCATGCCTTGCCCGCAACAAATAATAAAATCCCATGCCCAACTCTGAAAGAAAAAAAAGTAAATGACCTGCCCTAAAAATGAAAAAATTCCATATCCTATCCTAACAAACCAAAAAAAGCCCATGCCCATCTGAACAAAATCAAAAAACCCCACCCCTGCCATACCCTGTCTAAAAAAAACTAAAAATGCCATATCCCACACAAAACGAAACGCAAAAATTTAAAAACCGATGCCTTCCACATCAAATAAAAATTTCACTTTTATAATAATTCTGGCTCTAAAAATTTTAAAAATACTCATGCCCCGCCTTAACAATTCAAAAACCCACGCCTCATCAAATGAAAAACTTGCACTTTTTAATTTTACAAGGCTGTGAAAAAGCTTTGAAAATGGCCGTTGCCCTTCCTTCAAAACAGAGAAAACAAGGTGCCTCAACAGCGAGACCGCCGCCTTTCTGAAGGCAAGTTGGGGGTCACTTTTGAAAAGGAACTCCCCCTCCCTCTTCTCTCTCTTCTTCCCCCCCCCCCCGTTTACTTCTTCTTTCCCCATCAGCTTCAGCCATCTTCATTTGGGAGGGGGGGGGGTTTTTTTAAATTTTTTTTGTTTTTTTGAGTACCCCACCCTCCACTACTCCCTACCTTCCCTCTTCTCTACTATCATCGCTCCTTCTCCCCCCCCTCCCTCTCCTCTCAGCTTTAAAAAAAGCCGGCCACTCCTCGAAACCCAGACCCAAAAAACCCCCGGCCCCTTTCTCCTCAAACCAAAAAAAACCCCTCCCCCCCCTCCCCACTTGCTCTTAAACCCAAAAAAACCCCGCCCCTCTCTCGTAAATAAAAAAAGCCGTCCCGGCCGTAAAAAGGCGACTCTGCCGCTGCACTGTCTCGTGAACCGTTCCCATGTGACAGAACACGAATGCCACCCCTCAACGTGCCCCTTTCTTCCCCCAACGTTCCTTTTCGCGTATCGTTCCGTCGTTCTGTTTGTTTTGTTGTCTGGCCCATCTAGCGCGGGGAGAGGGTGGACTTTGGGGCGGACAAGGGAGGGGAGAGAGAGTACAGAGCAAAGTTTTGGACTGGGAGGGGGGGGAGTAGAGAGAGATGAAAGGGGGGGGGGAGGGAGGGTTAGGGAAAGATGAAAGGGAGGGAACGGCAGAGAGAGGGGGGGGTGGGCTAGGGGGAGGGCTAGGGGGGAGAACAGAGTAAGACTAATGAATGATAATGCAAGGCCAGAGGAAGATAAGGTATTGTTACAGTATGATAATGAAAGATTAGGATCAGGTAGAGCAAAAATACAATATGATAATGCAAGCGTATGGTAGGGGAAAGCTACAGTATGATTATTGTAAGGCTTCAGTAAGAGTAAGACTAGAATGTAGTAAGAAAAACCGGGGTAAAGTGAAGTAAAGCTACAGTACGATTAAAGCAAGATAAAGTAAAGTCAAGCCACAGTAAGATTAAGCCGGGTTATGCCAGCAGTACGGCTAAGGAAGGTGATCCTACAGTATGGTAAAGGCTCAGTAAGCTGAGTTATAACTACAATAAGGCAAAGCTCAAATACAGTAAACCTACAGAGAGTACGGTAAATGCTCAGTAAGCTAAGCTAACGCTAGGGTAAGGTAAAGCTTAACCACAGTAGGACTACGAAAAACGCTATTAGGTGCCGACATAAAGAACCAGCCATTTTGCACAGGAAATTATAGGCAAAGTATGGCGGGTTCTTTATGTCGGCACCGAATAAACCAAGGATAATGTACAATAACGTAGGCTAGGTAAAACCAAAAAGTTGATGATAAGGGAGGGGGAGGGGGTACTAATGCTTAGTTTGAACTCTTGGTCTTTGTTCATTCGCTCTCCCTCTTTCTTTCAATATCTCGGACAATATCCCTCCCCCCTTTTTTCTCTCTTACCATTTCACCCCCCCCTCCCCCCTTTTTTCTCTCTTACCACTTCACTCCCCTCCCCCATTTATCTTCCCAGTCCCTTTTTCAGTTTTTGTTCACGGACCGAGAAAGATAGATGGGGCGAAAT